AAGCAACCGTTTCCAAGTTATTGACTTTTGAAAATATCACTTAAACAATTAAATTTAATTAATTTCGATGTGTTGGGTTTGATTTAATGATGCCATTCTGCCGAAACTGTGATACTGTCGTAATGGTTTTTTTTCCCATTAGCTACTAGTAAATTTAAGTATACAGGGTCGATCATAAAGTTGTGTCACATCAAACTTTATTATAATATATGAATATTTTTGCTATTATTTCAATTCTTCCTTAAATTTTAAATAATAATCGTAAAACACAATGTACATAAATTGAAGAATTGAATTGTTAAACGAAAATTTTGTAATTTCCAGGCTTGCTATATTCTCATTTTATACATCTATAAGTGCTAACGTAAGAACTAATGTCAAATATTATTAAATACCGTTCACCACATACGACACGGAGTATTGTAGCTAAACGATTATATTTTTACAAATTTCAAGTTTTGTGTTCGATGAAGGACTATTAGAGGTACAATTTAAAAATAATTTGACAAGATACAGAGTGTCCCAAATAAATAAAAAATATCAAAGTTGTATTTTTTTAAATGGAACACCCTGTATATTATTACATTTTTAGTTTCTACGATTAAAATAAAGGTAAATTTGATTAAGGTTTATTATACTTAAACCTTACCGTTTTTGAAATATTTTCAATTTTGGGAAATTGCAGTAAAAATTTCAAGGCTTCATTTCTCCAAGGGTATCAAAGTTTTTAATACTAAATATTTACTGAAGTTTATTTATTGATCAGTTATTGTGTTGCAATAATAAAAATAATACTACCTTATATTAATAATACCAACTTATATAAAAAATTATTTAAAAATTTATTTTAAATAATTTCTAGATCTCTAAACGCCAATAACTTCTTTAATTTAAATGGAACGCCCTGTATATTTTAGGAGAATCAGATGCACAATTTAATTGTCTATCAAATTGTATTATACCATTTTTTACCTCTCCCTTCAAGTTTTCGTAGAAAATGCATTTTCTTATAATTTAGACCCTATTTATCAATATACCCATGGAATATTGACATTTTAGATTTTTTTTAAAGCAAAAAATGTACAAAATGTAGGCTAGTAATATTATCGTTTTTAGCAAAACGATAATATTACTAGCCCATTTGTATGCAAAAAGAAAACTATTTAAATCTTTATAAAAGAGTATACCAATTAAATATAACACCATTATTTCCGCCCATATACTAATTAATTACATACTTAATTGTGTTCGTTAATAAATTATTCTAAATAAATGTGGATTTGAGTCAGAAATCAATATAATAATAAGTTATCAAAATTAAAGTCTCTGTTGTTATAAATAAGTATTTATTAAAAAATGAAATATCATTTTTAAGGTGTTTCTTTTTATCACACTGTCTAATACCCACACAAAATTCAGTTTTTTAGTATTTGGAGCAATTATTATTAATCAACGCAAACAGTCAGCTAATGTAGTTTGAATACTGGAATCATATTAATTGATCCTCTTTAACAAATATTTAAACAGTTTTTTTTATTTTTTAATAAAATAAACAAATTATATCGACAATATTAGTATCTGTACTCTTTAAAAAGTTGGTACATATTTAAAAATAATCTAAAATGTCAATATTCCATGGGTATATTGGTAAATAAGTTCTAAATTACAAGAAAATGCATTTTCTACGGAAACTTAAAGAGATAGGTAAAAAATGGTATAATATAATTTGATAGACAATTAAATTGTGCATCTGATTCTCGTAAAATATACAAGGTGTTCCGTTTAAATTAAACAAGTTATTGCCGTTTGAAGCTAATAATTATTTAAAATAAATTTTTAGGCACTCTGTATAAGGTAGTATTATTTTTATTATTGCAACAAAATAACTGATCAATAAATAAACTTCAGTAAATATTTAGTATTAAAAACTTTGATACCCTTGGAGAAATGAAGCCTTAAAATTTTTACTGCAATTTCACAAAATTAAAAATATTTCAAAAACGGTAAGGTTTAAGTATAATAAACCTTAATCAAATTTACCTTTATTTTAATCGTAGAAACTAAAAATGAAATAATATACAGGGTGTTCCATTTAAAAAAATACAACTTTGATATTTTTTACTTATTTGGGACACTCTGTATCTTGTAAAATTATTTTTAAATTGTACCTCTAATAGTACTTCATCGAACCCAAAACTTACAATTTGTAAAAATCTCATCGTTTAGCTACAATACTCCGTGTCGTATGTGGTGAACAACCCTGTATATGATAGAACTTTTTTTATATATTGACTAAAAATTGGAAAAATTAGATAATTGAACATTTGCTGCGAATGCACGTCTACACCTGCGAAGGATTTCATCGTGAATGCGAACGAATGGTAACATTCTCCAGGTCTGTCGCGAACGATTGCTTTCCATCGTCTGGTGGTTAAAGTGAGTAGATCAAAGAAAAACGCGCGCCGCGAATTATTGGAAACGTTGCAGTGTGGACGTATCGATAATATACAAGAAATTGAAACAGTTCCAATGGTAGAAATATAAGCGAAAGAAAAATATTCGTTCAAATGTGTCATACCACCTGATGCAATGGTGTGAACTAACATTCACCAGGTGTATTCACGACTTAAGAACGCTGTACTGTTCGGGTCGCTCTCAGGGGTAGGGTAAAGCGAGTGTGTGGCCGGAGGAAAGATGTATTATATTTCAGAAATCTGCCCAAACCTTAGCCCGATCCTGCGCAGAGCTTCAGCTGCCCGAACCGATTGCAGAGCTTCAGCATTTGCCATAAAATAGGGAGCAATTTGTTAAAAAACCATATAAATTATATATCACTGTAATCACAAAACTTTAATCTATTTCCGTATTGTAACGGAATTTTAAATTTTGTCTTTATTTTCGAGAAAACGTAGTCCAAACATAAGTAATATTTTGTTGATGTTTGACCATCAAAATCTTAAAATAAAGACGTTGTCTAAAAATGTACTAGAATACGGATGTAGTATAATCCTTTATGTTTAATTTCCTTCTTCGTTTGTGTAAAAATACCTGGCCAGTTTTACATAAAACGTTAGATGCCGAACGCCTATTTTGCTACTCTTTCGGACTAGTGAAATAAGAAACAAAATATTCAATCAATATATATTCTGACGTAATATGACAGACGTATTTGAAGAACAGCGGGATCGATCTTGATCCGGATAAATCAGGACAGGTAAAATAAAATACACGGCAAATCTGAAATAAACAAAAGCGTTTGAAGGGCGCCGACACGGGATCCCATCCAGCGTCGACAGTCCCGTGATTGATATTACCATATGTCGCTCGGCGCTGTGCCGAAAATAGCGTAATTGTTCTCGTAATCGCCTTATTGCCAACGCCACGCCACCAAAATAGCCTATTAATTTGTTTTGACGGGGCATACACGTCTTTTGTCTCTCCATTAACTCAATTTAGGTGTAATAGAACGACGGAGATAACTGATAAAAATGGCGACACGTCGTGGCTCGTTGAGTACGATTTGAACCATTGCCACTAGAACATACGTAGTAGTAACCGTATAGTATCAAAATCAAATACAAATATAGTTCATATCAAAAAAATAATAAATATTCCCGTACAGCCAGGGTACTATGTGCCGGGCAGCCATCCATTTGGTACCAAACTTCCTGATTTTCCCTAGCGGCATCATGTAAAGCAGGTAAAATATGATTTTCGAGTAGTTCCAAATAATATTCTGCATTTAAATTTCGCGTAAGAAATAATGGCCCGATAATATTGTGTCCGAATATCCCTGCTCAAGCATTTACTTTCTGTGGATATTGCGTCCTTGTTTCGACAAACCTGCGTTGGTTTTCTTTGTTCCAATATCGATAATTTTGAACATTGGGTTCATTATTTAAGGTAAACGTGCATTCGTCAGTGAAACATATGTTTTTTAAAAATTCCCTATCCGTGTTTGCTCTTTCCATCATATCAAAACAAAACGCCTGCCGCCGTATTTCGTCCCCATCTCGTAGCTCTTGGTGCTTTTCATATTTGAAGGAATAGTATTTATGTCGTTTCAAAATTCGAAACGCTGTAGTGTGATCTATTCCTATTTCATCCTCAAGTTTCCTTGTGCTGATCTTTCCTCTTCCACGCACAATAAAACTTCCAAGTCGGTATCATTTCTTGCATCTTCTCTTTGTCCCTGCCTTGCTTTACATCTGCAGTTATTTATTAGGGTACCTTTGGTCTCAAATCTCTGGATATTCCTTGCGATTGTAGATTTTCCAGGTATCGGTCTATTCGGATACAGAGCAGCAAACATGTCCGACACCTTTTGATAACTATATCCTTGATAATACGATTTGATCATCAATACTTTTTCTTCGGTAGTGTAATTCATGGCTAATATTTTCGATGTACATAGGTATGAGTTTTTAATAATAATAATAAAGCACTAAATGGATAAATTTCTGAAATGAAAACTTCATTTGGCAGTTATCTTTTACCTTGAAGTAAATACAGGGCCATAAGAAAGGAGAAATATTTAAAAAGAAATCGGCGATAACTCGTAAACGGGCTAATCAAAAATATCTAAAGTTATTCTTTTGAATGTGGGTTTTAGTGCTCTTCAATAAACCTAAATAGAATTATTCTCTAAAATAATTAGGGAAACCAATAATTGACCCCATTAAAATTTACATGGGATTTCCTATGTCCCGCTCGACGATGTAACACCCAGTATGTCATTTTAAAACTCTGCGTATGGCTAAATTTGAACAATTTGGGACAAGCCGATCGTAACCAATTTAAGAAAATGTTAAACAATATAGATAGGTGAGAATCATAACCTGAGAAATTATGAAAAATAATATTATAAAATAAATACGTGGGAACAAAAAATAAAGTTTTTACACTTGACGACGTCTAAATCTACCACAAAAGCTTAGATTTTTATTACTCAGTTTTCAACAATCTAAACTTGAATGAAATAATACTATTGAAGATTTTACCTCATTAGGGACATTTTCTCCAGTTTCCACTAGTTCGTGGTATTTCTTCATGTAATTTAGGACCGATTTGAAATCTCCAGTTACAGCTGTAAGCAGAGCTGCGTTTGCCGTCATCGTAACGTCATTTGGAGCAGAAGCGCAAGCGTGTGAAAGCGCCTTTAACGCGTTTTCAGCGTCTTTCAGATAAAACAACGTATCTGTAACAAAGAGAATGAAATAGTGTACAGGGTGGTCCGAACTGTATTCCGAAAACTTCGGCAGCATATTCTGCGGATAGAAATAAGTAAAAAAGTTTGTATAAATGTATGTCCTAAAAAAAATACTTAGTTTCAGAGATACAGGGTGTAGAAGTTTCATTTTTATTTCGGTTTTTTCCAAATAATTTCTGAATTAACGTCAAAATTTCGATGAAAATTGGTGTCTGGGAGTTTCTTGACATAAGAAATTTGATTTTGATGTCAATATGTCTCATATTTGTAGGAGGCGCCACCTACATGTGTTTTAACTGTTTTGAATAGTAATAACTTTTCGTCCGTACTTGTATAAAACTACTGCGTAAAAAAATATACATTTTTGAAAAGTGTCTAGCCCTAGCAGTCAACTATTAAGCTTGACCAATCAGGTTGGTTAGCGTGGTTATTTGGAGTGTGTTAATTCATTTGTGTTTGTCAAAAACTCTAACGTGATTGGTCGGGCTTAAGAGTTGTCTGCTAGGGCTAGACACAAGTCATTTTTGTGACTTTTTACGTAAAAAATGTCAATGTTACGTAAAATGTTACGTAAAAAATGTCAAATGTAATGTGTATTTGACTGAAATAATAAATTCGGGAAATGTTTATTTTTTTAAATTAATCATAATTTTTATATTTAATTTCAAATTTATGATTTCAGTCTAATAACTATTTAGTCGACATGTTTAATTTATATCAATGATGACAGGTATTGATAATTTCGATTCCAAATATCTCGAGAACCATTACTCGTGGCGATTTTTCCCAAGAGATCTTTTTTACGTAAAAAATATCGTAAAGGTACATTTTTTTACTCAGAAGTTTTATACAGGTACGGATTAAAAGTTATGACTCTTCAAACCAGTTAAATAATATGTACGTATTGTGGCGCCCTCTACAAGTAGGAGCTATACTGACATCAAAATCAATTATCATGTCAAAAAAACCCAGACACCAATTTTCATCAAAATATTTACGTTACTTCATAAACTATTTGAAAAAGATCTCAAAATAAAAATGAAACTTCTACACCCTGTATCTCCGAAACTATGCATTTTAGGACATACATTTATACGAACTTTTTTACTTATTTTTATGTGCAGATTACGCTGCTGACGTTTCCGGATTACCAGTTCGGACCACCCTGTATAACATACCACGCAAGGAAGTATTTCATTACTGCCGAGATATTAATAATTATAAATCACGAAATAATTAATGAAGACTTTCCTCCAAGCTTTTTTACTATTTTATTCACAATTGAACCATTAACCAACAAAATAAGTATAATATTTTATTTTGAAAAAATGTAAAATTGACAAAAGTTTTATTTTTTTAATGTAGTCTTGCCATGGTTATAAACAGTATATTCGAAAAGTGGTTAAAACCTGGAGTGAATTTAACTTTATCAACACTTAGCTATATATTCTTTAACACCAAAGATAACAGAATAAATTCGTAAAAAAAGCTCGCATTTATTTTATACAGGGTGAGTCTCAAATAAATGCAAATATTTTCAGGGCTGGTAGATCTCGATAAAAGAAACATATTTTCTCTTTACCGTTTTCCAAATAAGTCCATATATATTATCAAGACCATAGTACCATAATATTATCAAGAAATTAATTTATTAATTGTTTTTTTTATGGTACGGCTTACATCGCAATATTTACAAGGCAACATCTCAATTTTTTTAAATACAAAACCCTCCATATAATTTTTCTTGTAACATTATTTATTAAATTTAAAGTTTTCCTAAATCCCCTTTTAATGGTCTCACAGATATTTTTGGATATTATATGTATTACATAATAAATATGGTTCTTTCAATAGTGAAATATAAGGCAAAAAATCAATAGGTGGCTTTGATAAAAATTTACTTTTGAAGGAGTCATATGTATATTTATAATACCACTAGCGTGTACCAGCGACTTCGTTCGTGTCGAATTAATCATTTGTAATGGTGATGATAAAGCAAAGCAAGAATTTCCATTAACATACAAACTGGATAAAATTTTCTCACATTTATGTCAGCATGAGAAAAAACAATATGGTGATATTATTATATAACTTGGTAATATTTGAGGGGTAGTTCCATCTCGTTGGAATTTGACTTTCGAAAAATCCGTTTGCCAAAAATAAGCTTTTTACGTCAAGCAGTTTAAGCAGAATCGTGGTTAAGAAATTACCCAACTTTTTGGAACACCCTGTATGATATTTAAAAAATTTCAAAATATGTAAAAAAACCAAATAAATTATGCTTGTCCAAGCGTTTTCCCGAAAGAGTAACCGTTTTTTAAATAACAAATATTGTAATATTTGAGGGGCGTTTTCACCCCCTTGGAATTTGAGATTCGAGAAACCCCTCCTTATCGAACCCCTAAATCCCACAGTCAATCCGTTTGACAAAAATCAACTTTAAACGTCAAGCAGTTTAAGCAGAATCGTGATTACTCAGTGGTCATATTTTATGAAACACCCTGTATAAATTTATAAAAAATCTTAAAATATGTAAAACAACAAAATAAAATATACGTGTTTAAGAGTTTTTCCGAAAAACTCACCGGTTTTTAAATAAAAAATATTTTAATATTTGACGGATAGTTTTACCCCTTAGAATTCGAGTTTCGAAAAATCCTTCTTATCGAACCTCTACACCCTAAAGTCAATCTGTTTTCCAAAAATCAGCTTTTTACGTCAAGCGCTTTAAGCAGGATCGTGATTAATCAATGACCAGATTTTTCGAAACACCCTGTATACATTTTTAAAAAATCTTAAAATATGTAAAAAAACAAAATAAAATATACGTGTTTAAGCGTTTTTCGGAAACTTGACCGTTTTTTAAATAAAAAATATTGTAATATTTGAGGGGTGGTTTCGCCCTCTTGGAACTGGAATTTCGAAAAATCCCTTCTTATCGAACCTCTACACCCTAGAATCAACCTGTATGCCAAAATTGAGCTTCTTACGTTGAGTGGTTTGAGCAGGATCGTGATTAATCAGTCACTTAAGGATTTTATATATTAGTATAGTTTATATGGGGAATGTCATCAATCGTCATTTCCAAGCCAACTAGACGCCACTTTTTTTCGATCATACGGTTATAATACCGCATATATCAGCAAAACCGTTAAAAAAATTAAAAAAAACTTTAAATACGAAGAATGTTTATTTTTTAATTCTGCATCTAAAAGGGAAAAATAATATATACAGAGTTTCATTTAAAAAAGTTGAGGTTAAGCGTAACCAAAGTTTCAGTGAATACGAAATAACATGGCAACGCCGATTAATGTTTCAAATAAAAATAGTGTACTATATACATGATTTTATGCTGAATCATCTTGAAAAAGGGGGTTAAAATTAAAAAAGAACTTTCATATTCATTATAACTTCTTTTTGAGACGCCCTGTACAAAACAAAATAATATACATGGACTAATTGGCCACTCTGTATATGTACTTACAACCAAGTAGTGCAAAGCACTCAGCAACATCAGGTCTCAAATTCACAGCTGCGCAAGCAAAATTAAATGCTGAGGCTGGTTGCTGAGTAGCTAGGTACACCAATGCCAAATTGTAGATGATTTTCCAATTCAACGGCGCTATCCAAAGAGCTCTTTTCAGGCAACTTATAGCCTAAATTAATTGAATAATATATTATTTCAAGAAAATCAAATAATTAAGCTACAAATTGCTTAAAAAATCATTAAAATCAATTCATTAGAATAAAATCTATTAAACTTAAAACACGTGAAAATTTTAAGGTGTCAATTTTTCTTGGCAGTAAATGTATTTTAGTTTAAATGATAATTCGTCTAAATAATGCAATATATTACCGCAACAAATTTTTGCTTTGCATAAAAGCATACTCCAATATTGTTCCACAAAGCTACTGATTCTGGTTCGTGTAATACAGCTATCTTAAATTTGGTCAAAGCCACATCATACTCTTCATGTTTCTGAAATAATCATAAAAAACAAATACCCTCAAGTGTATAAAAGAGTAGAGACTAAATTTAATAGTAATTTTTTATACAAAACGATAAAATGGTATTTTATCGTCAACCGAAAAGATTAATTCACGAACGATGAAATCGCGAGTAAATTAATTTTAATTATATAAAACAATATTTTTTTCCATAGCCAGTTACGTTTTAAAAAATATTCAGAAATAATTATTTCAAGAAATTTATTACGAGTAGAAAAATATTGTGCTCGGTTGGCATTGGTTTCTATGTAATTTGACAAATAAATAAAGCTGTCTCTTTAGTTGTCAGTTTTGAGTCAATATTTTTTAATTCTCTTTCGTGTCGATTGCTGATTGAATTGGAACCAGTAATGGCTCAAAACGAAATAAGTAAATTACCAACAGATATTCAGGCTGAGGCGACAAACGCCATATCCAAACTACTTCCATTTAAATCCCGACTAACTTATGAAAAGGAACACAAAAATTTTCAAAAATGGAAGCAAATAAAAAACGTGCGAGAAGAAATAAAGTTTTAAACCTATCCTCGCTGTTAAAGTATCGTTTAATCTACCCTTGCGGTTAAAGTACCTACTATTTTATCCACTATTTTTAATAGATATAAAGTAATTTTAACAGTTGCTATGGAAAAAAAACAAATAAGTTGCCATATTTGTACTAAATAATATTTATTTACCATAGTAATGCATCCAATACCCAATAGGGCTTTAGAATGAGAAGGCTCTAAAGCTAAAGCTTGGCTCAATCGCTCAAAGGCATACTGAGACTGGCCAGCCTTTAGATAGAGCAATCCGGATTCTGTTAGCATGTTTACGCTATCCGGGCAACATCTGAAATTGAAAGATCAATGCTGGTTTAGTTTTTTTTTTATATACAGGGTGCGTCGGGCATCTGTAGCTCAGAGAAAAAAACTTGGAAAGTTTGTTTAAGTGCAAACCTAAAGTATGTCTAGGATGTATTTCAGTAAAATATTTTAACTTCTATAGGGTGGCTCAAAAAGGTGTGAGTGGATCGAGATGGTTTTTTTTAAAGAAACACCCTATATGTTATTGCATTTTTTGCTTATTTTCAGATCAGTTTACATAATCCTGAGAGAAGATATGAGTAAGTATATTTCGATAGTTTCAGAGATATTAATAAATAAATATAAAATATATTTATTTTACATTTCATATTATAGCATGCTTCACAGTATTTTTATCAAAGCCTCCCAACGATTTTTCTCTCGTATATTACAGTTGAATGAACCATATGAAATAATACTGGGTGTATCTGCGAAACCATTAAAAAATATAAGTATTATAAAAAAATATACCTATACTTTTCAGCCTTTCCAAAAAAAATATTAAAAATACAAGAAACTGTCCTGAAATCAAAACTATATTAGGTATTTATTTTAGATGGCATGTACATAGCTTTGTTATATATATGGTAATCGGAAATCATACAGGATGTTCAAAATTCTACGCCAAACTTTATAAAATATAAAATAATTTTTCTTTATTTTTTTTATACCCTGTATATTATTTTTCAATAGATGGATAATTAAAAAATGAACATTTTTTATATTTAGAGTATTTCAAAATTTTTGACGGTTTTGCAAATATTCGAGGTTTTATATTTCATATGGCATTTTCCACAATAAATTTTTATCACAGCCTCCCAATGATTTTTCTCTCCTATTTTACCGTTGAATGAGCCATATGAAATAATACTGGGTGTATCTGCAAAACCATTAAATATTTTGAAATAATTTAGATACAAAAAATGTTCATTTTTTAATTCTCCATCTAATAAAAAAAAATCTTGCAAATGACAATCGATGACATTCCCCATATAATTTTATATATAAAATGACAGCGATCTTCATTGCATGCCGTCACTGACGCCTGTTTTTTTTTTCATCACTAACTTGTACAGGATGTTCAACATTTAATGTAAAAAAATTTAAAATATAAAAAGTATCTTTTCTATTTTTTTAATGAAACATTCTCCATATTTTTTCTTCTAGATACAGATTTTTTAGTATTTAAAATGTTTCAAAACTTTTAATGGTTTAGCAGATATTCGAGATATTTTTACACATGAATTTTTCAACAGAAAATTTTTAATTATTTTTTTTTGTATGTATAAAAAATTGTGTGACAGCAAATCGTCTAGATATTCTGTTCCTACCTATATATTCTCTTTTTTTATATTTAAGTATTATCCCCTAAAACTGTGACCATTAAAGTAAAAAAACAAAGTGCTTACTCAGTTGCAGCATTAGATACAGCGATGGCTGACTTCAAGTCACGCTCTGATACTAAAATTTTCATCAATAAACCGTAAGATTCTTCCTGTTTTCCCATTTTGACTGATTTATGGGCGTACTCTTTTGCTTTTTCTATATTTCCAAGTTTCAAGTAACATTGGGCTATAAAAACAGACCATGTTACATCAAAAATGCTTACATTGATATTGATACTATTACAAATCATCTTATTACTTTCTTTACCTTTCTTTAATTTATATTAGTTTATACTAATTTACCTATAAAATAACACAACTTCCAATCAGGATTTTTCAATAAAGACTCAGCTTCAAGATATGCGTTTAAAGCAAGTCTAAATCTGCGCATATCATAGCTTAAAAAATTCGAATTTTATTTATTCCATTATTAGTTATTGCAATAAAGCACAACTTACAGACATTTTGCCATTTCCCTCAATATTATAGCGTTATCTGGGTTCATTTTCAAACATTTTTGAAATATTTCAAGAGCCTCCTGTATATGTCCTTCCTCTTTTAATATTGATCCCTAAAAAATAAATTTTTTATCAGATTTTTTAGTTTAGTTCCACTATTTACGGTAGCACCTGTTTAAAAAAGGCATATTCATTTTTTCCATCGCTTCTGGCCAACTCTAAATTAATTATTTTCTTGCAAAAATCAATTTCTCCTCGAATATGTTGCAAGTGCATCAGCCAATTCAGTTTTTCCATCGGAGGTGGCTCTGAACAATCCAATATATCTTTAGCAGGTTTGTCTGTTAATTTGTAATACTTTAATTTAAAACAATTTGTTTATTAACTACATTTATACCCATGCGATTAGCTGAAGCTAGTCCTTTTCCATTTAATAACATACTTTTTAGAATTAGAAAAAATATATTTGTGCAAGTTTTCAAAAGTTTGTATTCAAATTATTGGTTTCTAAGCAACCAACAATACACATAACGAAAAGTAGACATAATAAATCATTTCGAGTAGTTCCAAAGTCCGCCTGTCAAAAACCGGAATTTATAGGTTAAATATTTTTGCTCCTAGCTCCTAGCCAGCGTAAACTTTTTTGTGTTTACGTTTTTTTAGCCAGGATGGGCACGTAGATTACTAATGATGCTTTATATTTGGCTTCATTAATCCTTATCAAACGTTATTTATGATTTAGCCGCCCACACAAGCTCCGATATATAATGATGTCGAACATCTATATTTAATATGGATTCGCTTAATGTGTTAACTAAGAAACAGAAGATTATTTTAGGCTTGATAGTCTTGATTTTAGTTAATATTATTTGGGTATCCTCTTCGGAACTTAGTTCGGTATGTAAAATGTCTTAATTCAAAGTTCTTTAGTTCTTAGAGATAAATTCTGTTTGTTTTATTAGTATATGTACAAACATGAAACCTTCCAAAAGCCTTTTTTCTGTACTTACTTCAAAACATCCATGTTTGCGATCTACCTGTTTGGTTTCGCGTTATGGCCTCCTTGGAAAGATATTTACTGTCCCGGACCAAATGACTATATATTCCTGGAAACAAACGTTGAAGACGACATCAATCTGGAGGAGTCCGCAGAAACTAAACTCAGCAACCCTGTTTTCATACCTGTGAAAGCTTCTGATAGGGATTACATGGATAGGAGTTCTGAAACTGAGAGTGACGATTCTTCACTGAGATCTGTTAGATTTAATAAGATGGCGGAGGTTAGACATCTGTCTGAATCCGAAGCAAGAGACGCTTTGTTAGCAAGATTATCATACCAAGCTTCCTTGCGTGCTTCTGATAGTATTAAAAAAGCTTCTCTGAAAATGCCACTTTGTGATATTATAAAAGTATCATTTATATTTTGTTTTTTGGTGAGTAAATTAGGTTTTAGTGACCCAGTGTCCCAAAAAACGTCCTTATAAGGTTTTATGTTCCTTTTTTTTCTCAAAACTCTGGGTCACCCTGTAGTATGTATTTATTTACATTATTATTTAAGTTATATGTACTTTTTTAGGTAGTCTTGGCCAGTTATACTTATCAAGTAGCTTTAATTAAAGGTGGGAATGCATGTTTAAGTGTATTTTTTTCAACTTCGACTATATTCACATTGTTTTTATCTGGAGTATATCCTTCCAGCCACATTGATAGATTTACAGTTTCCAAGTTTGTTGCAGTTGTATTGAGCGTTATTAGTATAGTATGTATTTGATTATTTTCTTGTCAGAATATGTCTTTTTAATAGTTCTGACAATTCTAGATAATTATTAATGTTCATAACATTAAATTAGACGCACAAGGAACTGTTGGAGCTGCATTATCTGTCTTAAGCGCATTTCTTTACGCCAGTTATTTGGTGTTCCTTAAAAGAGTTATAAAGGATAAGGAAGAAAAAATGGATGTACCTCTATTTTTAGGTATATATTTTTTTAAATTTTTATTTACTATAGAAATATCAATAAATGACTACCAACATAAATTTTTTTTACTGCATACTGTCTTTTTTTAACCAAGATATAAGATTATAAGAAAACGGAAACAGTGCATTATTTCTAATAATATTATAATTGTAGGTTTTGTAGGATTATTTAATTTACTCTTCTTTTGGCCAGTACTCTTTGTTCTACATATTTCCAATATAGAAACATTAGAACTACCAGACAAAGAACAACTAAGTTTACTGATTCTCAGCACTTTTATAGAATCTTTCATTCCAGAAGCTTTATGGCTATGGTAAGCATGTTTCTGTATTATTTTCAATTTTCTATTCTGTCATTTTTTAATATTTTAGGAGTCGATTTTTAACGTCATCTCTAGTGGCCATAATGGCGAAATGTATGATTATACCCTTGATAATGATCGTTGATATTTTGTTTGGGGACATTGCTTTTACTTATTCTTTCTTTTTGGGTTTCGTTCCCATGATAATTGCATTTTTTATGGTGGTTGTTTATTTGTATTTTGACAATTGGGATCCAATATTTGGTGTTTTACATATGGCATATGCGAAGTTGTTTCGCAAAACGGCCATATTACAGTAAGTATCATGAGGAATGTTCAAATATATATGGATGACAGTTTTGTTGCATGACTTTTGTCAATTTTTTTTATTACTATACAATATGCTGAAGAAATTCCATATAAACTTTTTTCAATAACTACAGGGTTGTTCACCACATACGACACGGAGTATTGTAGCTAAACGAATAGATTTTTACAAATTGTAAGTTTTGGGTTCGTTGAAGGACTATTAGAGCGACAATTTAAAAATATTTTTACAATATACAGAGTGTCCCAAATAAGTAAAAAATACTATATTTGTATTTTTTTAAATGGAACACCCTGTATATTATTCTATTTTTAGATTCTACGATTGAAATAAAGGTAAATTTGATTAAGGTTTATCACACTTAAACCTTACCATTTTTGAAATATTATTTTCAATTTTGTGAAATTACAGTAATAAAAATAAGACTTCATTTCTCCAAGGGTATCAAAGTTTTTAATACTAAATATTTATTGAAGATTACTTATTGATCAGATATTGTGTTGCAATAATAAAAATACTACCCTATACAGAGTGTCCAAAAATTTATATTACATAATTACTAGCTTTAAACGGCAATAACTTGTTTAATTTAAATGGAACACCCTGTATATTTTACGAGAATCAGATGCACATTTTAATTGTCTATCAAATTGTATTATACCACTTCTTACCTATCTCTTCAAGTTTTCGTAGAAAACGCATTTTCTTCTAATTTAGACCTCATTTATCACTATACCCATGGAATTTTGACATTTTAGATTATTTTTAAAGATATAACATATTTTCAAAGAATACATATACTAAAATTGTCGATATAGTTCGCTTATTTTATTAAAAATTAAAAAAACTGTTGAAATATATTTTTTTAAAGAGGACTAATATATGATCCCAGTATTCAAACTACATTGACTGTTTACGTTGATTAATAAAAATTGCTCCAAATACTAAAAAACTGAATTTTGTATGTGTATTAGATAGTGTGGTGAAAAGTAACACCTTATAAATTTTATTTTGATTTTTTGCCGAATGCTTATTTATAACAACAGAGACGTTCATTTTCATAACTTATTTTTATATTGAGTTCTGAGTCAAATCCACATTTATTTAGAGTAATTTATTAATTAATAAGTAAATTGAGTATGTAATTAACTAATTTTTGGGCGGAAATAATGGTGGTATATTTAATTAGTATACTCTTACAAAGATTTAAATTATTTTTTTTTTGTAAACAAATGGACTTGCAATATTATTATTTTTACCACCTGTACATTTTGTACATATGTTGCTTTAAGAAAATCTAAAATGTCAATATTCCATGGGTATAGTGAAAAATGAGGTCTAAATTACAAATAAATGCATTTTCTGCAAAAACTTGCAGAAATAAATCTTCAATAAATATTTAGTATTAAAAACTTTGATACCCTTGGAGAAATGAAGCCTTATTTTTTTTACTGTAATTTCACAAAATTGAAAATAATATTTCAAAAATGGTAAGATTTAAGTGTGATAAAGCTTAATCAAATTTACCTTTATTTCAATTGTAGAATCTAAAAATAGAATAATATACAGGGTGTTCCATTTAAAAAAATACAGCTATAGCATTTTTTACTTATTTGGGAGACTCTGTATCTTGTAAAATTATTTTTAAATTGTAGCTCTAATAGTCCTTCAACGAACCCAAAACTTGCAATTTGTAAAAATCTAATTGTTTAGCTACAATAGTCCGTGTCGTATGTGGTGAACAACCCTGTATAATATTTTTTCCCATTTGTACTTGAACTTTTTGGGACACCCTATACATAAAAAGCTTACCGGCCAAACCTTTTATTTCAGTTCTAGACGAAAGGAAACAAGTTCTGAACAATTAGAAGCCTTAATCGGTGTGGACAGTAATATAGAGTAAGACAAAAAAAAAGTATTAGCAAATTAAGACTAGTCAAGAAACATGAATGTGATCTAAAAATTTTTTTAAAAAATTTGGTAGGCCCTAAGATTTTTTTTTTATAAATGTTTCATTCCTTTTAAATCATCTTCAATAAATCCAAAGATTTTATTTTATTCTATTTAGTTTTAAATATTAATTATATTATTCTAAATAAAGCTTGCATTTAATAAATTGCTTAATTGTAAAAAATCTGAAGAATTGAATCTTGCCACTGGAATATTTATACAATATTTTTAATTATATAATTCGATTAAACGTAAATGTATTTATTGTTATGGAGAGTTTACTATTAATGTCTACAAGAAATGACAATCTTCATTAAATAATCGTTATATTGGAATAAAGAATATAATTTAACCATTTTAAAACATTGTTTCATTACATATCCAAGCACTAGCAACTATAGTCTGTTCAATGGGAGAATTCCTGTCAGTGACAGTAGTGTCTGTCATTTTAATTCACAGGAACATTGTATTTCCTGTCATTTTTTGGATGTCGCCTATAAATAAATGCCTTTATTGTCAAAAAATTTTACAATTTGTAGACAAAGGTAAAGTAAACAAACAAAAGAGACTACAAAACAATTATACAAATTACATTGTCAGTCTTATTGTTTAATATAAACATTTATAAATGTTAACAATGTCAAAGAATAAAAAAATTAAAGTAAGATTCAAAAATATTTAGTAAGTTTATAGTAAATATAGTAATAGCAAATATTAAACCAGTGTTTACAAGATCAAATTCGATTATCAAAATATAAGTCATTTACGGCGTAGAAAGCCTTGTCTAGTAAATAAGATTTCAATGCTTTGCGAAATGAAGAAAATGATGTTATGGATTTGATTTCAAATGGCAGGTGATTGTGCATTTTTTTTCGAGTTGTATAATATTGAACATTTAACTAACTCTGAGCGTGGGGTAGGTAGATAAAGATCTTGCTCCGCGTTCCTGAGTGGATAAGTGTGAGATGGCCTTTCTTGAGAAGCTGTTACATGCTTACGTATTAGGCAAACGGATTCAAATATAAATAAGGAAGGAAGAGTTAATATTTTTAATTTTTTAAAAAAGTCCGGGCAATGAGTTCTGCTGTTTAGTCCCAATATCGAACAGCTCTCTTCTGGAGCTTGAAAATGCGGTCAAATTGAGTCGCACAACACGTACCCCAGAGTGGAAGGGCATATCTGAGGTGCGACTCAAAAAGTGCATAACAAATAACAATTCTAGCCACTGACAAGTTAAGCTCTTTAGAAACAGATCGTAATGCAAAACAGGCAGAGCTTAATTTTTTCGACAAAGCGTCGGGATGCATGTCCCATTTTAGAGAATTGTCTACAACAAGCCCTAAGAATTTTACAGATTTTACGACGTCAATGGTGGTGTTGTTAAGTACAAAAGGCTGCAGCTAGTTTTTATACAATTTTTATGCGCCACTCTGTGTATTTTTTACATATTTACATGTAACTTAAAATTCTTTTTCTACGATATACAGGGTGGTACTTCTCTTACGACGCGGAGGCTCCAAAGAGAACGACAGTTTGTATTGGAATGAAATTTTGTGAGGATATGTAAGTTAATTTAGAGCATTTTTTAAAAATGAGTTCTACGAGGTGTCCCCAAAAAGTGACACATTTACGGATTATAGGAGAAAAATAAAGGTGATTTTTTAATTTTAAATTTCAATATAAGCTATCTAAATTGGAATTTACCCGGTATATCCTAATATGTAGTTAAAATAACCATTGTACTTTAAATCAAATTAAAACTTGACCGAAAATGATATACAGGGTGATTCCTGTAAGTCGGTCATGCTTTCGAGGAATGATAGGGGACGTCGAAATATTAATTTTGATATAGCACACTATGGGTCTGAAATGCCTCTTACGCAAGATACAGGGTGTTAACGTTTTTGAAAAATTAAAGATATTCTTTAATAGTTTTTTAACAGTTGAAGGTAACGTTATAAAATGTTATTATAGGAGTCTGCCTAACAGAGACACTTTGAATGTAAAAAGAAGAGGTTTTAGTTTCAACCAGTGGCGTAGCTGTGATACGCATCGGGTAATATTTTCCAAAAAAATAGTACGCCACCGATAAAAATAAAAATTTCGGAGTTTTTTTTTTATTTACTCGGTTTATTTCCAAGAAAAAATGTCTCTTGCAACTTTCTTCTATCTAACATCATTTTGTCACAATTTAAAAATAAATATTTTTTTAATGAGAACCTTAAATATACGAATTATTATAACTACCTTAAACTAAGAATTTTATTATTAATAATAAAAAAATTCTAATTTAAATTTATAATTTTTTAAAAATGTATTTAGGACTAATAGTAAAAAGTACTAAAGTTACCCAAGATGAAGGGAGCTAACGATGCACATGTATTTCTACCCTCTAGTTATAATAATTCGCTGTATTTAAGATTCTCATTAAAAAATTTATTTATTTTTAAATTGTGACAAAATGGTGTTAGATAGGAGAAAGTTGAAAGAGACATTTTTTCTTGGAAATAAACCGAGTAAATAAAAAAACTCCGAAATTTTTATTTTTATCAGTGGCGTAAGTACTTTTTTTTGAAAAAATTACCCGATGCGTATCATATCTACGCCACTGGTTGAAACTAAAACCTCTTCTTTTTACATTTAAAGTGTCTCTGTTAGGTAGATTCCTATAACGAAATTTTATAACGATACCTTCAACTGTTAAAAAACGATTAAAGAATATCTTTAATTTTTCAAAAACTTTAACACCCTGTATCTTGCGTACGAGGCATTTCCGACCCATAGTGTGCTATATCAAAATTAATAGTTCAACGTCCCCTATCATTCCTCGAAAGCATGACCGACTTACAGGAATCACCCTGTATAGGGCGAGACAAAATTAATATTAAACATTGGTCACCAAGGGCGCAACTAGACATATACTTTTAGGGGGGCTCAAGTATTTTGGGGGGGCTTAGGTCACTATAAGATAAGATTCATGTGAGGTTAAAACCAATTTTATACGACACGCACTGGTCATCAGGGGGGGCTTAGCCCCCCCCCCCCTAGTTGCGCCTCTGTTGGTCACTTTTAAACGCAAGTTACTCTTTTATTATTTTAAACGGAACACCCTGTATGTTATTCGGATATTCAATGGAGAATTTATGTCTCTTTAAACTACTATTAAGGTTGCCTACCCCTCAAACAAAGATTTTAATAGATATTTTAATTTCTATATGATTTAGGGTCAATAGATCTTTAATATTTCATAAAATCTAGGTGGCTGTGATATGCCTGACGTTAGTTTGACATAGCTGTCAAATTAGTTCAACTGTAACAACTAGTTATCATTTTGCGTCAGTTAAAACGAAAAAAAATCTTAGAAATTTGCCGAAAATAGAAACCTGTCCTACATCAAAGAGAACTGATATAATTCTATTAATTGGTGGTTAATGTCCCTGAACTATCTAGTCTAGAGTTTTTATGGGGATATATTTCGGTTTGATTTCAAATTCCATTCTACAACTGAACTTTGTACGCAAAAGGACAAGGGACACAATCAAACACAACTTTATATAAAACGGTATATTTGTCGCTCTGAAATCTAGAATTAACATGTGCTCTATGTCAAGTATATATAGCGGTAATAATACATTATGTAACAATACATTCAATATTCGTTTTAATCCCTTATTTTTTTCTTCATAATAATGTGCAATTATTAAAGAGCTGCCTTATTGTTTACTTTTATACGTTCCCTTTCACACAATTCTAAATAAAAAAATCAAAAACATATCAAAACATTTAATATAATAATTTTAAACCTAAATGACACAAAATAAATAAAACATTGTACAACTAAGTCGTATAAAAAAATCTATAATTATTAATAACATACGGGAGTTTCAGAACATCCTGTAAATATAAACTTATATACTATATAATACACTAGTAGTAGTATATCTACTACTTTATTTATCCTGTATCTATCATAGACATAAAATAATAATGGAAGTTAAAATAACAGGTAATATACTTTGGAAATAAAGATTGCTGTCGTTTTATATGATAAATATCACCCACTGTCATTTCCAAGCCTACTTGAAGCCGTTTTTCCGATATAGTGTCAAATATTCAAGTTCCCTATTTTTTTTCACAAATAAACAAATATTTATAAAAAAAATTATGTCTATGATTAACAAATTAAACTAAAAAATCTCAAAAACCACTAATTTAGTTATTTTGAACGCATATAAATAATTTGTACACTCATATCAAATCCCTATAATTCTATACATTCATTCTGTCACCCAGGACAAATGTTTATCTTGTCCCTAAACTCCACTATAATCAAATATTATTAACAAAATTAATTAATATATTTAACTCAAAAACGTTAGAAATAAAATTTTTATACGTAGTAATCTCACTTTTAAATAAATAAACAAAAAAACAACTAAAATACAATTTTGTAAATTGTGTCTTTATGTATTTTTTATGTTCTCGATTCGTTAATACAATTTCATATAACTGAAAAATGTCTTATATTCATATACAGGGTGTCCCAATTTTCTGTAGATATAGAAGTGCTATGTATTTTTGGAATCAATATAAATTAATTGAAATTAACGTTTAGATCTTTTTTTATTGCTTTATCTTATTTTGATTTCAATATGTAATGTTATATGTCCACGGTATACTGGTTCACCCTGTATATTTACTATAGAGAATCAAAACATAGTCCTACATTATAGTTAAACCTATTTGTACACAGAAAGTATATTGCACTTAAAAAAATAATAAAAAGTAGAAAATATAATAAATAATACCTTAATTTTTTTCTCTGAAAAATGCATCATTCATTCAGTTCCATTTGCCATAATACATTTCATTTATCATTATGATCAATGTAACTCTTCACACTAACGAAAACATATTTTACAATAGCAGAATATTTTTCCTAGAATAATTGAATCACAGAGATGCCATTTTTTGTAAGGATGCATAATCATTGTGCAGCAAAAAAAGTTACCTAATATGTAAATTTATTGTTGTTTTTATTTTGAACAAACAAAAAACACGTCACAGTGGCTGTATAAGCTTAATTTATTAATATTTTGTAGAATTCTACAAAATGAATCTCTATGATTCTATTGGCTCAAGGTTTTCTTTTTCTAACGCAATTCCATTTGAGAGTATTAACATTTTTTTTTGGATTTTCTTTTCTTTTCGAAGTACCCGTTATTACTGAAAAATGATAAATTAGATATCTTCTTGAATTGATGTTGTCTTAAATTATTAGATTTTACATGGCGATATATTAATGTCAATACTGTCAATAGAAGAAGATATTTTATTTCATAACTTACCATTGTCTACCACTCTCCAAGAAACTCTAGTTTTAAAAAACGCAGAGTTTAACAATAGTTTTCTTTTAATTTTTCCAAATATTCAATCAAAGGAGATAAACTAAAAGAAAATACTTAAAAATTCATAACTATTGTAATCGCAAAACATTTTCCGATGCACGTCATCAATAATTTCAACACTGACACTAAAGTCTATAAACCGGACTAAATGAAATGTTTGGTTGTAAAATTTGTTGTATAATTTACGATACCGAGCAGCTCTTCATTTTACTTTATTGAGCAAATGATTGTAACAGATATTTTATTTAGATTAAAGCTGCAAAAATTAGTTTAAAACCGAATTTTATTATCGCTATGTTGGTTATATTGCGCCGTGTTCAGCAATGTTGTCCTTTTTTTTAATTTGACAATTATTATCCTAGTTTCAGTCATTTTTTTGTATATCGTATTGTTGTTGAATCTTTGTAATTCTCGTTTTTTTTTGGCCTATTTTCATAGTCTTTTTTTAAAAATTGCACTTTTAAGAACAAACAGTTCTACTAAATTTTCGAGTTTTTGTATTGCATTTCTTGAAATTGTGTTTTGGAAATATGCCGAAGTAGTATTGGAACAGTCGAAGCAAAGAGCTTGTAGCTTCCCTGTTTTTTGAAAACTATTTTGAACGAGTACGTGACAATAAAGGTTCTTGATTACCCTTGACTGCAATCAGAAAAGTAAGTTTGATTGATAAGCACAATATACCACTTTCAAGTTTAAATATATATTTTTAAATTAATAAATTAAGAGTTATCAACAGAAAAATTGATTTTTTATTTGGGACACCCTCTATTTTTTAATTAACTGAAAAGAATTTAAAATTACCTTTCCAAAACTATAGCACACTTGATATTTTGTTATAATCCTCTTCGAAATATAGAATTCTTAAAAGTTCGCCACTTTTAACTAGTAGGCTTTGGACCCCTTATTGATGATATGCCCTTAATGGAACTCGAAAACATATTTTTCCAGCAAGACGACGCGACGCACCGCCTCTGAACGCTTAAGTTATCAGCAAATTTTTGCAGCCAATTTCAAGAAAAATTGAATAGCTAACCAAGATCCCAGCCGTTGGCCGTCGAGGCCGCCTGACTTAGTGCCCATGGATCTAATCCTATTGATATATTTGCGGAAGAATAAATAATTATTTTCGTTTTAATTGATGCTCACAGATAGAATTTTTTTTGCATTACAGCTGGTGCCGTTCAAAGCCTACTTATTTAGAGGGGGCGAATTTTTATATACTCTATATCTGAAAGAGGAATCAAGCAAAATATAAAGTGTGTTATATTTTCGGAAAGGTAATTTTAAATTCTTTTCAATAAATTAAAAATATTCAGGGTGTCCCATATAAAAAATCAAATTTTCTGTTGATAATTCTTAAATTATTAATTTTAAAAAAATTATACGTAAACCATTAAATTCTACGTAAAAAGCTGCTTTGGAAATGTTTTCATAAAAATACAAAATTTTCCATAACAAAAAAGTTACAGCGATTTGTTAAAAATGCATATTTTTGAAAAACACCTCGTAACTCCGAAACGGTAACAGATATCGATATGCGGTTTTCACCTTCATGTTTTTAACAAAAATTGAGCTCCAGACACCAATATTAGTTTTTGTCTATCTCCTATACAAAAAGGGTGTTTCCATTTAAAAGCGTCGAATTTATGACCCACCCTGTACATCAATAAATAAATAACCCAGAATAACGCTTATAATAATCTTGGACTAGTTTTGCCAATATGTAATAAGTAAAATAAGCTATAAAACAAATAAATCAATCACTAAAATATTAGTTATTTATCGTTTCTTTGTCAAAACTAAATTAAGATTCATCTCATAAATCCATCACAATCTGGCGGCGCTGTCGCCATCGCTTGTCACTCAAAGTTGTGACGTGCTTGTCACTCAAAGTTGTTCACGTGCATCGGAAATTGTTTTGGGATTACCATAACTGAATTTTCAAGCTTCTGACTGTATTTAGCATGTAGTATGGTAGAAGAAACATATGGATTATTAAAACCAACCCTAGAAGATCCTTTTATTTATCATTATTTTTAAATATTTTTATGCTACTACGAGATTTATTATTGCGTACAGATTAAAAATGTAATAAAATCAATTTTTGATTTTATTTCGGAAATGACACATTTTTATATCTTACATATTTATTAGGACTTATCGAACCTAAAATATACAGGGTACGTCAGTAGTGTTTCTATTTAACTGGTATATACATTTTGTAAATCATTTATAAAATAAACAAAGAGAATCGACGGAATAAAACGAATTTAAACCAATTGGCAGTGAATTATGATTGATTACATATTTTCCTGTACAAAAAAGTTGGACAAAAACGCACTGGCGCACCCTGTACAGAAAGCAACAAGCTAATAACGATAAACTTATATTTCGTGATATTCGAGTCTTTTGATAAAAACTAGCTAATTTGTTTATATACGCCACCCTGTATAATATTTTAAAATAAATGAAACAGCATTATAGTGGACAGATAAGTAGCACAATTTCTGAAAAATGGCACTAATTTTAATAGTTTATTAATAGATGGAATGACGAATTTATTTATTATATTTGGTGATTTATTCTATATTATATGAGTGAAAAATTAATATTTTTATGGAATTATATACCAATGTCTTCAAAGTTTTTGGCAGAGTCATAGAAAAATTGATATTGTTTGCATTTTTGTTATTTAAAAAAAATAAGTACAGATTATACAAGGTGTTGCAATTAAAATCAAAAAGAAAGTCGATTTTAGCCATTGTTACGTGACACATCCTGTATAATACCAATGATCTCCCTCGAATTTAGCATTATTTTAGTATATTACTTTTTAATGATCATTATACAGGGTGGTCTGAACTCTATTCCGGAAACTTCGGCAGGATATTATAAGTAAAAAAGTTCGTATAAATGCATGTCCTTAAAATGCTTAGTTTCGGAGATACAGGGTGTAGAAGTTTCATTTTAATTTCGATTTTTTCCAAATAATTTCTGAAGTAACATCAATATGTGGATGAAAATTGATGTCTGGGAGTTTTTTGACATGAGAAATTTGATTTAGATGTGAATATGACTCCTACTTGTATAGGGCGCCGCCTACATATTTTTTAACTGGTTTGAAGAGTAATAACTTTTCATCCGTACCTGTATAAGACTACTGAATAAAAAAATATACATTTACGACTTTTTTTACGTAAAAAAGCTGTCTTGGTAAAAATCGCCACGAGTAATGGTTCTCGAGATATTTGGAATCTAAATAATCAATACCTGTCATCATTGACATAAATTAAACGTCATGATTAAATAGTTATTAGACTGAAATCATAAATTTAAAATGCTTTTGTGCCAAGTTCAACAGAAACTGTTATTGACATCAAAATCAAATTTCTCATGTCAGAAAACTCCCATTCTTCCCAAAAATGAAACTTCAAAACCCTGTATCTTCGAAACTAAGCATTTTTAAACTTTTTTTACTTATTTCTATCTGCAGAATATGCTGCCGAAGTTTCCGGAATATAGTTCGGACCACCCTGTAAAAAAGCTGTATTAAAAGCATCTCTAAATTACTTCTATTTTATTTTTCTGTGACTATGAAAAAACTGTTTTTTTTAAAAGCCCCGCCTACACATATCCTTTTACCTGTCAGTCCAAGCAATCAAAATACACAGCTGTCAGTAAAACATCATATGTAGAAGAGGCTTTAGACTTTTTAACTTACCCCACTATAATGCGAAATCTCTCTACTTTTTCGAAATCAAAAAACCATTATATGGCCACAAAAATATTCCAAAAAAATTGTGCATCAAAAAAATACATATAAAGTAACAACAAATTCAGTCTCACAGCAAAAAGAAAATCAAAGAACTGACGCAGTAGTAGCCCGGCCCACACCAGCCTTTTCGACGTTACGCCGGGTTGACGCGACGCGACGCGGCGACTCACCCGAAACTGCTGCGGCAAGCGGCGAATCGACGACAGCGACGCGCTTCGGGAACGGCCGGCTAGCCTCGGAAGCGCTCGGTGTTTCATGTCTGCAGCGCCGTGGTCATTTCGTCGTGGATGTTGGCCAGCTCGTGGATGCGCGCGGCGAACTGCTGGTTGAGCGTGAGCAGGATCTGTTTTTGGGAGTCGTGAGCGCTCAGGGCGATCTCTAGTTCGGACTGGGCCAGTTTGATCGTGGACTGGAGTTCGACGTTCTCTTTTTGAAGGGCCTGCAAAAGATGGAAGGGGATCTGTAGGGGTTTGTAGTAGAGGCTAAAAATCAGTTTGATATATATGATCGTTATTCTTAAACTAAAAGCCGATTTTTTGCAGAGGAAAGAAAATTAAAATCTTCATTTTTTTAACCTTTGAGAATTTATACTTCTTTACACTCAGGAATTTTTTAGAATTTTTTGAAGTGGGGGAACAATATGAAGAAAATTAATTTAAAAATCATTTTTTTTCTAAAATCTTCCGTTTTAACTAACTTATATTTTTTTAGTTTAAAAAAGTGCGTAGAAGATATTTTTTTTACTTCAAATTCACAATGATATTGCTTATTACACATTTTCAATCATATTGCTAGGCAATGATTACGTAAAGACTGGGTTTTTCAAAAATTCGCGTCAATCTGACGCATTATAACGCCATCTACTGGGATTTTCAGTCACCAGCAATCATATTCCTCTAAAGTTTGGCTTATTTAGGTAACTTAACAATAAACTAGTTTTAAACTTCATTCTTGTTGTCATTGTATGTATTAAATTGCAACTAACCCATTAATAATTTCAGTACATTTATATTGACATTTATATCTACATTTTACGATCAAATAACTCAGAAATATAATTATTTTTATTTTATGTTCTATTATTGTCATAAGATATTATTTTCTATGGTTAAACAGTGCTACAGTAGATGGCGTTATAATGCGTCAGCTTGACGCGAATCTTTGAAAACCCCAGCCTTTACATAATCATTGCATAGCAATATGATTGAAAATGTGTAATAAGCAATATCATTGTGAATTTGAAGTAAAAAAATATTTTCTACGCACTTTTTTAAACTAAAAAAAATATAAGTTAGTTAAAACAGAAGATTTTAGAAAAAAAAAAGTTTTTAATTTTTTTCGTATTATTCAATTTTCAATTTGTAGATATTAGTTTAGTTTTAATCATCTGCTGATGATGCTAACATGGTTAGCGAAATGCACGTCCAGTGCAAAAGTAAAGTGTTTTGGTGTATTGTGGTTTTATTTAGTGTTTTTATTTTGCTGTTCTAACACCAAAGGTTCCAACCCCCAACTGTATATTTTAATTTAACTAAATCACTGTCCAAAAGTATAATAAAGTCTTGTAATAATAATTTAGTTTTATGGAAATAAAATATGCAATATTCGAATTTTACTACTGTACTTCATCTAGGTGGACTTTCTAACTTGTAATATAACAATGCAGGCAAATTATATTGTTTAATTTTTGAGTATTATGCATAAAATAAAACGAGCTCTTACTTGAACTTCCGGCAATCTGTTTCCAGACGTTAGCCTTTTGACCTCATCGTTCTTATTCTCCAAATCCATTTCCAGCTGTTCCACTCTTAATCTTAACGATTGAATCTCTTTTCTTAGTTCATCGCCTAAGTCTCCCCCACCTAATATCAATAATTATAATAATAAAACGCTAAATAAAGACTTATTGTAATTATACCTTTGCTATTTTCTAAATCCGACTGATATTTTGCCTTCATTCGCATATTTTCCTCCTTAAGGCTAGCTAATTGTCTCTTCCACTCGTCCACATTCGCAGTGCTCTCTTGGAGAGCACTGGTCAGTCTTGCATTATTGCTTTTCAATGTGGCCAGTTCTATTTCCCATTTTTTTGCATTGGCAGAACTGAAATAGAAAAAAAAATTGGTCAAGTGCGAGTCGGACTTGCGCATTATCTATACATCATTCGACACTATATTATTATAAACTTTTTTCCAATTTAGCTGAAATTTTAAATGCGCGTATAAGTAATTTAAAAAAAATGAAGAAACACATTACTAAAAATTGTATTAATCAATAATAAATATGTAAAAAGTAAAAATAAATACGTAAAAATTAAAAAAAAACGATTAAAAAAAAGTCGCCTTGGCTAGGATTCGAACCTGCCTAACTACGGCTCCAACGTCATAGCAGCGTAAAGTCCTAACGCTTTAACCACGCGGCCACTGAAGACTTGAAAGATTCTATGTAAAATTCTTACTTAAAAGATAATGTTTAGTGAAGGTACTTTTTTATTTATAAACATTTATTTAATTCAGTTTTTAGTATTTGTTCTTATAGTGGCAACATATATACATTATCTGTAAAAATTTCAACTGTCTAGCTATAACGGTTCATAAGATAGACCTTTGTGACAGACGGACGGATGGACGGACGGACGGACAGCGAAGTCTTAGTAATAGGGTTTCCGTTTTTATCCTTTGGGTACGGAACCCTAAAAAAACACTTTGAATAAACAAATACATACAAAATTCTTGCTCTAATTCAAGACCCTGACACTCAGTCTTTCCAGACTTAAACACTTTACATAAAGTCAGTTATAAAATAAACAATTTTGACACCTCTTCTTTTTTATTCATTATAAAAACATATTAACTTCTTCATATATATTTTTTTAATTAATTGTTACTATTACCACAGATTATACAGATTATAAACTTTGTTTTTTCTTTATTGTTTTTCGTGGTTCCAATTTTCGAAATCGGGTACTAGTTAGGTTACTAGTTTGCGCACATAGCACGCCCACTTATTGCCTCTAAAATTGTGCACAGCGCCTGACCGGCACAGTTATTAGAGAGATATCGGAAAACCGAATAGCGTCATGCAGTATTTACGCGTACCTTATCATGCGCGAGTCAATTTTTAACGCAACACCCGCTAATAACGTTACCGCCTAACGTAATTTGCGGATCAATTACACCAAGCGCTATTTCTAAATAACGTTTAAAAATTGCTTAAATGGGCATTATGTTTGAATTGTTTTGAATTATTACTTTAGTTTTATTAGGTATTTATTTGATATTTAAGTAGCTGGGATTAGTTTTTATTAAATAAATATGGCCCAAAATATGGATTCCATCTCTTTCAATATTAAAGAACCTATAAAGAGGCTTAGGTTTACAGCAGATGACGACTTAGCCCTTCTAAGAGAATTTGTTGCTTGTTGTTGTTTTTTTTTTGGTTATACATATGAAATTTTTATACCACTTGATGGTTGCGCGTATCATAATGATTTTTTGTTAACGAATTATAAAATTCACAAGAAAAAATAAATCTGCATTAAAATAATCAAACTTCAACCATTAATAACTTTCGAAAGGTGAGGTTTACAAAAAAATTGCCAGGGACCTTTTTTGTAGAGAATTCAATTTCCTACAAATATATGAGACGAGATATTTTTTCCAAATAGTAGATACCGAGATATGAACTTTTCTTTCTAATAATAAGGAAAAAATAAAAAACTGAAAGGCGGAGGACCTTCCTATTAAAATATATTTAGAGAGAATTTTTTTGAGGTGTCTACTAACCTTTTTTTCAGAGTATAAAGTGAAAAAAAAATAGTTGATTTTTTTGATCCACCCTAATATAATCTAAAGTTACTAGTAAAATTAATACCAAGGTTATAACAGAAACATAAAATTGGAATACATATTTAAGTAAACTGTAATAAAATTGAGTACCTTTGAGCTAAAGCAAGTTTCAGTCGGTCATTTTCATACTTCAACTGCATATCTACAGGGTTGGAACTTGAACTACCTCCGTAACTACCTTTATCCATTTTAATTTGATGGCTAGGGCTTTCATTACTCTGAATAGCTGAAAGAGAATGGCTCCTGGCATGGACTATGTCATCAGAATCCTGTTTCATATTGGAAGTAGAAAGGGTGACACTCCCTAGATTGGGTAATAAATGAGTTATTTATAACCACTTTATAAAGATAAGAAATGTAAATAAAAGCATTTAGATAATATGTCGATAATATTTTTTTTTTAAACTCACCTGGAGGTTCTAATAAATTTTCTGCATTCTCTGTTGAAACATTTGCTGCTCTTGCATTGATCGGACTGGCATTAGCACTTGTAACAGGAGTTACAGGAGTTCCTCCATTTGCTGTAACTTTGCTAATAGCCGATCTGGTAGCTTCCTTAACTTCATTAAATTTATCAATAAACTATAAAGAAATATGTATTTTTAGAATTTACACGACCCAAACAATACTTTACCTTGTCTCAATAATAATACATTTACCTTTTGCAATTCTGCCTCAGAAGAGAAGCCCAAACCGTAAACTGTGTTTGCCCTAACATCAGACCATTGTCCGAATTTCTGGGACGTTTTCGTGAAAGTCATATTAGGCGTTACAGTACTATTAATTACCGCTTTTTGACCTTCGACACTAATAATCCTGTACAGACTTCGGGAAGAGTCATAGAAAAAAGATACACTAACTGCAGTACTTGAGGCGGGCATCCAGGACCTTTTCGTCTTAGGATCAATGTGAAAAACGTGCGCTTTGCACGTAAAAATCGGCTGTTCACTGAAAATATTAATAAATAATAAAAAAAATGGGCTTTAGGGTAGGGTCAAGGAAAATTGGGTGTGATTTCTTAATGCAATTAAGGGTTATAGACTACGTATTCTGTCGGCAATAAGTGTTTAGGTAAGTAAAGGTTTATTATCGCTTACCCCATCGTTTCTTTAGCTGAAGACATTTGATTTACTTAGATAATTAACAACAAATTAGTATCAACAATTTATCGAGATAAACTTCAAAAACAACTGTCATGGAACTGTCACAATAATGAAGATTGACATAGAGTAGGATGATCAGAAAATATGTACTTAATTTTTTTTATATTTAAAATATAATAAAATACACCTCTCAAACAATTATAGCGTTTAGAAATAATACAGTAGGGTACAAATTTTTTGACTAGATCCCATTATTGTCAAATAACTATTCAGTTTAAAATTATAAAAAAAATTATTTTGAACGCTCTTTTAAAAAACAACAGCGCCATCTATTTGACACTTTTCTGACAGGTCTCTTTTGTGAAAGTCGCCGATAGAAACACGTGTGTTCTTGGTTTTTTAGAAAATTTTGCTCTAAAAAGGTGATAAATTATAACGCGTAAGTTAAAAATACATAATTTCTGACTTTCTGTGTCTTTTAGCCACCATGGGTCGTGTACGTACAAAGACCGTAAAGAAGGCGTCCAAAGTCATCATCGAGAAGTACTACACCAGGTTAACCCTGGATTTCCACACCAACAAGCGAATCTGCGAGGAAATCGCAATCATCCCCACTAAACCGCTGCGTAACAAAATCGCCGGTTTCGTTACGCACTTAATGAAGAGGCTGAGGCACTCTCAGGTCAGAGGTATTTCGATCAAACTGCAGGAAGAAGAAAGGGAGAGGAGGGACAACTATGTTCCAGAAGTGTCCGCTTTGGAGCACGATATAATTGAAGTCGATCCAGAAACTAAGGAAATGTTGAAAATGCTGGAATTCAACAATATTTCTGGATTACAACTGACCCAACCTACAACAAGTTCATACAATAGACGTGCTTAGTATGTATTAAGTAAAATATAACTCTTTTAATAACTGCCGTGTGTCTTATTTGTTTTCTTTTTGGGGACAGGAATTAAAAAGTTAAAAAACCATAAAAATAGACTATATTTGATGTTTAAACAGTAGTGTAAATTTAAAAAAATAACTATTTTATTTCATATTGTTCTCCAACTTTAAAAACATCTATCTCTGGTTTAACCTTATCATACAAATGAGGGAAACACCCCTCAGCTTTATATTTCCTTCGGACAACTTCATAAAGAGTTAGATCAAACATTTCCTCAAACTCTTTTCTGTCCATGAATATATCGGCATACAAAAAGGAAAATCCTCCAACATCTCTAGTAAATTTCTCCATTTTCCTCATAGTACTGACTGGGTTATATTTTTCCTTCCTTTTAACATATCCTGGCACACCGTAAATACCCAGATCATTGTACATTGCGTAATTTGTGCCTTCAACTAAATATTCTTTTTTCGGAGCTCTTATTTGTCCAGAATTTTCTCCATGGTCATATACCCTACAAGGATATACTAACAAAGGATAAGCATCAAATAATATGTCAGATTGTTCAATCTGTTCCTCTAATTTCCTTATTGGTAAAACAATATCTTGAAAAACTTGACGAGTAAAGGTAAAGGCTCTAATTCCTGGTGTCGTAGTGAATTTTAAAAACGCTGGCTTTGGTGGTAAAAGCCAGCCAAAAAATAGTCGAAACAGTGGATGATTCCCAAAAGGTATCATGGATTCGACCACCCAAAATATAGCTCTATTATGTCGCAGCAAGTACTCTCTTAGAGGTATAAGTTCAGTATGTTTTCCCTTCTTTAAGAAACTTTCTACGTACTTATAGAACCATGGTTTATACCATTTGGTCAGATGGTTCACTGGTAAATTCTCATTGTAATCTGAATAATCACCTACCATTATAACGGCTTCATTTTTATTAAAAATAGTTGCTTCTATGTAGTTTGATACTTCATAATCTCCACCCGAATCTCCTGATAACAATCTGATCATATCACAGTAACCTTTTTGTCCCTTTACAGGAATATAAGTCATCTTAATATAGGGTTTTACTTTAACAATTTTTAAAGTAAGAGCGACCAAGAACCCTAAACTACCATGAGACCAAGGTAGACATTTATATAGATCAGGATTTTCCTGCTTGGATGCAGTGACAAGTGTTCCATCACCCAAGACTACTTCGAAGGATTCTATACTTTCCTGATATAATCCTACTTTATGTGAATGTGTTGTCATGCCTGTACCCATAGCTAAACCCCCTAATGTTGCATCAGCAATTTCTAACGTTACAGCTAAAGTATAGCCTTTTGGAATAAGGTAGTTAGTAATATCACCAACTGTTACCATTGGTTCCACTCTTACAGTCAAATTTTTCTCGTCCAGTTCTAGGATATCAAATAAATTTACCTTGATTTTGTGGCATTGGTTCTTCTGATAGAAAGTGGTGGATAAGCTTAGCCAATTTGGTCTTGCTGTACATAGAAGTTTCCTGTCTGCATTAGGTGATTTATTGTAAATTAAAACATCTTTCTGGATCTCTGCAACCCGATTGTTATGATTCTCGGGACTGCTAAAGAAAAACCTCTGAAACCTTGTGTAGAGTAAAAGGCCGATATCAAAAACAAAACTAGCAGGAAGACAGAAAAATAACACAACCAAGCCTCTGTGTACTTCCAAAAGGTTTATAACAGCTTCTTTCCAAGTGTTTGGAGCCATTATCACTGTGAGAAAGAGTAAAAATGAGAATATATCCGGAAATATAGATAGAAATCAAACTTACATTTAGCGTGCAAGGACTGTTAGAAATTATAACCACTTAAGAATGTCAGGTATTATCTCAACAATCACAATTTAAAACACAGGTGTCTGTAGATAAATGAGTACTATTAGGAGCTGGTACTGGTTTAAATATAAGTTGTGCATATCATAATAATATATTGCAATAATAAGCAATAACTACCAGCGTCAGATATAAATACAACAAAACTTCCACTATCATAAAGTTAACGTGGAATTAACACGTCAAAAAACAACTCAAATCATGATTCAATACGCTTTATTTATGAAATTATAAACAATATTTTAATTTAAAGAAATAAAATTAACCACAAAAAAATGTACTTCTTTGTTTTTGTTTTTTTTGTTGTCTTTGTCTAATAATTAACCATAGATATATAATTCGATCACACATCTTTTAATTATTTTTTCAGGACACTGACCAAATGACTTGTATATGCTCTGATAAGTTCAAGCCAGCAAAAAATAAAGAAGATAAATTATTGTCGATCTGTGGGTGTCCATGATTAGAACCCTAAGTTTAAAAAAGAAGAAGAAGATTACATCTAGTCTGTGGTTACGGTTCTTTTATGACCTGAAATACCAAAAAGAAGAAGAACGCAGGTGGCGCCATAGTGGAAAAAGTGAGAAAATTTTGAACTAAATTGTTTCCAAGGTTGCCAAGGTATTAGCAAAATCTTGAAACTAATTTAAAACAATATTTTTGTAAATTTAAAATGAATCAAACCGTTACAAAATCGTAAAAAATCTAATAAACATTTAATACAAACTTTGTTTGAGTAGAAAAAATAATATATTTTCTTTTCGACACAGCGGTAGGTATTTATTCAACAAAATATTGACCATTCTGTTTTACATGTGTTCAATCTGACAACGTTGGCAGTGCAACATTTTCCGTTGTTAAAAGGAGCTTGTTATGTGGCTCTTACAATTTTTCTGATTGTTTGATAGAAAAAGTGATTTTTCTGTGCACTATTTGAGTTTATTCTGTTCCTTACGGCTTGTGTGATCTTCTGAAAATGTAAGTATCCATTATTTTGCCTGTTTTCTATAGATTTTTTCACTTTCAAACATTTCAATTACATCACCATTAAAGGCAAATATGTTTTTCCAATTTTTATAATTTTCTCTTTCAAAATCGAGTATCGGGAAATATAGATGCATTTCTTGATGTCTCTATTGTACAATAAAAACAAAAGTTACTTTGAATATTCCTTCATATTTAGAAATACTTGGTATTTTTTTGGCCATTTTTTGTAGAGTGTAATAGAGATGTTTTTTATTCTTAAAGGGTTTTTGTTTAGTTGTTTGTTCCTTGAGTATAGTATTTTCTACGTCTTTTAGAATAAGTAATGCGTTAGTATACCCAAGGGTGCCCTCATTCCTCACAGTTATATAATACTTTCAGATGGAAACGTTTTTCAGATTTAATACTCTGTCCTCATGTTATGTTAGTCAATTTTTCTTGCATTGTTTTAATATAATTCTTTAATTATAATTTTCCCTTTTAGGAGTGTTTTTAACAATTATTCACAACCAGCACATGAAGACCACATAAAGGAAGAGACTTTGAGTCACTCCTTATATAATCCTGATGTTTGGCTATCAATCTGGATTATTACGAAATGGATTTTACACTATCCGGTTAAAAGTAAGTTTATATTATTAAGGAAAAACAATTTTAATAAACTCATTAAATGTTTATTAACAGATTAACTATATCTTTAAGATATATTATGTACTTAATCTTAATATAAAACAAAAAATAAAAATAAACATAATTAATGAAACGTAATATATTATTTATTTATTTTTTTTACAGATTTTCTACAACAAATCAATGGATGGATCTATACAGTTCCAGGGCAGTACATTTATCTTTTTCACAAATCTTACCAACAGTGCATTAGGACTTATAAGTATATATCTAAATTTTGGGTGAATATGTTTTTACTGGTTTAATCCAAAAATCCAATAAGTCTCTGAGTTACATTTTGATGGTTTCTTATTATCAGTGAGAAGTTCCGACCAGCTATTTTTAATTTGACATTTTTTGGCTTTGGGCTACTTCTTTTTTATTAGTAGAATTTCATTCCTCTACAATAGCTTGCCAGATCTGCCTCCCAGGTTTTTTCAATGTGGAAATATTCAATTTTATAAAATATCCATTAAAGAGTATTTCAGTTAAGCTTTATTTATTTGAAGAATTTTACTTCCTGTTGTTTATGATTAATTTTCATTTTTTATAATAGCTGGACTCCCACATATTCTTGATTTTAGATTTTAGTCTTTTTACAGGTATTTTTGTGTAAAATACAGTATCTACTTAGAATTTTATTTTATGCTTATGGTTAACTCTCATTTCCCTATAATTAACTTAATTTCTATATTTTCTTCATTGTGGGAATAATAACATCATTCATTGATTCTACAAAATATTTTATTGTCTGCATTTCTATAAACTTTTTTTTGTTTTTATTATTTTCTTTGTGGTGTCTTTCTTCTAATATATTTTTGGTTGTGTAATCTCTTCCACTGAAGTTTAGTTTTCATGGATTTATTTTCATGTAATTTTTTTTTTCAAATCATATACAATATCGTTATGGATATTTTTATGTCAGTTTTCTCAGATCATATGCCATGAATTACTATAAATTTAAGGATTTTGTTGTTTTGATTTTCCTGTGGTTTCCCACTTTTAAACGCACTTCAAAATCTGGCTAGGCCACAAGATATCAGTTCTGTGCATCTTTCCTAGCATTTTTTCCAATGAATTTTCTTAAGTACATAATTTTTAAATTTAATTAAGTAGGAAAGGAATTCTATGGGTCTCTAAGTTATATTTTTATGGTTCATTATTATCACAGACCAATTCAGTATAATAGCTTGACTTCCATATTGTGTGCACTTAATTAAGGCTCGCCCTGTATATATTTGTTTGTGAGAATAATCTCTCCATTTATCAATTCTATTAAATATCCCTTTGAATATATTGCTATGCTTTATTTGTTTGGTAAAATTACTTGGAACTTGGACTTTAGAATAATTTTATTTCATGCTGTTTATGGTTAATTTTTATTTTTTTATAATAGATTAACTCCCATATTTTCTTCATTGTGGCACAGAATATCTAGCTACGCGTAGCTTGCGTAGTTAGATATTCTGTGATTGTGGGAATAATATGATTCTATAAAATATTCGATTGGCTGTATTTCTATATTTGTATTATTTTTTTTATAGTGTCATTCTTCTGTTTTTTTTTTGCTTTTCTAAAAAATTGTTGGGTTGATTTGCTTGTGTTTAAATATAATTTAAACACACAATAACACTTCTAAAAGTCTCCTAATGATTAATTTCCACGGGTTCCAATCAATTCCTGGCGCATTCGCCATATATTTAATAAATCTGACTCAATAAAAGTGACAGGATGTCACTTCTGGCTTTTTTAGCATTTTTTCCAATGATTTTCCTGTGTACTATCAACTCCAGAGCATCATAACTAGCCTCCCCTAAGAGGAGGAAACCTGGGTCACCCCCTAACCCTGATGTTCGGCCATCGATGACCTATGTAGCATGCATAGGTACCCAAGGGAGTCACCACCCTCTGGTTTACGAGCTAGGTGTTCTAACGCTAGAGGCTTCGGCCGGATACGACCTGGCACCCAAGCTACGAGACTTCTTCGTGCACGTATCCCGTGACGTCTCGACAGTAGAGGGGGCGGGATATCGGACACATTGAAGATGATGAGGGGGGTCCGCCTGTAGGGGGTCCCGGTGGATGTCTGTTCGATGGGTGACGAGGGTGACCCGAGACGAGGCTGCTTAGCTGGGATGGGAACTGACTGGCGAGGCTTAATCGTCGGACAAGGGTTAAATCTGATGAAGGGAGGCGAACTTATATGCTCTGGAGGATTTTTCTTTGTGTTTGATTGTCAAGTTTGACTAAATATTCGTTAGAGGAGGCTAATCAATTCAGTTCTCCATTTCTTATTGACCACATTATTTCACCATATTTTTATCCCATATTTTCTTTATTATTGGAATATCATTCATCAATTCTATAGACTATTTCAATGTTTGTCTTATATATTTGTATATTTTTTTGTCATTGCTCTGGTGCTTTTCTATGATATATTTTTATCATTTCTATACATAGAATTATAGCATTTTTTTAATTTTCATGCCATTTTTTCTAATTCATACCCCGTTTTCATGCCATTTTTTTAATTCATCATCATTTCATCATGTCCCCTATATTTTCTTCCTTATGGAAATATCATCGCTCATCAATTTTATAAACTCTGTCATTGTATTGGTTTTAGTTCTAAATCTTATATGTATCTAATTGTGTAATTTTTTGTGTCATTCTTCTGAGACTTTTATAAATCCATCACAAATTTTCATGCAATTTTTTTCAATTCTATATGCATACCTCTGTGTCTTTATTTATCTCTCAAATTTTCTTTATTCTTTTTTTATTTTATTATTCTTTTATTTGTATTGTGCCATTCTATGTCAAGACTTCTCTAAGGCATTTTATTTCTCTTGTCTCTATAGAGTTATAATATTGGATTAATTTTCATGACTTTTTTTTGTTTTTATTATTTTCTTTGTGGTGTCTTTCTTCTAATATATTTTTGGTTGTGTAATCTCTTCCACTGAAGTTTAGTTTTCATGGATTTATTTTCATGTAATTTTTTTTTTCAAATCATATACAATATCGTTATGGATATTTTTATGTCAGTTTTCTCAGATCATATGCCATGAATTACTATAAATTTAAGGATTTTGTTGTTTTGATTTTCCTGTGGTTTCCCACTTTTAAACGCACTTCAAAATCTGGCTAGGCCACAAGATATCAGTTCTGTGTATCTTTCCTAGCATTTTTTCCAATGAATTTTCCTAAGTACATAATTTTTAAATTTAATTAAGTAGGAAAGGAATCCTATTGGTCTCTAAGTTACATTTTTATGGTTCATTATTATCACAGACCAAATCAGTATAATAGCTTGACTTCCATATTGTGTGCTCTTACCCCATACAGAGTAAAACTTAATTTAATTTTTTTTAAATGTAATTTGTTATATCTCTGCTATATTGAATATGTTTCTAAATCTTCTCTCTTATTGTATTATTGTTTATTTCACTTCTTAATTTCATTTCTGTGACACCTACATAAAATTGTATAATTTAGGATTCATTTTCAAATTGATTTTTTCATTCTGTTTGTAATCCCTGTTAAAATTGATTTTTTGACTGTGATATTGTACTGCTTTGGAACAAGGACAGCTGCTGTGCTTCAATTCAACCACCCTCTTCAAGATGCCATTAGATTGATTTTATTCAACATTCATTAACAGTGGATTGGGAATGAAATTCATCATTGAAGAGGAATCTAAATAATTTTGAATAAATTAAACTAAAAGGTGTTGTTTTTTAAATCGAATATGTTATTGTATTTTGCCATATTTATAATATATGTACATATGAATGATTAATTTCAAATTAAATATTTTGGCGCTCAAATTATTTTTAATTCTGTTTTTAGGCAACTAGAAATACATTGACGTGTATATAGAGTTGCCTATATAAAGAGTTTGAATTTTTTAATTCAAGTTTAACTCCTTTTTAATTGTTATAATTAAAATATTTCTTAATTACTGATACAGTTAAATTAACCGTGTATTTTTTCCTTGTATTACTATTAAAAAAAGGTCTCTATGTTACGAAGATTACTATTTATATATCTTATAATATTTTACGTACCCTATCAACTAACTGATTATTTAAAGTTATAGATTATCGAATAGTTTTTTACTCAAGCTTGTTAGTTAACAAATAATTAATTGTTTCTTTATACTTTTATTACAGAATCAAGACTTTCCAGAAGGGTAGCTAGAAGATTTAATTACTTCCACATAGACATCATCAGCATGTCCGTCAACATCTTGGTTTTTAAATGTACATATTTTTATATTACTATTGTAAATAAAATGTAATATGTTAATAAATAAAAATAGTAATCAACGATAACAAAAAAAAATTATCTCTAGATATTTTTTAGTTAATAAGTACAAAATATTATTTATAATTTGCAAAAATCTTGTAAGAATGTGTTTTAGTTTATTTCTTTTTATTAGATAAAAAATAAAATATGTAGCTATCCTAAACAATCAACACGAATGTCCTATTCCTTTGTCCTATTCAAATATCTTTAATAAATATTTCAATATATTAAATGTATACCTGTGTTTTATTTATAGCCATATTCGTTTACTATAACAATTAAAGGAAATATAGAAATTCTTCTTAATAAATATAACAAGAAAAAGAAGAATGGCAAACTAAAAATATAATCGCAATATAAAATATATACCCGTTAAGAAATATGATTCTGAAAAATGTATTTCACTTCTGTTCAAAATTAAATTTTTGATGACAAAAATCCACAAGATTTGGTTGCCCCGTGCGAAATTTTTCAACATCTCCAACAAATTTTTAGCACCGCACAGAAACGCTGAATTTTGTCGACTCTAAGACTTTGACCTCGTTTTCGAAATTAAAACGCTAATAACTCCGTAATTAAAAGAGATATCGGGGCGCGCTTAGTCGCATTCGATAGGGAATTCAACCCTCTATCTGTACACAAAATTACAACCCCCTGCGACACCCTTTATTTTTCAGGCCAAAAATTTTCTAAGGTTAACCCCTTTGCTCATTTTTGCTCCAAAAAATAAAGTTTGTCTTAGGGGGTTGCAAGTTTGTGTACAGATAGAGGGTTGAATTCCCTATCGAATGCCACCAAGCGCGTTCCGATATCTTAATTAGTTTTTGAGTAATTAACGTTTTTCTAAATGAGTCTAACTGTTTGAGCTCGTTGGCCAACGATTTCATATTTAATTCAGACAAGGAAAATATTTTTAAAAATGCTCATTTTTGGTGCTTGACATGCTTGTTTGAGGGAAAAGAAATCAAATCTTTATATAATATCGTATGGTTCTAGACTATGAAAGAGTTTATATGTTATTAAATTAATGTACTAAAATTAAAGGCAACTAGATTAATAATATTTTAATATTCATTGCATTTATTTTTAATTAATTTTGGCAACCAGTAATACATTAATATTTAATGTTAGTTGCGCTGCTTAAAATTAGAGTCTATTCAAAGGATTCAAAGGAAACCACATTAAAAATTTAATCAGATTTATTAGAAAAAGAATAGTTTAAAAATACAATTGACACAATAATTAATTATACATTTATTGTTAGACATATACGGCCCAAATTGTCGTCCTGGGATATTGTTCCTTGATTCTTCTCTAGAATTTTCTTTCTGATGTATACCGGATGTTCGTATTTCCAGTAACTTGCGCATATTTCTGAAAAAAAATAAAAAATATTTATACAGGGTGATCCAGTTTTAAGAAAGAGCGCTCCATATCAGGTCCTTGTTCGATATTTTCACTCAGATGTTTTTAACAATAAAAGGACAATTGTAACATACATTTTTAACTATTTTCATATTTATAATTTTTACAGATATACAGGGCGAATCAAATATATTTTAAGCTAAAGTCAAAAGCGAATAGAGAAAAATATTTCCAATAGAATAAATAGCTATTTTTATTTTTTTTTAGAATATTAAATGAAGAGAAAATTTAGCAGAAAAACTACTGTGAAAAAAAAACAGCCATTCCATTGAAAAACTAAAATTTCAAAGTAAACATATATTTAACTCACCTTGTATATTTCCAAAAACATTTTTAAAATGTAGGCTTGATGTAGGCTACTACTGTCTTCATATTTTATAACAAAAATGATAGTGATAAATATGTTAGATTTAAAAAAACACGATTTAAAATAAATAGGAAAAAAATATATGCAAGCTTAAATTTTTCTGTTAAAAGCAATTTTTTTCTAAATATATATACTAAAATCTCTTGAAAAATATTTATACAGTGAAAGAACACAAATATATGTGTGTTTTATTGCATATTATTATTTCATTTGTGTCTTTTCGCTATTCTTTTACAGGAAATTGTAACAAATTAAAAAGCATACTGAAACAATGCAAAAAATACAATTTTACCTTATACACTGCATTTCTTCATAACCATAATAAATTTCTAACAGTGTAGAACAACAATTTAGATTTAAATTATCTTTATACCAAAGAAAAAAGCAAGTTCGGAAGGTGCAGCATAGAGTCCATGGATTTGAATGTTCAAGGGTATAATTTTATGAAGAGCTAATTGGAGGAATGATTTGAAGGCAACAATTAGAATCAGAAACCATCTTAACGATTCCAATCTTGTTGTTCCAGCTTCTCTTTGTTGGCACACACCTTCATTGAAAAGCAGAGTACAATCGGTGAGGTTTTCTTATGAAATTCTACGCAAGCACACATCTTCCCAAAGGAAAACATCATTTTCTTCCATTTTTCTGGGTGTATTCTCCTTTCCTATCTTCATAAGAAGCTTACCGAAGCTCGTATCACTGTATTATTACCATATCTGTATCTGTAATAAAAAATGTTACATCTACATACTCATTGTTTTCACAGATTACACTTAAAAATACGAATAGTAGATAAATAAAACTAGTTATAAAGTATATTACAGAGCTCGTAGATTTCAATTCAACCAGTGGATTTGTTATCAAATAGAAAATAAACTCATTTATTTTACTTTTATACAAAACAAAATATACAAAAAAATATATTTTCTAGGGTTAGAATCAAAATTAGTATAAAATTTTATTCATAGATGACTCTCATTCAACACTTTTTGGGAACTAAAGATTACAGTTTTCTTTAAAATTCTAAGAAAATTTTAACCGAAGTTCAGCTATTTAACGTTAGAGAGCACTAGCTGCCTTTTTTTTTTTATAGAAATCTATAACTGAGTAGTTTAGATGTTCAGTCCATGATGGCGCCACATATACGTAGTAAAAACAGAAATCTATATTTATTTACTTTTAGAACTTCCCGCGTGGTGGCGCCATTATCGTTTATACAATAGTTCCAAATATTCTCACTAGAGAAGAATGGCGCTGTAATCAATTAAACGCGCCAAAAGAAAAATTTGAATAGACGGGACGTTTTTTGATAAAGAAATGAAGATTTCCTTGTAAAAGTTTCACTGTATACATGCCTAATAGCATAAAATACGAAACTTACCAATTGTAGAAGTTGTTTAACGCTTTTTTTTCATACCTGATCATATCACAGTAACCTTTTTGACCCTTTACAATAATGTAAGTCATCTGAATATAAGGTTTTACTTAAATAAACCAATCTAAAATAAATAATCTTTAGAGTAAGAGCTATCAAAAGCCCTAAATGAGAACAAGGCAAGCATTTATACAGTTCCCAAGGTAAGCAATTTACCTGTTTAGATGTTATAAAAAATTACAAAAATACGCGAGAAGACTTTTTTGACAACAAAATTTGTAGTTAGGTATGTTTTAACTTTTGATGTAATCTTGGCTGCCTATATATGAACATTATTTCTGCCTAAGGGGTTAATTTAGTTTAATTTAATTTATTCTCATAGGAAATAATTATCTATGTATTTATTCTGATCTATATTCTCGACATCTATACCTGTGACTTTAGCTATCATAATAAATATTAAGTACATATGTTGCACCTTAATCAGCAACATAAAATATTAATCAGTCATTACTAAATATGTATCATCATTATTAGTAAATAAAAATACCGACATATCAGTAAAATACTTTATATAACATTAGAAAAAGTACAAAAGTAACTGTTTTTCTAAAAATATTTGTAAATTATCAAATAGGATTATCTTTAATAACTATTAAAAAATAGGTGTATAAAAATAAAAAGCAATAATTGTAATAAAGTTCAATTGATTACAATTATCAAAATATTGTTACCAGACAATTATTTGTTTAAACAACAATGCATTCGACTTGCTTAAACAATAAATATACATTGATAAAACGTTGCAAAATTAATATTATTTTATCACAGTGATTCCAATAAAATTGCGATTCCTTGACCTCCACCAATGCAGGCTGAACCAATACCATATTTAGCCTTCCTTCTCCTGAAAAGCGTTATTTTCAATGTATTTTGCTTATTAATTAAGTTGTTTTTGTCGTTAATAACAACCCATAAACATAACAAACATATTTAGGCATATTTTATACATTTGAATTAGTATTTGTAAATTTTATTATTAAATAAATAAATAAATCCTTAATCCTCCTTGAACGACACAGAAAAATAAAATATGAAAACATTCATTTGTTTAAAATTGAAAAGTGACATCTCTGGTGACATTTATATCAATTAATTTGTCGTCAAAAGCGTATTTTTAAGTCAGTTGTATTAAAATTGAGTTAAAAAAGTGAAATATATAAAAATGTTTAAAAAAAATACCTTAATTCATGTACAAGATGAGCTGTAATTCTGCTGCCTGACGCAGCCAAAGGATGACCAAGAGCAATAGCACCCCCGTTGACGTTAAGTTTGTTGATGTCCAAATTCAGTTCTTTGGCGCATGACAATGTTTGAGCACCAAAAGCTTCGTTAATCTGAAAATATATTACGTAGAAACCTCATATTTTTACAAGGTATATAAATATATTTACTTCAACTAAATCTATATCGTTCAACGTTTTTCCAGTGGCTTGTAACAGAGCTTTAATTGCTGGGGCTGGACCAATACCCATGATGGAAGGTTCTACGCCTACTACAGAGTAGCCAACCACTCTAGCCAATGGCGTAAGACTGTTTTGTTTGACAGCTTGTTCGCTTGCTAGGACTATTGCACCGGCACCATCACAGACACCCTTTAAAAGTAAAATAACAAATCAATTATAACCAGGAACCGTTTTTGAAACACTGTGTATACAATACAATAACTTACTGAGGCTGAGCCTGCTGTAACCAATCCATCTTTCTTAAAAATTGTGGGCAATTTCTTCAAAACTTCTAGAGTAGTTTGAGGCTTGGGATGTTCATCAACTTCAAGGTTTTGAGTTGCTTTTTTCACCTTGTATGGAACCGGTACAATTTCTTCTTTGAATCTACCAGCATCTTGTGCTATAACAATAACCTAACTTAATATACACTTAAAACATTAGAAAGAAATATTTTTTACCTTCTTTCCATAGTTTTTGAGACCTGATAGCATACTCATCAACCTCATCACGGGTAATTTTATACTGAGCTCCCAATTTTTCTGCTGTTACACCCATTGGAAGACCACAGAATGAGTCGGTCAATCCCAACCATAAAGAGTCTTCTAATGGTGGTGGCTGACCTAAAGGAACACCAAATCTTATTCCTCTAATAACATGAGGAAAAGCAGACATATTTTCAACACCACCAGCTAAACTGATTTGAGCAAATCCAGTTTCAATGTCCTAAAACAACAAATTTAGAAGAAAAACATTTTTTTGGAAGAATAGCTTACCTGAGCACTATTAATAACGGTTTGAAAACCAGAACCACATAATCTGTTAATGTTATATGCAGGTTTCTCTTTAGGAATGCCACTTTTAAGGGCTGCGTGCCGGGCTGCATATATTCCATCAGCAGAGGCCACCTTTTCAAAAAATTACAGGCTCAGAACAAACCTTCTAATGTAAGATTTGTAAAAGTAATACTTACAGATCCAACGTTACCAATTATTACAGAATCTACTAATTCAGGCTTGACCTTAGCTGATTCTAGGGCTGCTACTGCTGCTACTGATTGTAGATCGGCCAAGGAAATGTCTTTGAGCTTGCCACCATAAGTTCCAAAAGCTGTTCTTCTTGCACCAACAATAAAAACACCTGTAGAGACCGATCAAATTAATTTAATAACTTTATTAAGCCTGATATACGATAATATTAGGAATGTTTCTGATATTTACCTTTTACCAAAGCCATGTTGAATAAAATAATGGTTTAATACTGTTATATAAATAATAAAATTTCAGAGCAACTGTTTTTAACTTTCTGTTATAATCCACAGTTAAATTTGAACTTAAATACTTATCTAGAAAGCTAGAATTTAAAACCCAAATAGTTCAAAGTCCAAAGATGCCAGCAAAACAAGTCAAAGTACAAAAAAATAACAAAATACTCCAACCTGAGTTTATAATCAAAACAAATATTTTATTTCTTTATAACAATAAAATTTAGATAAACTGCTAGTAAGAAGGAAATAATTACGAACAGATATTTACATAAACTTTATTTAAAATATTTAAACAGTTTTTATAGTTTTTTTTATTTAAAAAATTTAAAATAAAATAAATTAGATAGAATTTAGATAACTAAATATACATCATACATCTTTCATACGTATGCAACTAAATATACACAATCAATAAATGTCAATTCTTTATAACCTCAATTATTTATTGTTGTTTTGAATTTTTTTAAACTTTAAAGAGAAACATATTTATTTCCGTAATTATGAAAGACATAAAGGTTTTATTGAAAGAAACTCGCGAGGCAATAGCGAAAAAGGATTTTCAAAACGCTCTAAAATTATCAAAGGTAAATAATAGTATTTTATAACTTAAAGAACAAAAGGAATCCACACTATCAATTCACAGACGATTCTTAAAGAAGATAAATCTAATTATATGGCTATGGTCTTTCTGGGATTTTCCTTACAAGAAGTAGGACCTATTGAACAAACCCCCAAAGCTTTTCAGAAGGCTATAAATTTAGCTCCAACGAATCCTTTAGCATGGCAAGGTTTGATCAATTATTACGAGAAAATTGAGCAAGAAGATGCAAAAACTGAGTTGATTAAAACTATTTTGTCTTATTTGGATGTAGAAAGGTAAATTTTACAATGTTTCTAACTAGAAATAAGACTAAAATTGATTTTTGTAGTAATGAATCTAAGTTGGAAAAGTATTGTACTAAATTAGTTGATATTAGAAGTTTTGGTGATATTCTTGATATTTGTAATGCTTTATACCAGGCTTGTCAAAAGTGTGAAGACGAAATTAAACTTAGTATTATAAATAAAATAAAAGTTATATTAGAAGATGAAACAAAAAACAGCGATCCAAATTATTTAATTTTGGTAATATTGAAATGAAAATTATAAAAATTCTTTCTTAGGATTCTTTTGGTAATTTTTAGTACGAAAAATATATTCCAGAATTGATTTTAAATGGATGTATAAGTGAAAAATGTTTTTCTAATTTTCTTGCAATTTTATACAAAGAAAAAAGTTACATAAAAACATTAGATACAGCTATTGAGATGAATAAGCTTTATCCTACTAACATTGTATCATTTTATTGGATATGTAAAATATATAATCAGCTTTGGATAGAAGAAAATCCTGATGTGAACAAATATGAAGACAAGATTGAAGAATATGTTGAAAATGTCTTGAAATTGGAACAGGATAATTCTATGGGGCTTTTTACATCTGCGATATTTTCTTTAAAAACTAACAAGTATTTAGAGGCAAAAGAGAAGCTTTTTAAAGGTATGTGAGTGTACTTTTTTCTTATAATACAGCAAAAAGATCTAAGATATCTTTACTATAATATTATTAAGATATGTGCTTGATTCTTGCTGCAAGAAGGTTGAAAAATATATAATATTTTTTTATTTATTTATTAATATCTCTGAAATATCTTAGGGTTATGTAAAGTCATCTAAAAAGATGCCAAAAATGTAAGTTCTTTATTAAAGGCACACATGTTTTTTTTTTTAGTTACAAATAAAAGCCCTGGTTTGATATATGCTTGGTTTTTATATACAGAAGTATTAATTTATTTAGAATACTTTGAAGAAGCTTTAAATAGTCTAGAAAGAACCAAGAAATTATCACAAAAAATGGAAAATTCACTTATTTCTCAAAACATACCTGCTCAAGAAGTAAAAGTTTTGAGCATGTCAAATGATCTTTCTGATTGGGAACAAGCAGCAGATTTATTCTCTAGTGAGGCAAGTTATATAAACTTAATTTTAGTTGGGTGTCTTAATTTTATTTTAATTTGAAGGGATTTGTAAAAGAAAAGTGTCTCTTTTATGTTGCTGATATTTGCATTAATTTGGAGAGGTATTCCGAAGCTTCTTTGTACATTTCTGAGTTCAAAGATGAAGAAAAATATAACTTATTGAAAATTAAGTTACTAGTTAAACAGGAAAAATATCCTGAAGCATTAAAACTGTTTGAAAAACTTAATTTTAACTCAGCTGAATGGTGGATGGAATTGGGAAAGCTCTACTGGAAATTGGAAGAATATCAAAAATCTTTAGAACCGTTTTTAAAAGTAACTTTTAACAGGAATCATAGTATTTTTATTTTAATTTTATTGAATTTTTAGGCTGCAAAAAGTAATCCTGATAATTACAAATGTTTCTTTTGGTTGGGTAATGTTTATAATCAGTTTAATCAACTTGATAAATCGCGTAGATGTTTTGAAAAAGCTTTTAGTATTTACCCAAGTTCATTACAGACTAGTTGTGAGTTAAGCAAGGTGTACAGGAAGCTGAAAAATTGGGTATGTGTTTTTATTAAGGCAAGAACATGTAAAATAGGGTTACTTAAAATTGGGTATGAATCAACGACTAAAAGAATACAAGGACGCGTAACGCGCATATGCATATACTGGCTGGATCAAAATCTGTGATGTAAAATTATAGGACGCCATATTTTTGATGCCAAACACAGGAGCGATGTTAAAAATTTATCATAAAAATCACATAGTGCACACATACCTAATAATAATAGTGCTGTTAAAAATTTATCATAAAAATATATAAAAATCTGACTTAAGCTTTTTTGAAAAAGTCTTAAATCTTTTTAATGACTTAAGTCTTTAAAATGATTTAAATAAAAAAAAATACTTACCTAATAGTACGAGAGCTAGCAACGTCGGAAAAAGTATTTTAAGACATCTGGCTCTTTGATATATCTTTTACTATGCTCTCTAGAACAGCAAGCGGCCCGTTTGGCTGCCGGTAAACGTTGCGTTCCCTACTGCTCGTTGAAAGAAGATTCTATAATTTTATTAGACCTTTAAATTCTAGTATTGAATATAAATCGATCATGTCTCCATAGCACAGTTCGAATCCGGGTCAGGGCAAAGACTTTTTTATTTTATTTTCGTTTATATTCTGATAGTAAAGTATTAAATATTTGTGTTTTTTAATCACCAGATTTATTTAATACTTTACTATCAGAATATAAACGAAAATAAAATAAAAAAGTCTTTACCCTGACCCGGATTCGAACTCTGAATCATCGGTTCGTGGTCGGAAACTCTACGCACTGCGCTATGGAGACATGTCCGATTTATATTCAATACTAGAATTTATAGGACTAAATTAATAAAAAATATAGGACCTTCTTCCGATGCGCAGTAGTAAACGTAACGGGTATCGGCAGCCAGACGGGCCGCATGCTGTTCCAGAGAGCATAGTAAAAGATATATCAAAGAGCCAGACGTCTTAAAATACTTTCTCGAAAACGTTGCTAGCTCTTAGACTATAAGCTTTCTGTGAGCTTAGCTCTGATAGAAGCTCTGATAGATCAAGTCATAACCACAAAAGAATAAAGAATATTTAAAAAAAATCACACTGTATATTTTAGGATGCAAATTTGCAACTTTTACTAAGCATCTCACAGGACGTTATCAATAAAAAGAACTTGTGGGCGTGGTTACAGCTAGGACTGACTTATTTTGAACAAGGAGACATCCTGAACAGTATAAAATATCTGAGAACTGTTGTGCGTTACAATCCAGAAAGCGCGTAAGTAAAAAATAAGAGAGAAAAAAGATGGTTTCTGCAAGATTATATTAATATTTTAGTCATTGTTGGGAATCGTTGGCAGATGCCTATTTTACCAGAGGCTCTTTTACATCAGCTCTAAAATGTTATGAGAAAGCATCGAGTTTGTCGGAAGATACACTTTATTCTACTCTGCAAATAGCATATATTAAAAAGGTAAGTAAGATCTAATCTTGTAAATTTTGCAAGGAAAATTGATTTTTTTGAATAAAATAAAAATTATTCTCGTAAAACTCTTCTCTTCTCTTCTCTTCTCTTCTCTTCTCTTCTCTTCTCTTCTCTTCTCTTCTCTTCTCTTCTCTTCTCTTCTCTTCTCTTCTCTTCTCTTCTCTTCTCTTCTCTTCTCTTCTCTTCTCTTCTCTTCTCTTCTCTTCTCTTCTCTTCTCTTCTCTTCTCTTCTCTTCTCTTCTCTTCTCTTCTCTTCTTCTTCTCTTTCTTCTCTTCTCTTCTCTTCTCTTCTCTTCTCTTCTCTTCTCTTCTCTTCTCTTCTCTTCTCTTCTCTTCTCTTCTCTTCTCTTCTCTTCTCTTCGCAGTCTCGCATAATATCAACTAGTCTCGCCTAGTCTCAACTTGTCTTAACTAGTCTCGAATAGTCTATTTCTTCTCTCTCTTGTCTTGTCTCATCTCGTCACGTTACGTCTCTTCTCGTCTTGTCTTCTCACCTATCCTCTCCTCCCCTCTCGTCTAGTCTAGTCTCTTATGTTCTCTTCTCTTTTCTCTAGTAAAAAACTTCCTTTCCTTGTAATTAAATATTTAAGAATGAAGGTTAAAGTATATTAACTGTTTTTAACAAAATTTTGTATGATTTTTTTTGGTCTTTTAAAGATTTTAAAGGAATATCCAGAAGCTAAAGTGGAATTTGAGAATATTCTCAAGGTAAACAGGGAGTATGTTCCTGCGTTGAAAGGCCTAGCTGAAACAGCCTTGTGTCAAGCTAGAGCTTTTTTCAAAGAAGAAAGATTGGAAGCGGCTTTGGAGTGTGCCCAACTTGTAACCAATAAAATTAGTTTGTAAGTATCAACTAATAAGTTTTAAATTATTATTTTTTTCTAAGAGTTGTTCACATTTTTGCAGGAATTTTTGCATTTTTATCGCATTTTTTTTCTTGGTTATTACAAAAATATAAAAAATTTATTAGACAGTTTAATATATTGACCCTTCCATCATTGATAAAAACGTTCGCATCATTTAAAAAAAATTGTAAATAAGAACTATTATTTTTAGGGCCATCTTACAAAGAAGCGAGTTGTCATGTCTATGGAAAATTTTCGGCGATTGTGTTTATTTTGTAGCTAAATTACCCGAAAAATACTGTTGTTTGAACATATCCAAAGAATTTCTTGAACAAGAATCAACCGGATACGGACGATATCTTGAGAAAGATGAATTATTTAATTTCGCCACAAAGTAAGAATATATTTATATTAAAATTTACATTTTTTACAATTTTTTTCCAAACAAATCACTAAAAAAACACTTTAGCACACTTTTAGAAATGTAAATATTCGTTTTATGTTTATAGAAATAAGTAAACATAGAAGAGTTGTAATGAATTTTTCGAAAATCCTAATATAAAGATAACTTTTTTAGATGTTTCTGCAAAGCAGTTAGTCTGGCCGAAGACAACCCATACCTTTGGCATGATTTAGCCGTTTGCTATCTAGAACACGCCAGACAAGTTTCTGAGGAAAACGTCAAAGAGAAATTGACAAATTACTCAATACAAGCCGCGCAGAAAGCTGCCGACCTTGACACAACGAACTGGCAACACTGGAATCTACTTGGCTGCATCCATTTCTTCAAAGGTAAGAGAAATATCTGAGAATGAACGACTATAGGGAATTAGTTATTATACTTTTATATTTTTTTACATATTTATTTCACTATTTAATGTTTTAAGTTGATTTAACTCATGATATCTTATGGAACGCAGTAAAGAAACGGTGTTGCCAATAGTTGAAAATAATCCTTGATTCAATGGATTATTATTTTAGTTGCACTATGTTTTTTAGGTTCTTCTACTGGTATGATCCAACATTATTTTATAAAAGCCGTGACTGTCGATCATAATAGCGCAATATCTTGGACGAATTTAGGCGTGTTATACTTACTCAAAGGTGATATAAAGTTGGCGAATAAGGCTTTTGCTGAAGGTCAGAGGACAGATCCTGATTATGTGAACAGTTGGATTGGACAGGTATTAAAGTATTCTTACAGATTTCGTGGACTTTTCGCCTATTTTTTTCGATCATACTGTACTCGATGTTATGTTAATTTTTGATTTTTTTTTTTCTATAAAATCTGGTGTGTTTTTAATACAAAAACCAAATGTTTAAAACAAGTACTGGTGTTTTTAACATGTTGTAACAAAATTTTTAAAACAATACAATCCTGGTTACAATTCTAGTAGTATTTTATTTATAGGCACTGATAGCTGAAAATCTAAAACACAAAGACACCATGGGTCTGTTTAGGCACAGCGTAAAGCTACGTCATCACGATCAAGGCTGCCTGGGTTACGCAAACACTGTCTGTGATGCCCTAATCAACAGACCTTTGAAGGACCGAACCTTTCACTACTTAATTTACGATATGCACGCGATTCCTGTGGCTTGTGACGCAATACAGTGGTATATCGGTAAGTAAGCTTTTATTTGATCACACGTTATATACATTTTATCACATAAATAAATAAATTAATTAAATAAATAACTATCTCTACTACATTTTGTTGAGTTTTATCGCGATTCCTTACAGCTTTCGTACAATTGACTGCAGTCTTGTATTGATGATATTGTGACGTTGGGTTTGTATTCCTGATATGAATTGTCTCTGAAAATTAAAATGGAATTAGTTAAAATAATTGGCAGATTTTGAGTTTGCTCCTATTTTGATTAGGTCTAAACAGACAAAAATTGTTATAACGATAATGATAAAACCATTGAATAAAAATAAACTAAAGAAGAGATTATTTAATAAAATAATATTTTTATGATCTCTTTAGACACATTTCAATTTTGAGAAATTATATTTTGTATTATTTCTTCTTTGGTTTATTATTGGTTGTAGATAAAGTGTTAAAATTTGAATTGTGTCAGGACTTGATAATATTATTGTGAAGCTTAGAAAAGAGACTAAAAACATAATACATATTGGAATATCTAAACACTTGTATGTGTCCTGTGTTATCGTACCATCTATAACCATTTGTTGTTTTATGGTATTATTTCTTATTCGTTGTTGTCTGTAAATTCACATTGCTTTTCAAATGGCATCCATTTCTACGGCCTCTATCCTCTTCTTGTATTTCTCAGTTATTCTCCATGTTTCTGCCCCATATAAGAGGCTACTCTTTATCATGGTCTCATATATATTGAGTTTTCTTCGCTTTGTTATTGATTTGCTCCGTAAGATTACATTTAGACATACGATTATTTTTTTTTTCGCGTTGATAATACATTTCTCTATTTCTCTGCCATCAGTTCCAGTGTTATCAAGTGTAATTCCCAGGTATTCATACTCTTGACACTGAATAATTTCTTGACCGTTATCCAAGTTCAAATTTCCTTCTTGTGTGCCTATACGTAGATATTTTGTTTTGTCTATGTTATGTTAACTGTCATGCCCCATTCTCCGTATTCTTCAATAAGTTTTCTTAGCATATATTGCATATCATCTTTGTCATTTGCGACTATTATTTGATCGTCTGCGAGTTGTGTGAAAGTGTGAACAAACATTCATTGTCAATCTCTATGCCCATACCACGGATGTTTATTTTCCAATTTTTTAATGTGACTGCAACGTATATTTTAAAGAGAGTAGGGGAGATGCAACAACCTTGACGTAGGCCTTTATTGGTTATAAACGTTTCCTGTAAGCTCTTTTCCTACCTTTATTTTTGATTTTGCGTCCTTATATAGGTCCTTAAGAGCTGTTATATATGTATGGTTAATGGTAGATTGGGACAGTGTAAAATAATATTAAAGAAGGAATTAAAGTCTATGATTTACCTTAGTAAGTCCAAACCAGTTCGAAGAATCACACTTTGGTTTGAGTTGAAATCTGCCTCGCAGACAAATTTCTTCTTGCAGTTTTCATCTTTGATGCCCATTTCATTCAAAGCCATGTCTGTTATATTTAAACTGAAATCAAAAATTGCTTATATAAAATTACAGATACATTTTAAATATTGTAGAGCTGATATGTTTTTAAGAGATATCACTGATACGAATTTGAGAAATATCACATTTTATACACAGTACCTTCTTATTTTCCTTACTATATCAGAAAAGTAATCATATATACTATTAATTTTTCTGGCATGTGTATTTTTGATCGTTGAGTATCTTTCGTGTTGTCCATATGCATCTTCTGGAGGATGGTCAACAGAAAAATCTATGAAGAACACATATATGCAGTTGGAATTAATATAGACACTTATAAAGACACCTCTATGTTATTTTAATATATGTACTATATTATCGGAAAAAAAAGGTGCCAAGTAACCTTAGAATTACCGAGCAATGGCATTTTCTAGATCATACTCTATTAATTAATGCATTTTTTACCTGGTGAATATGACGAGAAATCTTTAGACGCGTATTCAGGAGGTCCACCACCCCAACTACCATGATCGAAGTGGTGTTCGTGAGGGTTGACATAGACGATCTTTTCTTCATGGTGATGGTCTTTATCTTTGCCTTAAACAATAAAAGATTCAAATTATTAAAACCCAAATCCGCAAAGTTGATTTAAATATGTACTTACGTTTCATGTAGTCCATTAGTTTTATGATACCAAAAATTTTAGCGGCAACGGCACTGATGGTGAAGATAGTTCCAAGGAAGAATACTATTTTTAGTTTGACAGCTAAGAACGTCAAGTAGTATAAGAAATGGAGGTGATCTAAAAATATGTAAAGTCTCATATTATTTAGAAATTTAACAGATTATATGCTAGCAGAATTTCGATGTACTATTATATCTTTGGCACAAAACATCCCCCTTTAGAATTTTGACTTATATGTCATAAAATGAAAGTAAAAGAAACGCCCCCTTGAGTTTGTTCGCGAACTAAATTCATGAAATATCGATCCCAATTTTTTTTAAATATTACAGAAACATTTTTTTTAATTGTAACGAAATAGGTATATTAAAATTATATTATTATACTTATTAAAAATTACAATAAAAGATTGTAATTTATATGATAACATATAATTTAATTTTAATATTCCTATTTTGTCACAATAAAAAAGTTTATATCAATACCAATCTCCAATAATAATTATATTATAAAAAATATAAAAACTTACGAAGTCCATGATGATGATGATGCTTCTTCCTATAAATAACAGGTCTCTGGGCACAACAGACCGCCAAAATTGCCGAAATCACTATCAAACTCTTCAGATTAATCATCTTATCGATCCGGTAATTGTTCCACTTTGATCTTTCGATAGATAGACTTCCTATTTATAAGAGTCGATCGTTGTTAAACGCAAGAAGCGAAGAGATCTCGTTGTTTATGTTAGTTTTTCGCACCCTGTAGCTAATTGGTTGGATAAAACCGAAAGTACAGAAAAAAAAGTTTCACTGATGTTGACGCGGCGGTCAAAAGTCGGTCAAAAAATTTTACGTTTTTACTTTCTAGAAAGGAATTCCGATTAAGGGATAATTTTTGTTTCTCAGCATTTTGCCACTAAAACAGAAATATAGAAAAAATAAACATTTCTGCCTTGTTAAACTCTACTCTATGCCCTGGGTTGCATGAATACTGGCAAATTTTAGATTTGCAAAAATTGTGTAGATGTTTCGCCAATATAAAATTTGATACATTCACATGCTATTTTGTATATCACATTTTTTGTTTGTTATTCAATCAATTAAATGATCAATATCAATTAAAATTGATCTAAGTGTATTTTATGTGTTTGAAACATGTTCGTATGTTATAGTGTTTCCCTATCTTTCTTATTATTTATAATCCTTATTGCAGCATTATTTTTTTCTAGAAAAGCACCCGGAAGATGGTTGTGCCTGGAATCTTTTCGGGATACTCCTGGAAAGAATGGGGCTCAAATACTCTGCTAGAGACGCCTTTGAGAAAGCTTTTAGGTATTCTGGAAAAGAAGACAGAGAGAAAGCCAGGATAAATTTTGGCAGGCTGCTGTATCATACAGGAAACCTGCCGAAATCAATTGAGATGTTCCATGACGCAGATGAAGCAAGTTTTAGCAGCGGAAGTGGACTTGCTTTGGCATTATACAAAAGTAAGTATAAACCCGTTTGAACTCGTGAATATATTTAGGCCACGAGATTAGCATTGGAAGGGGTATATCTATTATCACGACATCCATTTTGAAACCTTTTTTATGTCACTTATAAAGCGTTCAATAGATTTGTTTGATTTGTCAATAGAGTTGTTGTTGATTTGTCAATTGATTTTTTTGTGTTGACAATTCTCTGAAATGGGACATGCATATCGACGCTTTGTCGAAAAAATTAAGCTCTGCCTGTTTTGCATTAAGATCTGTTTCTAAGGAGCTTAACTTGTCAGTGGCTAGAATTGTTTATTATGCACTTTTTGAGTCGCACCTCAGATATGCTCTTCCATTCTGGGGTACGTGTTGTGCGACTCAATTTGACCGCATTTTCAAGCTCAGAAGAGAGCTGTTCGATATTCACTGGGACTAAACAGCAGAACTCAACTCTTGCCAGGACTTTTTTAAAAAATTAAAAATATTAACTCTTCCTTCCATATTTATATTTGAATCCGTTTGCCTAATACGTAAGCATCTATCAGCTTCTCAAGAAAGGCCATCTCACACTTATCCACTCAGGAACGCGGAGCAAGATCTTTATCTACCTACTCCACGCTCAGAGTTAGTTAAAAGTTCAATATTATACAACTCGAAAAAAATGCACAATCACCTGCCATTTGAAATCAAATCCATAACATCATTTTTTTCATTTCGCAAAGCATTGAACTCTTATTTACTAGACAAGGCTTTCTACGCCGTAAATGACTTATATTTTGATAATCTAATGTTTGGTCTAATGTTTGCTATTACTATATTAACTATAAACTTACTAAATATTTTTGAATCTGATTTTTATTTTTTTTATTCTTTGACATTGTAAGCATTTATAAATGTTTATTTTAAACAATAAGACTGACAATGTAATTTGTCTATTTGTTTTGTATTCTCTTTTGTTTGTTTAGTTTACCTTTGTCTACAAATTGTAAAATTTTTTGACAATAAAGGCATTTATTTATTTATTTATATTTGTTCTTTCGGAGGACCATACTTTGCGCAAGCGCATTAAAAATTAAGAAGTTTTTCTAATATTATCACAAGTGTTGTGGATTAAATATTATTTTATAGGTAGTCATTAAATGAAGCAAAAACTATTTTTTTTCTAGAAATTTTGCAATTATTGTCAATTTCTACGTTATGGCAGATTTTATCTAATGAGGTAACACCCGGGGGTAACACTAAAAGCTATTTTTGCTTTATACAGTTGCCTTATATTTGCAGCTTAATGAAATAAAAAGACTAAAAATGGACTTTTTCGTTTAAAATGTTAAGGCATTTTGTATTTCTTGTTAATGCAATTGTTATCACATTTTTGTGAACATCCTGTATATCGGTTACTAAAAAAAAAATAGTAAAAAGAATCAAATTTGGTAGAAAGAACTTTTGCTCTGCACTTTGAATAAGAAGACTAAGGAAGGAGCATAATGCTATCCATGTATTCATGCATGGTGGGCGGAAAAGCCACCATAAAAGCTCTCTAGGGTGGGGATCCTTGACAGTTCTGTTTGACGATTCATTTGACACATTTGAATTTGATTTGAAATTTTGTGGATTTGTCAGTCTTTACGGAGCTTATTTTATGTTATTTATTATTTATTCTACTACTGATAGTTGTATAAAGGTAGTAAATCTAGATGGAAATTGTGGCAGAACTTAAATTAACACTGTGTAAGTGACACTATCGCGATTTATCGAAAAAGACTCTAAAATAGTTGGTTGTGTAGCGTGCGGTAGATCTCGGCAAAAATTGAGTGAAATAATGGAACAACTTTTCGCTAGTAAGTGACTATATAATATACATACGTGTAGTAAACCGATCATTTATGAAATTCACTTAAATTAACTAAATTATATATTTTTCTTGCATTTTAGCTTTTATTTATCACTTGTCAAAGATTAGATGTCAAAGAATTTAGATACGTTAATTTGACTTACCTGCTTCAGTAGCGTATCGGATGTTTGTGTTAATAAATACTTATTATAACTTATCTATTTTTATTAGAATTATATATTTTTATAACAATTTTAATAACTACCAACATTTATTCACAACGTAAAATAAAACAACAAATTATTGAGCTACCCCACGTCTACCCTACATCATAGTTTTACATTTTTTAAATAAAATTAGAACGACACTGATAAACCGGAATTTAAGTCGGCCATATTTGAGGCCCATCGCGGTGTAACTAAGATTTTTGATATGCTCCTTCCTTAGTCTTCTTATTCAAAGGCTCTGCAAATGTCATTTTGAAATTAAAAATATTTCAGAAACAGTTACTAACAACTTATGTATAGAATATTATACATGAAATGTATTTAGTATTTAGTATTTAATGCAGAAACGCGTAGATTATTCCATTTAAAATAAAACATATTTGTTTTTGTGGTGTTGACAGAATAATGTTGAAATTTACATCTGCTTGTCAAATTAAGCCTATCCATAATAATAAAAACATCATATTTACTAAAGGCGCAAATTCGAACTACAAAGTAATATTTTTCAGCACCAAATAAGCAAAACAATAGTAAATAATGTGGCAGATCAAAATTAATATGGTGTATTTGTTTATATACAGATTTTGAAAATATATATCGGTATGCATATATAATCATTCATTCACAAAGTGAGAGTATGACTTTTTTACATGTTTTCCGATGTAATTATCTATGTTTAAGGTGATCAAACAATAGTGTTTACCGGTCTAATTTGTATATAGGGAGTCCTTTATTTACCAGAACAAATAGAAATTTTCATATTTTTAAATGTGCTTATAGATATACTAAGTACGATTTCAGATTTTGAATATAGTTGATTGAATTTTTGAAAGAAAAAAAAATTAGGAGAGTGGAGATTGATTGATAATTGATTTCAATCTAATTACTTTTGTAGTTTTACTAGTTTTATTACTTGTATTGCTGAGTTGTGTTATTTAAATCTCTTTATTACATAAAATTCTTGTAATATCTTTATTAAATACTTATCTAACATCAACAAAAATACACAAGAAGATTAACAATAATAATTGAAGATATTTATTTGTTGAAGGTAAAAATGCTAGACTTCTTTGGCTTAAAACCTACATTCTGGCGTTTTAAAAAAGCGACGAGTTTGTGATATTTTGATATGTCAGTCTTTTCCCTTAATTCTAGAATTGCCCGTATCATGTTGTACGTAGCCCAAAGAGTAGATGGCTTTTTCTGCTTTGCCATGTCGCTAAAATATGCCATCAAGACTGTCTCCGAAGCAATATTCTTAGCATTTCTTTCGGCACACCATTTTTCGTATACTTTCAATGCTATTTCATATCGCCCCCTACTTTTCTCTGGAAGTAAACTGGCTTCTGCTCTTTTTGCAGCTTCTGTAAGTTTTGGTGGAGTACCAATATTAAAGTAGTCTTCATTATCAGAACTTTCCGACAACATTCTGGCTTTCTATATTAGATAAATTCGAAAAAGCGAACGAGAAATTCATAACTGTCACTTAGTTGTTTGTTTCGCTGTTGAAGGTTTGCGCCATAACAACCACTGGTACCGGTAACTATAGATATGGAAATGCCAAAACAGAAAACGACAAATTTTCGCATATTTATGTTTTTTTCAAAATAAAATACTGTCCCTATTTTTTAATTAATGATGTGGTTGTAAATATAATAGTATACAAATCTCGGAGGAAAGTTTTCATTATTTTCCTCCTCGGTATGTAATATACTATTTTTTCATTCATCGATAATACTCATTTTTTAAAGCCTTTTGTTATCTGGTATATAATTCTGTCATATATTAAATAAAACATCGGTAGCGTTCACGAAAAAATAAAATTACAAAGAAAATTAACTTTTAAATAAATTAGGTTTGGAACTCCGCTATCGTCCGCAATTGACAGCTCACGTCAAGCTTCGGTTGCTCTCAATCAGTCCAGATCATTCAGTTAATCAGTCATCCGTACTAAAAGTTAGAAAAAAAAGCCTTCGCTTCACTGTTAGACGGTATGAAAAATTAGCTGGTTCAGCTAGTGCATCTGTAGTTTATTCAGCAAAAAAAATGACTTTCACAGACGAAGAGCAGTGAAAAATAGGAAAAAAATATTTCTTGATTTGTTTAAAATTTCTAACAATTGATTCTTTCTGCCAGTTTATTATAACTTTTTTCACTCATGTCGTTAATAATTTGACATAAATTATTCGAATGTGTTAAAAATAACACACGTCTTGATAATATGATTTAACGAAATTTTTCTATAACAGTTTTATAATTTTTACACGTTTGTGATGAGATAAGTTCTAATATTTATTTATATTATTAAGAAAGTTATTTTTTAGGGCAATATACAGTGAATCACAAAATACTTTTTATATTGGGGTTTAATTTTTGACTACTTTTACAACAAATAAATATACCAGAAACAATCTATAACGTTTATTATTTTTTTAACTTTAAAAAGTTCCAAAACCTAAGTTATTTGAAAATTAATTTCCTTTGCAAAATTGTTAAAAGTTTTTGATTATTTTGAAGTCTCATATATTAGAACAATACATATTAGCAAAAACTTACAATATTTCAGGTGGTCATTTCGAAGAATCCTACGCGGTATACGAACAGGCCCTCCATTGGCTGACCGACAAACAAACCAACCAATCAGACGTTCTGGTGGCGCTGGCATCAATGGCATATAAGTTTCAAGGTCCCGAAGCTGCTAAAACACTGCTATTTCAAAGGTATTTCTTCAAATCTCCATTTTTGTTTAGATTTTGAATATTATTAATTGAATGTAATGTTTACCATCTCTGAGAAAACGTGTGCCAATACTATTTCAAAATTTTAAATTTATATAATGAAACAAGTTTTTTTGAAACCTTTTAGTTCGGTATGGATTTTAACGTGGATTCGCTAATGAATATAATTTATAATGATATAAATAAATATATGGACATCGGAAGAGAAATGCATCTGTTAAAACAAATATTTTTTTCTATATTTAAAACAATATAATTGAGTAATATGTCATTATCTATACTAATATATAAAATCCTTAAGTGACTGATTCACTGATTAATCACGATCCTGCTCAAAGCACTCAACGTAAGAAGCTCAGTTTTGGCATACAGGTTGATTCTAGGGTGTAGAAGTTCGATAGGAAGGGATTTTTCGAAATACCAGTTCTAAGGGGGTGAAACCACCCCTCAAATATTACAATATTTTTTATTTAAAAAACGGTAAAGTTTCCGAAAAAACGCTTAAACTCGTATATTTTATTTTGTTTTTTTTTTACATATTTTAAGATTTTTTAAAAATGTATACAGGGTATTTCGAAAAATCTGGTCATTGATTAATCACGATCCTGCTTAATGCGCTTGACGTAAAAAACTGATTTTTGGAAAACGGATTGACTTTAGGGTGTAGAGGGTCGATAAGAAGGGATTTTTCGAAACTCGAATTTTAAGGGGGTGAAACCACCCCTCTAATATTAGAATATTTTTATTTAAAAACCGGTGAGTTTTTCGGAAAAACTCTTAAACGCGTATATTTTATTTTGGTGTTTTACATATTTCTTTTACAAGATTTTTTAAAAATTTATACAAGGTTTTTCATAAAATATGATCATTTAGTAATCACGATTCTGCTTAAACTGCTTGACGTTTAAAGCTGATTTTTGGCAAACGGATTGACTGTGGGGTGTAGAGGTTCGATAAGGAGGGGTTTCGCGAATCTCAAATTCCTAGAGGGTGAAAACGCCCCTCAAATATTACAATATTTGTTATTTAAAAAACGGTTAGTCTTTCGGGAAAACGCTTGGACACGCATAATTTATTTTGTTTTTTTAATTCGACGCGAACGAAGTCGCGGGTACACGCTAGTAATTTATAAAAAGTTGTTTAATTGTAGAATTGAGTAATATGTATAACTATAATATATCTTCCTCTAAAATCTTCTTGAATTTAATTTCCAAAATCGTACCTTCAAATTGACAAGACAGACACTAACATCAGTTGATAGGGCTATCTTTATTTTTTAGTATTGAACTAAAACCTCCATCACCATGGAGTCTATTTGCCACTTTTTCACTTGCACTGTTACACAATGATGATAAATTGGCTCAGTTGGTTTGCAAGGAGTTGGCAGACGTGGAAAAACATTTGGAAGAAGTAGAAATGGAACAGACAGAGTTCGTGTATCATTACGCCACACTTTTGGCTTATTACTACATAATTACGGTAAATAAAACTATTTTATTAAAATATCCTTAACAAAACTATAGTCTATCTGGCAAAACTGTCATATTTTCTCGCTGGACAAATAAAATAGGTTTGGCGCATTATATTTTTTTTTTAATTTATAGGATAATAAGAAAAAAGCTATAGTAGAACTAAGCAAACTAGTTCATAAGTACCCCAATGAGAGTTCAACGTGGCTGACATTGTCTATGACAATATTTCGACTGCAAACTGCGAAAAAAGCTCTTGAAATAGCGGCAAGATGTGCCCAAACTGCTATCAAATTAGGCAGAACCAACACAAATGTGTGTAAGGTAAGAAAGAAAATTTTGGGTGGACTTGTTTGGAAACCGTTTTTTTTTATTTTTTTCTCCATAGCCGGATTTGATATAGGAAATCTGCCCCGCGGCTTTTTTGATTCGCACTCAGGGAATCAATTTGGTGTTGAATCAAAATAATTCACCTAAATTTTTAGCTCTTTAACTCAAACGGTTCTCCAGATTTTCAAAAAAACCTGTTTTTTCAATTTTATTTTTATTTTTATAGTAAAATACAAAATTAATTAATGATGATTTTTTTTGTAATTTTTAGAAGTCTAAGACATGAAAAAATAATATAATCACTCACAGTACACTACGGGTCCTCAGACCGTACGGGCGTCGCTCTGCGTTTTTGCTCTGAACATTATCTTGAATCTTTTTTCCACCTTATCTTTCGGCAATAAATCGGTGTGTTTGGTTTTTGTGAACAAAAATAATTAGACTATAATGGCTAAAGTATTCAAATGCTGTAAAAACAAAATAAATAACAACTGGATATGTACTGTATGTAACAACATTTTCCATCCAAGCTGCTGTAAACGTACAAAAAATTACGAGATAATCTCCGAAAATTTTATCTGTTGTTCATCTGACTGTCGGGAAGCTTTGAAGGATGAAGAAAATGATACAACTAAAACACTGCAAAGTCTAGTACAGGAATTAAAAACAGAGCTGCAACAAAAAACGCCTATATAAGTAGATTAAAAAGAAACTCCCAAGCTTGCCAGGAAGACTTCTCTGTCATAGAGGATGAACTGGAAAACCGGGTAAAGAAATATGAAGACCAGATCTCCAATTTAAAGGCTAAAGTAGAAGAACTGAATCTTGAATTGATAAAATGGAAGACAATGGAAGACTCTACTCCTCCACTGGCTCTGGAAGCAGCTGTGGAGAGTTCTATTAGATTCACTCCTGATTGCTCTATTACGACAATGCAGGTACCAGTTTCACCAAAGAATCCAGTACCAATTTTACCAAAGAAAACCTGTCAGTTCCGGCGCTTGCTGGTGATGGGAAGTTATTATAGCGTGAAGAATATTCCGAAGCTTCTTAAACTTAAAAGGAACGCGGGAAGTGATATCAACTGTCAGTTCTCCGCAGAACCCCTTACCATTGGGACCATGGCCAAAATGGGTACTAATCTTAGTGAAGCTTTTGGTAGGGAGGACCATGTCATGTTGTTCGTAGACCCACGCAGTGCTAAAGAAAGAACGACTCTGACCAGTTCAGCTGTAAAAGGGATGATGGACCTGTACAAACATACAAATCTAATTATTATAGGGGCATGTCAAAGTATGACATCATATAAACAAAAACAGGCTGTCTATGAGTATAACCTCCTTATGAAAAAGAGCATACATGCTGTGGAACGTGGTGGAATTTTTGTATCGCTTGATCAGTTTACACCAGATGACATGTTTTCTTTACGGAGGCAGCAAGCAGACTACATGATTAAAAAGAATTTGGCAAATTTTATATATAAAAATTATCTAGAGCATACTGAGGAAATGCCACAGGCCAAATTATCCTTCGAAGAACGACTGAAGAAGCTTCTGGGTGGTAAACAGGATAATTGGCGTCCTAAAATTACAACTTTTCCGGAGACATTTCCGCTGCCGTCTGATGCCTTAAGGGGACCAACTCTGCCTGCAGTTCATTTAGATAGCCCACTACCAACCGACATACAACAAAATTTTCGGAAACGCTACCCCAATATAGAACAACAAACCAATTAAGTAACCTGAACCTACACATTTACTACCAAAATGTACGTGGCTTACGAACTAAAACCGTTGTACTCTACACTAGTATAATCGCCGATGATTATGATGTTGTCCTGTTAACTGAAACGTGGTTGACTGATGGTTTTCGTGACTCAGAACTCTTTGATGACCGGTATATAGTAATGCGCAGAGATCGAGAGAACGGCAATTCAGATAGAAGAGGCGGAGGGGTTTTAATTGCTACCAATAAAAATATCCGCACTCAACTGATTAGTTCACAAAGTTTTGGTGCCAGTGATTTTCTTTTAATACTATGTAAGTTCAATAACTATGTATTTTACGTGTGCTGTCTATATGCCCCGCCAAATTCCGATATCGCAACTTACACTTCTATTTTTGATTATCTGGATTCCATATTGAAAGATGGTGATCCTATATATTATTAGCGGGCGATTTCAATCTACCTTTTTTTCCTGCTGTTATGTGTGACATAAGTTCGTCCCTGATGCATTTCTTATGTTTTAATAATTTAGTTCAAGTGAATAGTGTTTATAACTTTCTCGGTCGTAGGTTAGATCTAGTGATAAGTAATATAAATAATTTAGCCGTACAAAAATGTGTATCTTCATTGATTGTGGAGACAATTATCATCCATCATTACGCATTGATTTTAGTGTCAAAACAACTGATGTTAAAAAGATAAATTCTGTCTATACATATGACTATAGTAAAGGCAACTACTTGCTATTGCATAGTATGATGAGGGATGTTAATTGGGACTCCCTCTTAAACATATCTAATCCTAATGATTGTATGTCTGAATTATATTGTAAACTTTATAATGTTCTCGATAAAACAATTCCAAAGAAAATATCCTCTAAAAGCTTCCACAAACGAAAATTTCCGCATTGGTTTTCTAAAGATCTTATAAAAAAGATAAATATTAAAAACAAAATGCACAGAAGAAATAAATTTTCTATTGAATTCCGAGATCTCAGGACCAGTATTAAAGCTCAAACAAAGGTTGAATTTCGGGAATATCATAAAAACATTGAACACAATGCGTCACTCGATCCGAGTGGGTTTTGGAAGTTTATAAAGTCTAAATCGCAGGGCAACGGGGTACCTGAACATATTATTCACAACGATACATCCTACGAGGGAAGTCTGGATATTGCTAACGCTTTTGCAAACTACTTTAAAGGAGTTTATGAACCGTCTGAAATCGATGTCTATTCGGATTTCGGTGATTTCTGGGGCAATTTTGACTTCGTTGAAATAACAAATGACATGACTCTAGCAGCTATAAAGAAATTAAAATCGAAAAAGTCCGTTAGCACTGACAATATCCCTTCTTATATTTTTAAAGGATGTGCCGAAATACTAGCAAAGCCTTTGACTCATTTATTCAATTGCGCTCTTAATACGGGAGTATTTCCCGATACATTAAAAAAATCAATAGTGGTTCCAATTTACAAAAAAGGCGGAATTGATAAAATTCAAAATTACAGACCTATTAATCTACTTAGTCCACTTGCTAAAGTTTTTGAAATCATACTGCATGAGAATTTGCAACTTTTAATCAATGAACACATTGTGAAAGAACAGCATGGATTCCTTAAAGATAGATCAACTATTTCTAATTTAAGCGTTTTCACAAATTCAGCATCCCTTGCGATTGATAATAAGCAGCAATTAGATGTCATCTATACCGATGCTGAAAAAGCATTCGACAAAGTAAGCCACAAACTACTACTTAACAAACTTATACATTTTGGTCTTTCCAAAAAAGCTTTTGAGCTGCTCAAAAGCTATCTGACAGATCGAACCTGTACTGTTAGAATAGGCAACGAAACATCTGACGCATTTACTGTCACTTCAGGAGTTCCACAAGGGAGCAGCATTTCGCCATTGCTGTTTATTCTTTTTGTGAATGATCTTCCGGAATGCATAATGCACTCCGAGTGTCTTTTGTTTGCGGACGATTTCAAGATTTACAAAAATGTTGCCTCCGAGAGTGACTGTATTGATCTTCAGAGTGATTTGACAAATGTTATGACTTGGTTTACAAACAATAAAATGTTTCTTAACATCGAAAAATGTTCATTTGTGAGCTTTACACGTAAATCAACCAGGATAAATTTTGAATATCGTATACATAGTGAAACTCTGACTGAAAGTAGGGCTATCAAAGATCTGGGTATAACGTTTGAATCTAACTTAAGGTTTAATCTACACTATCGAAACATGGTTAATAAAGCATATCAAATGCTGGGTTTTCTCATTAGAAACTCTAAGCATTTCAAACAAATTAGTACGTTGTCCAAACTGTACAATTGCTTAGTTAGGCCTCACTTAGAATATGCATCAATTATATGGACTCCTACAGCGGAATGCAATCGCGATCTGATTGAGAAAATCCAAAAAAATTTCTAAGATATCTATATTTTAAACAAAATGGTGTTTATCCAGTTTTCCCTCTGCTGGTATCATATAAAAACATGTTAAGCTCATTCAACTTCCAGGATCTACACGCCCGAAGAATCGTACAATGTTTAATAATATTATATAACATAATAAATAATTATAAACTCAATAATTCAGATCTAATAAATAATATCAAATTTCATGTCCCAAAAATTAGCCTACGTCGCACAACAAATTCAAATAAAACATTTAATATATATACGGTCAGTTCTTATATGTGCCACATCCTGGACGAATGTAATGCAGTGTTAAGTCAGTTTAATATAGATATTTTCCATACAAATGTAAAAGAAATAAATAAGATCCTAAATCATACCTCCTTCACCACAGTGAAGTGATATTATACCTGCACATTTTTGTTTTTTTACTTTGTATATTTTAGTTTCAATTCAACTATTTTTTTTTATTTATTGCATTCATTTTATGTACAGTAGTTTTAGTTTTGTTAAGTTAATTTATTTAGATTTAAGTCCCTTACCTGTAACAACTATTCTTTTGGTGTTTGTAAGGAGTAGTTTAAAATAAAATAAAAAATAAAATAAATAATCATGATTCTTAAACGAAAAGCCGATTTTTAGCGGAGGAAAAAAAATTAAAATCTTCATTTTTTTAACCTTCGTGAAATATGTCACTCACTAAAAGTCGTCAGAAAATTTCTTTTATACCCCTATACACTCAGTAAATTTTTAGAATTTTTTGAAGTGGTGGAACAATAAAAAAAAATTAAAAACTCATTTTTTTTCTAAAATCTTCTGTTTTAACTAACTTATATTTTTGTTTAGTTTAAAAAAGTGCGTAGAAAATATTTTTTCATTAAAAATACATCCTTGCCAGACATAAACATAAAGATTGTTATAAAAAAATGAAGATATATTATTATTTATTCAGCTTGACGCGAATTTTTCAAAAACTCAGTCTTTACGTAATAACTATAAGCAATATCATTGTGAATTTGAAGTAAAAAAATATTTTCTACGCACTTTTCTAAACTAAAAAAATATAAGTTAGTTAAAACTAGGGAATGCAAACCCGCAAATGCTGGATCCCGCAAATGCGGGATCCCTCTGAGATTTCGCGGGATCAAAGTTGCGGGATTTACCGTGCGGGATCGACACATTACTAACCGAAATATCGATCTCGATCAAGGTTAAACCGCTTCGTTTCGGGCCGTGCGTCGACGCTCGGAACCCGGGGGATTCCCCTTACGGCTTGGCCATTAAAAATAAGTGAAACAAACAGGTTAGCACAGCAGGTTAGTTATTAGATTTCTTTCTGGCGTATGTGCGTAAGTGAAGAAAAGCGTTTAACTAGTACTTGTGAACAATTTCGTCAAATAAACTGGCGGACATAATTATCGGAACAAGCAAAATTTTAGGGTAAATTTAAAGTTGAATATCTCTTAAACTAAAAAAGATTTTGGGATGCGGTTTGGACCAGGTTTTAGATGCATCTATTGTGATTAAGATGCTATGTGGTTTTCGAAAATATATTTAGCGAATTCTCGTATACAGGGTGTTTTATAAGAGTATGAAAATTTGGCCAAGAAACTTTTTTACCGCAAATTTACAATTTTTAAAAAATCGAAATTTTTACCAAGTACGACTAATATCTATTGAAATTAGAAAAAACAGTTTGATCGGTTTTTTAATTTTTTTGGTTTTAAGGAAAATACGACGTTTTTTCGAAAAATACGCATTTTTAGTCATACGTATTGTCCTAAATGGTACAAAAAGCTTTGCACATTCTGCGTATGCCAAAAAATTATTGATATAGAGTGTATCTAAAAGCAGATAACTAACACAAGTTAAAAAAAACTTCAACGTCAGAATAATATTTTTATTTATAAAATAAGTAGATAAATTATAATAAAATTTAAGTTTATTTAATATTAAATATATTTTTTGAACACCCTGTATACATCGGTGCAAATTTCTATACAGCTAGTTTAAGATACACGCTATATCAATATATTGTGGGCCTATGCAAAATGTGCAATGCCTTTTGTACCATTTAGGACCAAATGTATGACTACTGTTTACAGTACCGCAATTTTGCGGATCCGCGGGATTGATTGCTTTAATCCCGCGGGTTTGCGGGATTGAGATTTTGGTGCGGGATTGCATTCCCTAGTTAAAACAGAAGATTTTAGAAAAAAAATGAGTTTTTAATTTTTTTAAAATTGTTCCACCACTTCAAAAAATTCTAAAAAATTCCTGAGTGTAAAGAAGTATAAAAGAAATTTTCTGACGATTTTTAGTGAGTGACATATTTCACAAAGGTTAAAAAAATGAAGATTTTAATTTTCTTTCCTCTGCTAAAAATCGGCTTTTCGTTTAAGAATCTTGATCATATTATTTTTTCATGTCTTAGACTTCTAACTATAAAAATAAAATCAGTTTTTTTTGAAAATCTGAAAAACCGAGTTAAAGAACTAAAAATTTAGGTGAATTATTTTGATTCGACAAAAAATCGATCCCCTGAGTGCGAGTCAAAAAAGCCACGGGGCAGATTTCCCATATTAATTCGGCTATACCCTCTTATTTTAATTTCTTTTTTATTCAAATTCGTACAAAAAAACTATTTAGATATTTGTCCATTTTTTCAGGTATTATATCTGGTAGCTTTATCGTTTTATATGGCTGGAGACTCAAAGAAAGCTCTGATCTACGCTCAGAAAGCTGTACATGCTACACCGAACTCTTCCGAAGCTTGGGCCATGCTTACACGATTATTAACGTCCAGAAAGAACGATCTCCCTGAAAATTATTTCATCAAAGTAATGGATTTGCTCGATAGTGCGCAAAAATCAAACAATGTACTAGTCACGTGGTTTAATAAACTAAAAATTGTAACTTAATCTGTTTGTTGTTTGCTTGCACAGGTACAAAAAAACAAACTAGCCATATAACTTGACGTGCGGTTTGATAAATACCACACAATCGAGAAAAAAAAAGTGTCATAGTGACTTATAAAGTGACAACTTATTTATTTTTATTTGAAATACAATATGATGGAAAAAAAATGTTTTCACTAGCAGCTATTAAATTGAAAGATTTGAAGGACATGTTTGAAAAAGTGTAGTTTGAAATGTTCCTGATGTTCAAAAAATCCTGCGATGGCTATGAAATGAAGATGGCTGTCATTTTAAAAGTAAAATTATATGGTGAATGTCATCGATGGATTATTATAAATTATTATTAAAAATTAATAACATTTATTGATTCAACATAAAACAAAACAATAATATTATTGAGTCTTAAACAAAATTATCATACCACTGATAAACCCCAGAAATAGTCAGCCATATTGAAATACTAAAGCTTGATTTTCATGCGTCCGTTATACGTTGATACGATGGTCCGACGGTGCTCTGATTGGTCATAGCGTTTTCGCGCCACTTTTCATCCGTAAATATTTTACTTCAGCCCGTCAACGGATCCGTTCATACGATAACGGACGTTTTGACACTTTTTTGACAAATTTAATCTAACCTTGATAAAAATATAAGTAAAATACTTTGAATAAGAAGACTAAGGAAGGAGCATATCAAAAATCTTAGGTCCACCGCGATGGGACTCAAATATGGCCGACTTAAATTCCGGTTTATCAGTGCCGTTCTAATTTTATTTAAAAAATTTTATGTTGTGAGTAAATATAGTTGGTAGTTATTAAAATTGTTATAAAAATATATTATTATAATAAAAACAGATTAGTTTTAATAATTACTTATTAACACAAACATCCGATACGCTACTGAAGCAGGTAAGTCAAATTGACGTATCTAAATTCTTTGACATCTAATCTTTGACAAGTAGTAAATAAAAGCAAAAATGCAAGAAGAAATATATAATTAGTTAATTTAAGTGAATTTCATAAATGATCGGTTTACTACACGTATGTATATTATATAGTCACTTACTAGCGAAAAGTTGTTCCATTATTTCACTTGATTTTTGCCGAGATCTACCGCACGCTACACAACCAACTATTTTAGAGTCTTTTTCGATAAATCGCGATAGTGTCATTGTTAATTTAAGTTCTGCCACAATTTCCATCTAGATTTACTACCTTTATACAACTATCAGTAGTAGAATAAATAACATAAAATAAGCTCCGTAAAGGCTGACAAATCCACAACATTTCAAATCAAATTCAAATGTGTCAAATGAATCGTCAAACAGAACTGTCAAGGATCCCCACCCTAGAGTCCTTTTTCCGCCCACCATGCATCAATACATGGATAGCATTATGCTCCTTCCTTAGTCTTCTTATTCAAAGGTAAAATAGCAAAATCGTTATGGAAACAAAAATATAAAATGACACCAACGTATATCCGATAAACGGAGGCATGAAAATGCAATAAATTTAAAAACTGCGTTATTTTCTAACCAATCAAAGTCTTTAAATTCTATCAATAAAATTAATATCGTATCAACGTATCGTCGGACAACGGATGCATGAAAATCAAGCTTAACACGTTCTCGCTAGTTTTGTTTATACTCCTTCCTCAGACAGTTAAAAAAATCGAAGGACACTGCGACGCCGTTTTATTTCCGATCCTACATGGTATCAGTGTCTGTAAATATGTAGAGTAAATATTTTCAAAAGAGGATCGTGTGTTTGAGGATAAGTTTAATATATCTAATTAGTAGAGTAGCGCCAAAATCCTTGGCGCTTTAGCATTTTTATCGATTCTGTGATAGATTTAGAGAAAAAAAAACGGTATTCGTTGGGAAAAAAGCAAGGAACATGGTATATCGTGCGGTGGTTTTGGGTATTTGTGCGTTTGCCAGTGCCGTTTGGGCTCAGGACTGTCGGTTTTACGGGCAAACCGTGAGTAGTTCATTTGTACCGTAGAAAAAAATGTTTAAACCGTTTGTTTTAGTGCTCGGACGATTACGATTGCTGCGGGGGTTGCTGTTTTAAGGGATCCTGTACAGACAGTAAGTATCATCGATAATTTACCTTAAAAATTATACAGGGTGTGCCATAAAGTTTCTGCACAAATGAGAATTTATTTTATTATTTAATTTTGCGAAAAAAGTTTCAGCGAAATATAGTACAATCAACCACGAAGTGTTATAACTATACAGAGACTATCAAAAATTCAGTTAATCTATTTTTCTTTGAAAAATAAATAAAAAATTATGTTTTTTATTGTTAAAATAACATATAACAAAGCAAATCTAATAAAAATAATTTCTAATGTAGCAATTTAATTGTACTTTTCTGTCAGACATTATACACAACTAAAAATGTTCATTTTCACACTACCAACTTCGTTGCAATCGCGGTTGCAATGTTCTAACTATACAGGGTGTCCCAGAAATAAGTGCAAGTATTTTAAGGGGTGGTAGATCTCGATAAAATAAATATATTTTCTCTGTATGGTTTTTCAAATGAGTCCAAAATAACGGAGTTATTTTACTTTTACTAAAATTTCCAAAAAGAATGATTTTTTGCTAAAATTTTGAGAACCACTGGATTTTCTTTCTTGTAAATTTAATCTAATACCTATGTTGCCATATTATCAAAAAATTATGTTTTTAACTAAAAACTAAAAAAATTTCCAAAAATTTCGAATTTTCAATTTTTTTTGCGAAAAAACCTCATAGGCGTGTTTCTGGGGTTGAACTATACTACACTTATTCCTGGGACACCCTGTATAAAAGACAAATTGAAACTGACAGATTCAAAATGACTATAGATTTTATAACTTGTTTAGTACTAAGGTTTAGATGAAAAAAATAATATTTTGTGGTGTGTTGAAGTTTTTTTTTATCTATAAGCCATTGCAACCAGTTAGGTATCTTAAAAATTGATTTTGATGATTTTTATGATTATTTACGGCATATAGTAAAATAAAATATTGTATTACGAATTATTCTTGTTGGATTTACTTTATTTTGTGTAATTTTATCGAAAAAAGCTTTTTTTGGAAAAAGTTCAGAAAAACTTGGCACAAAGACGCAAAATCAAGATATAAGCAACTTTTCTTTATGATTTTTTTTGATATTTTATCACCTAACCCCCCTTTTTGCATATCTGAAGAGGATTTTTTAATTGACCGGCATGATATTATATCAAAATGATTTTTTTCTGTTATTAAATATGTTGAATTAATTTTTCATGAAATTTTTTCAATAATTCACATGAGACATTCATGACACACCCTGTACACTAAATTTTCTTTAAATATCTCTAGCAATTGTATGGGTTTTTATGTTTAAAAAATGAATGATTATTTTTTGTTAAAGTTCGAATATTACAAGCAGGACCACCCTGTATTAATTTACAGATATTTTCTAACAATCTTTTATTAACCGTGCTAACAGATTAAAATATAAAAATAATTTATGATGCTAATTATCTAGACTTGTTTTCGACGTCAAACTTTTACAGTATTTAACAAAAAATAGTTTAGTCAAATTTTAATTTAATAATCACAATATACTAGATACATTGTAATAAATTGTATTTATGGAAATAAGTTTTCCATTTTCATTTTCAATAGATTTATTAATGTAATAATATATCCCATCAAAAATACAGTGGCGTACTAAATTTTTGATGATTATTTTTAATAACTGAATGCCTTTTAAAATACGTTCAAAATTAATTATTATTAATTTTTGCTTTTAATTGAAAAACTATTATATTGAAAATAAACTGGTATTTGTTTTAGCTTATCTGGATTGTAGATTAAACTCATTAAATGACCCATGCCAAGACCGGTACTGCCCAGAAGACCAAGTCTGTGTCACGTACCAACCAAGAGGCTGTAAAGGTTGCGGGTATTTAATCGACTGTCGTTCTATACCGGTACCACCAGAATTAAAGAAGAATCGTACTCTGACTCACCATCATAGATTTAGTTCAGCTCACTCAACTCATGCTCATTTCAATCATATTTTTCTTTATATCACTGTAGTTATTTATTTTTATTTAATTTAAATATATTTAAAATTTTGATGTGATTTATTGTTATATTACTATTATTTATATGTATATATTTATTTATATAATATTGATACACAGTGTGTTGGACACCCTGTATATAGGGTCCTGCAACAGTGCGTTAGTCGTTGGTCACCCTGTAACTCTTATAATAAAAAGTTTGGGAATTTTGTTTAAGTGTAAACTTTAAACGAAATACTTTAAATGCAACAAATATACCTATATATTTATTTTTTAATTCTGCATTTGACAATAAAATAATATACAGGGTGTTCCGTCTAATAAAAAGAAAAATGGAATTTTGGACATCCTGTATGATTTAAGATTGCCTACTATATTTTCAGCAAAGTAAGTACAAATCAACTATAGTAAATACCGTATGATCGAAAAAAAACGGCGTCAACGATGGTTATAAAATGAGGATGGCTGTCATTTTATATGTAAAATTATATGGGGAATGTCATCGATGTTCATTTCTAAGTCATGTGGATGCCGTTTTTTTCGATCGTACTGTACCTTGTATAGATATCTTTAGAAATTTTCTTTATTTTAATTATTTCTTTTTAAATGGGCTGAAAATATAATATATTTAAATAATATAATATAATTATATAATTTTACAATATATTTTTAAACAACATATTATGTTGTTTATTTATTTATTAATATTATCCGAAACAATCAAAAGAAATTTAATAATATCTTAGGTTTATGTAAAGTGATCAGAAACGAAACTAAAAATGCCATAGTATTCAGGGTGTTCAAAAAAATCTTCCCGATCCAATCACATTTTTTGAGCCATCGTGTAGAAGTTGAAATATTTTAATAAATACATCCTAGTACATACTTTAGGTATACACTTAAACAAAATTTCTAGGCTCTTTTTTATAGGACCTACAGATATCCGACATACTGTTGCAGGATTCTGTATATTTTTAAAAGATAACTTAGATATTTCTATGAAATATTATTTTTCGTATCATTTGCTTTTAGAAAATTTTCAGTTTTATTAAGTTGACTCGTGTGATGACCTAGAAAAATAATTAAAACAAGGTGTAAAATTTTACAAGGTTTTTTTTTGTTTGTACCTTTTTCATCAATCTCTTGTATATGTTCTTCAGTACAATTATTTGCTAATTTATAGAACTGTAATATACTTCTTTCCGGATTATAGTAATCGTATATTTTTATGAGATTTTCCTTCCTATAATCCAGTTTTGTATTTTCCATAATGCTGAAAGAAAAGCATACTTCGCTTTTGTCAAGCTTGGTGAAGTAGAGGTTGATCTGCCTATCAGTTTCTTCAAACATTTTAATCTCTACAAGCAAAAAAATATTCAGATTTTTTTTAGTTACATTTCTTTTATATTTATGTATTTTATAACATACAGTGTATGCCAAAAAGAACAAATAAAAACAATGTACTTGTATAATTTCCTGACTGTATCAAGTTGTCTAGCGAGGACCTGTCAGCAATAAATCCAGACGGCAAACTGACTTCCATAACCGCCATATTTGCCAGTGGACTGCTTCCTTTGTACGTCACACAGGGTGATATTTTTCTGACGGAACATTCGTCAACATTCGACACTGAAGATACGTCAACTGCCAACTTGAAGTCTTGAGCTTTCGGCAAGTTTTTCGAGTTGTATGTCATTGTCAACTAAAATAACTCATTGTGATATTTGTAGTTACAAGTAAATTATTTTTTAATAGTTATTTTTTATACAAGACGATAAAATGGTATTTTATCGTCGACCGAAACCGAAAAGATTAATTCACGAGCGATGAAATCACGAGTGAATTAATTTCGGGAGACGATAATGCAATTTTATCGTCGAGTATAAAACAATATTTTTTCCATAGCGAGTTACGTTTTAAAAAATATTCAGAAATTATTATTTCAAGGAATTTATCACGAGTAGAAAAAATATTGTTCTGGGTTGGCGTTGGTTTCTATGTAATTTGACAAATAAATAAAGCTGTCTTTTTAATTGTCAGTTTTGAGTCAATATATTTTAATTCTCTTTCGAGTCGATTACTAATTGAATTGGAGCCAGAAAGGGCTCGAAACGAAATAAGTAAATTACCAACAGATATTCAGGCTGAGGCGAAAAACGCTATATCCAAACTACTTCCATTTAAATCCCGAATAACTTATGAAAAGGAATACAAAAATTTTCAAAAATGGTAGCAATTAAAAAAACGTGAGAGAAGAAATAAAGTTTTTAACCTATCCTCTCTGTTAAAGTATCGTTTAATCTACCCTTGCGGTTAAAGTACTATTTTATCTACTATTTTTGATAGATATAAAGCAATTTTAATAGTTGCTATGGAAAAATATACTTAAGTAATCATTAATTTTTTTAATACTGTACATACAGTCAATTTCAATAATCTAAAATATAATATAAACTATAAAAACATAACAAATTTACTTGAACTAAAGCGCATCCCCTTCCAGAGACAGCAACTTCAATTTGTCCACATGACATTTTCAGAGGTATACGTCTTGCTTTCAATCTGTCACTCTGAGTTAAGGTTACCAAGTGACGTTCGTTTGACGTTTTTAAATCTACAGTTAAATCCAAGACATGCGCTTGAATGTATTCGGCATATGTGGTTAGTGCTTCAAGTGCAACTACAGTGTCCTGTAAAAGAATGAAATCGTTTGAAAGTGATAAACAGTGATGAACTATGACGTAAAATATCTTTAAAAAAGGCGTCCATTATTCTCAAAGAGACCTGGTTTTATATCATCTATACTAATTAAATATTTCTTAAATAAACATTTCCGAAAAAAACGCTTAAACACGTATATTTTATTTTGTTTTTTTACATATTTCAAGATTTTTTAAAAATGTATACAGGTGTTTCGAAAAATTTGGTCATTGATTAATCACGATCCTGCTTAAAGCGCTTGACGTGAAAAGCTGATTTTTGGAAAACGGATTGACTTTAGGGTATAGAGGATATATAATATTCGATAAGAAGAGATTCTTCGAATCTCAAATTCCAAAAGAGGGTGGAAACGCCCCTCAAATATTACAATATTTGTTATTTAAAAAACGGTTAGTCTTTCGGGAAAACGCTTGGACACGCATAATTTATTTTGTTTTTTTACATATTTTGAATTTTTTTAAGAAATCATACAAGGTGCTCAAAAAATTTGGGTAATTGATTAACCACGATTCTGCTTAAACTGCTTGACGTAAAAAGCTTATTTTTGACAAACGGATTTTTCGAAAGTCAAATTCGAACGAGATGAAACTACCCCTCAAATATTACCCAGTTTTATAATAAAATCGCCATATTGTTTTTTCTCATGCTGACATAAATGTGAGAACATTTTATCCAGTTTGTATGTTAATGGAAATTCTTGCTTTGCTTTATCATCGCCATTACAAATGATTAATTCGACACGAACGAAATCGTGGGTACACGCTAGTAAATCTATAAAAACAGAAGAAAAATAACTCAAGTCACACCACACACGTTCAGATTTTACATGATAAAACAACACTGAGTAGAGTTATTTTAATACATAAAATGTGAACGTGTGTGGTGTGACCTAAATTGTATATTTATCTGATGATGCTTGTATGAGCGAAACACGTGTCACAGTTTAATTTAATATAAATGTTGAGACCAAGGATTTGAGTTATTTTTTTTTTGTTTTTAAAGCGGCCCATACATTATCAAACAAATTGCGCAACAATGTGATGCGCAACGCTGCGTTGCACAACTGATTCAGCGGTCCATACACTATCAAACAATAAGTTGCGCAACAAAGCGATGCGCAACGTTCTGTTGTACAGCTGCATCAACCATGCACTTAGTAAAATTTTGATCAAACTTCTTATTAAAAGTTGTGCATTGTTTGAGAAACAATCATGTCCTCAATTGCCATTGCGTCAATTATTATCGTATATACCCTAGATGATGTCGATGATACCAAAAAACGAAAAAGAAAACAAAGAATTTGGATGAAAGAACTAAAATATTGCACAACGAAGCGCAACACACACATACACGACACAACGCGTTGCACAAACAGTCCTGTTGTACAAAAGAATTCAAACATTATTGAAATTCATCAAAAAATTGCGCAACGCATCAAACACTACCATACATTGGCAACTCGTTGCGCAACAGCCTGCGTTGCGCAATTTGTTTGATAATGTATGGGCCGCTTAACGTAAAAGTCTTCTTTGGGACTAACATAGTCTTTAGTAAGAAGAATCTTAGGATCGTCACGGGGTTTTTAACAGGACACTGTCTCTTCAATGACCACCTCAGTAGAGCAGATTCTGTGGGGAAAATGGGGAAACACCAGACCACCTCATCACTGAATGCGCCGAGACGACAACCATTCGTGTCATAAACTTTGGTAAGACGATATCGGAGATGGAGAACTAACCTCCGTAAAACCGTCTCAGATACTGGCTTTTGTCAAAGCCCTGAGACTGTATAATGAGTTATAACTCAAGAAAGAGGACACAATAGAATAGATCTATAAAAACATGGTTTTATTTAATTTTGTGTAATACCTGGGTTGATTTAAACGCTCCAGTCGGTCCTATTTTGGAGGATAACCATTTGGCAACGGAATGAGCATGCGCTAAATTGGTTGATGTTTTCTGATGCATTAGAGCCAATAAAGCGTAGCTTGTGATTTCTATGTCTGAAGCATGAAACTCGTTATCATCTGAAATGAAATTATTAATTATATTTTTGGTATAGTAAGTTATGATTCTATTGACAGATATCGATTAGTTGTGTCAAAAAAAAGACTTTTTGTTACTAAAATGTTTATTACTAAATTTGGTATGTGTTCCTAGAACTGTAAATTGAAATACAACCAAAATTAATAAAGGGCAAGCATAGATACTTAAAATTAATAAAATCGGAACGCGCCCGCTTACTGATTTCGGAACGTACTTGAAATTATATACAAGACACACCCTAAAACGGATATTTGATTGATGACGTAACGTTGAACGCGCTTTGTATTTACCATATTTCTAGAAGCTTACAGTAATGAAATCAGATGTTCTACCTTTTAATTGAGTTAATAATACCTATGATATACCCCAGTCAAATTAGTTAAAAAAAAGGCACATCGGTGGAAAAAATTAAACCTTGAAGAAGTACGATATCCCCATGATTTTTTAAGTATTAAGTATAACTTTTAGTATATACTATGATCTAATAAATTTTAGACGTGATGCGTTGACCATAAACCATGATTCTTGGTTTTCGTATACCTTACAATATTTGCAGCTGCGCTAAATGCTGTGCTATACTTTTTTTACCGTAAAGCAGGCATGCATTAATCTTTAACTTGCAGTTATTGTTAAGTTCTGTGTGCACTAGTGATGAAGACTTGAAAGATAACATAAGGACCCCTTGTATATTATCATTAAATTAATTAATTATTAATATGAAAGGTTAAATTTAAACTTTAATTGGATTTTAAATGCGAAAATACAATATGAAGAATATTGTTAACGCTTAAATGGTTTAGACCTATGAAAAAAATGCATTCAACCAATTTTGTAGAGAATTTTCTGGGCTTTAATTTTCTGTCTAGGGTATTTTTCGTAGGTGTCATATTTTCCGAGATATAAGCTAAAAAGTCATAAAAGTGTCATTTAACCCCTCCCCAGTTCTCGAGCTCATCGTCTAACTTCGGGGACTTTTGACACATATCAGCCCAAGTCTAGAGAAATCATTTAAATCCATTTTCACAACTGTTGGATTTTTTTTCCACAGATTTCTCTAATTTGATTGGGCTAAATAAAAATACTACATTATTTGATAAATTATACTGTTACCTTTTGAGCTCCACCACATCATATAATCTTCTTGTCGAGATACAGACAATATTCTCTCCAAAAACCTGGTACCTTCGTTGATCCACTTTAATCTGAACAAAGCGTAACAACTGATGATGAGAGAGTACTTATCAGGATTGTTTTGACTGCGTATGCAGTACTTTCCATTTGTTTGGACTTCTTCAGGTACTGAAATTCCGGCGTCTAATAGGCTTAGAATAACATAGGAGGTCAAGGCTGCTGTGCTCCTTTCTGTGTTTGTACCACCCTGTAGAATAGATATTCAGAATAGAAATATATAAATAGATAATAGAAAGAATATTTTGATTTTTGTAAAAGTGGACAACACTGTGCCGGTTAATCTTAATCACGCGACTAAAAGTTTTTTTGGTATGAACTGTATAATAACAGTAACAATTTATACCCACCATATCTTGAAAAACATGATACACTGCATCGAAACAACCATTCTCAAGCTGGTTAGTGTAAATCCACTCTATGCCCTTATCGATAATTTTTTGATCGACGTATACGAACTCCTTTATCTGTTGGAGTATTTTAACCACGAAAGTTGTCAAAAACATGGAACCTGCCGGATCGTAGTACCCAAAAGCTGAGAAAGATCCGTCTTTGTGCATGTAATTAAGGATTCTTTGATATCCTATGAAGAACAAAATAAATATAGTTAAATCTATTAAAAAAATGTATTTTGCGGGTACAAAAACAAACCTATTTTGAAATTTCTCAGTATACGTTGCTTAACTAGGGGTGTTAAAGTTCCTGTTACGTTTAAGTAACGCAGAACGTAGATGTTTGGAGCTAGGGATGCCATAATTTGTTCCCCACAACCGGTTGGAATGGTCAGTAATTGTTTCAGATTCTAAAAATGTCAAAGGTAATGCAGTTGGTGATGTAGCTGTGTTTTAGCTCAAATCACTTATAAAAATACAACAAACAAAAAAGAAAAGAAACAAAAAAATATCTAGTATATACAGTATGTCCCTGGATTGTTTTTACAAGAGGAAAAACTTTTTTATTATTGGCAATTTGAGAAAAATGCATTCTTCATAAACATTTTTGCTTGTTCTAAAATGGTTAATCCCCTTTATACTTTTCCAAATTCCTATACCGCTTTAGAGAAAGTTAGAAAAAACATGAAAATATTGTAGAATTTTTTCCTAAAAATAAAATGTCCTAAAGATAAAAAGGCGTTGCTATGGTAATATAATTTCGATTTCATTTTTTGATAGATGGTTATTATTTGTAGAAGCCTCCCCTAACACAAAGTTATAAAAATTTCTCTGCGAAAACGCACCATTTTCATTTTTCTGACTTTAGAATAACTGAAATCAGTTACATGAAGAAATATGTACCTGCTTTACGTTATAAACACTTTTCTAAACAAAAATACACAAAAAACTTCTTGCGGAAATATTGAATTAATTTTTTTTTTATCTTGAAATAAAGTAGTGGTAACTCTAGAAGAACTGAAATCGCACTTACAACTTTCTTTTAAACATAAACACGCAAGAAATTCCTTATGGAAATTCGCCGTTTTCATTTTTTAAAAGATCGTAGTACAATTAGTTTTAAGAAATATTAATAAAAATGTAGAGAATCACAGCAATTTTTTTAAATATCTACACATAAATATAGATGATCTACCTCAATGGTAGGTCCTAGCAAATCTCCATTGACAGTAACAATTGTGGTGTTAGTACCCAATACGATATCTTCAGGTATGTTGAAGTTCCAAATCGTTAAGTTAGTTGGTTCACTATCTACAATTGTATACAAGTACTTAATAAATAAATTTTAAATTATCTTATTATTTTTTTTACCTGAACTACATATCAACGCTGATTTTGTCTGAACTTCTTCAAATCCTTCTGCTTCAACTATTAAAGACTTTAATACAGCATCCCTAGTTAAAGGCAAATATATAAATTTATAAAATATCTTTAGTAATAACGAGTATACTCTATCATTAGTAACATATGTGGCTGTCTGTGTATATTTGAGTTGTCTGTTGTCTGATATTTTAATTAAAAAATAAATGAACAATATGATGATGTGAATAATTCATATAATTCAAAAAATCTGGGCTATCCTAATGTTGCATAAACTTTGCTCTCATAGACACGTCTAAGGGAGAGATTAACAATATTTATTGATTAGTTTTGGCCAAACATATACATGCAAAATGTAAACAAACCCTTATGTTTGTTTACAGTTTGATTTGACCACGGACTTATTATATATAGCCTATTTTTAAAATTTGACAATGTCATTGGCATAATTTCAAGATATATGTGGTAGTAAACAAAGTACGCCACATTAAGATTAACCCTAGCATCAAAAAGTTAACTCAGCTTTATACTTAGAGAAAAATAATTTTATTTTAAAGAGTTTTATTCTATATCTATGTAACATTTTTTCATAACAAATTGTATTTTTTAAATGCGTTCGCTCATGCAGAAAATTCTGTAGTGAAGAATCAGACTATTATATCCTCAACTTCATTTATCATAATTTCTTAGACACTGATACACATATCTTTATTTTACAGTATAAATTATATCAGTGACATAAGTGACTGTTGTCTGTTGTGTACAGTGAGTTTTGTCTGTTATTTAAATTCAAAAGTAAATTATTTTTCTGTAATATTTTTATCTTGTTTGTCGAAATGTTATATTTTCTCAATGGACAGAACTTACTAGCCTACCTTTTTGAAATTATAGTATCTGGACCACATGGCAACGCATACTGGTTATCCGTTTCAACAGAAACAGTCACGTGAGCTATACCAACTTCTGTACCGGATATCTGGTAGTTATGAGTTAAGGTACTGCTTTCCTTGAGACAGTAGGAAGTACTGAGAAACGAATGTGGATTGGTCAGTTGAAGATTGCCGGTCAGTCTTATAGAAACCCTAATCTGGCATAAACAAACAATATGATTGCAAAAAGTATATAATTCAGAAAGCTGTGCTATCCTTATTTTGTATAAACTTTGCTCCTATCGACACGTAAAAAAGATCCCTTAACCCGATTTATCATAATTTCTTAGACTATGATTCGCATATCTTTCTTCCAATAAAGAACAGCAGTGTGTACACAGTATACATTAATTCAAGTTTCTGTAATAAATAACTAATTTTAGTACAATTTGAACTATATTGTTATTTCTAGACTCACTATGACACCGCTTTTATTTGATCACACTCTATTATTTGACTGTTTGATATTAAAATTAAGATGAAATACTTCGTACAACTAAATAATTTTATTATTAAGCGAACTTTGGAATTTGATAGACCAAATTCTTTATAAAAATTGTTTAACAGACCCTGACAGTGACAGATGTGTGTGTCATTTAAATTCTGAAGTAAAATATACATTTTCTGTCATTTTTTGGATGTCTTTGGTTTTGGATGTATATCGGCATTCAAAATTGGTTTCATTACATAACTTTATGATTACTATACGGGTTAATAACTAATAGTTAAAAACTAAAAAATACTTCAAGGTATACTTACGGGGAAGGAGTAGTTGAGATAATTGAAAACATTGATGGGCAAGTAGAAATTTTCGTCCTTTTTAATGGAGTACGGTGTGATGACTTGAATGAAAAACGGTTGGATACTGATCACTTCTGTCTGGGGAGCGAACGACACGCCATCTTTTGTCGAAACACAATAAACGTTGGTTGTCCAGGTCGTTATAGAATGTGGTAGGTCTCGATGTATTTGTGTAGAATTTCTATAAAAATGCTTGTTAATAGATAAGGTATACAATCGTAATAGTAGACCCTATTCCTAAAGAGTTTAACTTTAATTTTTTTTTACTGTATATCATTAGACACTTACTCCACTGGAACAAACTCCCACAACCAATTTTCGGGAAAATATGTGCGAACTGTCACTTCTGACGTTTCATCAATGTCATTATTGTACTGATCAGTCATGAATTCGGCTTTAAAAAAGTTTTGTTTATATTTAGTTATAATTAATAGAAAGAAAAGTTAAAATACCTTCATTGGCGTCGGTAAACAAGGGACCTAAAACGAAAAAATGTCTTTCCATAATAACTTTGTAATTTTTTGCGTTAATTTTATTATTTCTTACCGCTGTAACAAGGCTTTGTGACTATCTTCAAATTGGATATAGTAATCACTCCAAATTTCTAGAGAAATGCGGATTTTTAAAAAAACTTGTAAGAATTGTGAGGATTTTTCATTCGAACTATGCTATTTCATAATATACAGGGTGGCCCATTAGTCAACGAAAGTTCAATACCGTGGTTGTTTACAAAGATATGAAAAAAAGTTCTATATAAATGTTGCATGTTTATGTATATCCTAGAAGTATAGGTTTTGATAAAAATTTACTGTGTTAACCATGATAGAAAAGCATAGCTCTAACCAATAATAAACTTAAATTCACTGCAGTTTTTAACCACTTTGCTCGCACTAATGGGCCACCCTGTAGGTACGAATAATCCAAAAATCGATACAGAATTCTCATTAAGATAATAAAACTTTCTCACTTACATTCAAAACATCGTAAGAATCATAATCCTCTGAGAATGTAAAAACATGTCTTTTATTCCTCATAGAGGTTGAATTGGCAGACTGATGTAATGCTAAAAAAATATCTGTTATATTATATAAAATAAGTTAATGCAAAAAAATAAAATCATTCTATGAACTTATTATTTGATAATTTTATTCAATATACAGGGAGGTCCGAACTGTATTCCGGAAACTTCAGCTGCATATTCTGTAGATGAAAATAAGTAAAAACGTTCGTATAAATGTATGTCCTAAAATGCTTAATTTCGGAGATACGGGGTGTAGAAGTTTAATTTTTATTTCGATTTTTTCCAAATATTTCTAAGTAACGTCAATATTTCGATGAAAATTGGTGTCTGGGAGTTTTGTGACACGAGAAATTTGATTTTGATGTCAAAATGACTCATCTTTGTAGGGGGCGCCACCTACATGTGTTTTAACTGTTTTGAAGAGTAATGACTTTTCGTCCGTACCGGTATAAAACTACTGACTGAAAAAATATACATTTCCATGACTTTTTACGTAAAAAATGTCTCTTGGTGAAAATCGCTACGAGCAACCATTCTCAATATATTTAGAATGGAAATAGTCAATACATGTCATTATTGACAAAAAATAAGCACACGTTGAGTATAGCTATTTGACTGAAATAATAAATTTTTATTTTTTAAATTAATCATAATTAAACAATTTCTGTTGAACTTTTGGCACAAATAGATTTCATGTTTATGATTTCAGTTTAATAACTATTTAGTCAACATGCTTAATTATGTCAGTGATGACAGGTATTGTTAATTTCGATTCCAAATATCTCGAGAACCATTACTCTTAGCGATTTTTACCAAGAGACCTTTTTTACGTAATGTATGTTTTTTTACTCAGTAGTTTTATACAGGTACGGACGAAAAGTTATTACTCTTCAAACCAGTTAAAAATATGTAGGTGGCGCCCTCTACTAGTAGGAGACATATTGACATCAAAATCAAATTTTTCATGTCAAAAAACTCCCAGACACCAATTTTAATCAAAATTTTGACGTTACTGCAGAAATTATTTGGACAAAATCGAAATAAAAATGAAACTTCTACACCCTGTATCACCGAAACTAAGCATTTTTGGACATACATCTATACGAACATTTTTACTTATTTTTATCTGCAGAATATGCTGCCGAAGTTTCCGGAATACAGTTCGAACCACCCTGTATTGAGTAAAATGGCTTCTTCGAGAAAAAATATTTTTTTGGAAATAGATTTGTAAGTATTTATATAATTAGTTTTTGACAAGTTTTATATCAATTTTTAGTAAATGATTGTTTTAGAAAACGAATTAGTAACCTCATCAAAATTATCGTCGATTTTCTTTCCTCAGCCGTCTTTGACGCCGTTTTTTTTCATATGGTAGTTAATGCTATTAATTTAGTTTTTAATAATTTTACTTCGTGTATACAAAAAACTTTTCAAACTTTAAATAAGCTCTATCACTCTGTAAAGACTCTATATTACTTACCTAGTATTTTTTTATTATTCGATATACAGCTTGTCCTAGAAGATCTAGCGCCATCTTTATGCTGAGACATCGTTTTGATGATGCTTTCCCAATTGAGATTTTGTGATTGGCTGGATGATATGAATTTAGTAGCTTTATCAGTAGCTGTTACAGCGCACAAAGCTTGTTTGTCTGACTTTATAGTCAGAGTTGCTGATTTGCCTGGAACTAGCTGATTTTCGTTCCAATAAGCATCTACCTAATTTAAAAAAATACAAAAAAAACTTTAATCAAACTTTATTTTCTTTTTTTTTTGTTTTTATTTTTTTCTTCGCTTTTTTTCTTTTTTATTATTTTTTTATTATTTTCATTTTTCACATACCTTGTAAGAACAGGGTTTTACTTCTTGTGTTCTACTAGCTGCTACTGTTTCCCCATCTTTAGTAATATAATACACCAAAATTTGGAATTTGTAAACAATTTTCTCCATTTTTATTTTTATAACAAACTGATCTACACTCGATCCAAACTTGACAAATCTGTGTTCATTTCCTAAAAAACTTTTACTATCTTCTGAGCTTATTGCATTGTGCTTTCTGACAGTGTGTTTTATTTTCTTTAATTTATTTATTTCTGAATTTATTTTTACCTACAATATAGTTTTACAATAAATAACATATACAGAGTGTTACATTGAAGTTTGTATTATATGGGATTTTGTTATTAATATATTTATATTTAAAATCCAACCACCCAATGTGAAATTTGACTTGAAAGCCACGTTAGTTAAGTTAAAACTATTTCTGGTTATTTTCAAGCAAAATCAAAAATCATTAATAAAAACATCCCATATAATGCAAATTTTATTTGTATACTATATCTATAATCTATGACAGTCTTACCATATAATAAAAAGTAATATTTTCTCCTTCTTTGAAATGGTCAGTGGTATATAAAATTTTATACTGAAACGGTGTATCGCAAGTTTTGTTGATATTCGTGTCCCTTTCAATGTAAATGTAACTAGAAGTGGGACTGTAGAGTCTAACAGCTAGAAAACTGTCCTCGATGTTAGTGTTGTTGATAGAATTTGCCTTAAAAAAGAAAATTGTTATTGTCTTGTAATTTTATTTTTATTGTGTTGTAATTGTATTTTTATTTTATTGATATTGTACTTCTATTGTACTTTTATTGTATTGTTATTGTATTGTTATTGTATTGTTATTGTATTGTTATTGTATTGTTATTGTATTGTTATTGTATTGTTATTGTATTGTTATTGTATTGTTATTGTATTGTTATTGTATTGTTATTGTATTGTTATTGTATTGTTATTGTATTGTTATTGTATTGTTATTGTATTGTTATTGTATTGTTATTGTATTGTTATTGTATTGTTATTGTATTGTTATTGTATTGTTATTGTATTGTTATTGTATTGTTATTGTATTGTTATTGTATTGTTATTGTATTGCTATTGTAATGCTATTGTAATGCTATTGTAATGCTATTCATAAAACATTTTTTAAATAAAACTATTTTATGTATGATTTAGTAACTTATTGCACATCATGTAAATTATACAAACTTACATCTAAATGTATATGAAGAACACTATTTTTTAGTGGCCATAATTTAAAAGGAATAATCCCATCTTCTGGAACAGTATAGTTTCTACATTCTTCATTCTTAAAGTAGTTCCAACTTTTCTTTATTGCTAGATTGTAACAAAGTTTTATCACTTCGCCAGTAATATCAGTGATTGCGTTGATGAGTTTCATTTGCCCTTCGTAAGGTACTCCAGGGATGAATATAGGGCTGCTTTGGATTTTCAGAGTATAGCCCTAAGAGTAACAGTAGGTCTGTTATTTATTGAAAACTATTTCGTCTAACATTTTTTAACAAAAAATGTGTTAAAATTAAGTAAATAATGAGCAAAAAAACGGAAAATATTACACGTTCTTTTTTCTTTGTTTGGCAATTAAGTTACCTTTACATGGATTTCCGATTTTCCAGTAACAATGTCCATTTTTGTTGTTCCTTGCTCAGTAACTGTGGCCGTAATATGAAGAAAAATTCTAGGGTCCGCCAAAGAGAATTCTTTACTTATATCGCTCAAGTTTAGTTCGTATTTACTGATATCGAAGTAGGCACATCCATTTTCCATCTAAAAAAATGTTAAGAAGTAGAAAAGAAGAAAATATTTTTTTTTAGATTTTTTGACGGGGAATCTAAAATTTGACCGTGAATTTTTTGGACACCCTGTATAAATTATACAGGGTCCTAATATATCAAAGATTTCTATATACAGGGTATCCTAATATTCTCAAAACTATGTAGATTATGACGTTATAATGTTTTCTGAATACGAATTGTTAGGTAAATCCACTAAGCGAAAAACACGAGGAAAAATATATACAGGGTGAGTCTTAATTAAGTGCAAATATTTTCAGGACTGATAGATCTCGATAAAAGAAACATATTTTCTCTTTTTCAAAACGTTTTTCAAATAATAAGTCCAAAATAACCGAGTTAACTTTGAAAATTTCCAAAAAAAATGTTTTGCTTAAATTTTGAGAACCACTGGATCTTTTCTCGGTTTTCTTTCTTGTAAATTTAATCTACTACCTGGTGTTGCCATATTATCATCTTATCAAAAAATAATGTTTTTAACTAAAAAAAATCAAATTTTCAAAAAAAATTACACAAAAAACGAATCGTGTTTCTGGGGTCGAAATAATAATTAACCTCTAAAAATATTTGAACTTGTTTAAGACTCGCCCTGTAGTATAAAAAGCAGATTTTTTCTCACCTCTTGTAAAATATTTAACACTTTCATATGGTTCACAGAATCGTGGATTTTTACAAAAGCAGTACCCGCAACTGGTTTGTTGTAAGAATATTTAGCGCAAACGGTAATATTGATCGAATTTGTCTTGTAAAATACGGATTTGGGATGGATCAGGTCGATTTTGAACCTTGGTACTACATATTTGGCAACTTCGAAGGTTTTCATTAATTTATCCACCTCTATTTTCCATTTTCCCTACAATAAGAAAAAAAATTATAAGACCTATCCAAAATTATCGTCTCTAAAAACAGGTATAGTCTGTCCAATGAATCTGGGAAGATTTTGACAGATGACATCCAAAAAAAATGACAGAAAATACAATTTGCCTTTGAATTAAAATGGTGAATGCCTGACAGTGACAGACACAACTGTCACTATCAGGCATCCCCTCGTTGAACAGACTATAGATTTATTTCGATGTTCTAAAAGATATTTCCGTATGACAAGATATTTTCTTATACAGGATGAACGAAAATTGGGTATTTTAGGAGACTTTTTTAATTTGGGAAAATTCTATTTCATTTTCAATTCAAAAATATTCTCTTGAATTCAAGAGAGTATTGAAATTCAAACTTCATAAACTTGGAACAAAAAACTATTGGTACTCACCAATTAGTATCTATACCAATTAGTGAATTAAAGTGACAAACACAAGTGTCACTATCACTTCAAGAAAATATTTTTACTGTGAATCTTTCAAAAATAATTAATTTCTAAGATATACAGTACCGGCCAAAAGTGGAGAAACTTTTTAAATTTATTTACTGCCGTTTTACAAGAACGAAAAGGTTTATAAAGCATATATATTTATACATAGGATAACTGTCTCATAAAAATACACACAAGATTTTTTTGGAAAAAGCCTTTATTATTATAGTGGTTAAGGTGTACTTGGGATTGAATCTCTCATTGGCAGGACGTTTCACCCACCTAATACCATCCGAACCAAATTATACTTGCTTTCGTCCGACCAGAGTACATTTTTCCACTGCTTGTATGTCCAATTTGCATGTTCCAATACAAATTGTAGTCGGGCCTGCCTCTTTTCTTAGAAATAAACGGCTTTCGGGCAGGTCTTCTGGCATTAAGTTGTGCCTGTTTCAGACGCCGTCTAATGGACCTTACAGATATTGAAATAAAGGGATATTCGTTCCTTATATCCTCCGCAGTGCAAAATGGATTTCTAAGTGAATATCTTCTTATTATTTTATCTGTCGCCAAAGTTGATTTTTTGGGTCTTCCGGGCTTGGGTATACTGGCAGTTGTTCCACGATTTCTATACAAAATAATCTGTTTGCAAACAACACTTTTATGTAAATTTAAGTGTCTAGCAATATCAATTTGTTTAATTCCCGAATGATACTTCTCAATTATGATTTTTTTTATGTGCAGAGAGTAAACTGTATTTTGACACAGTAAAAATATTAAAAGTTTCTCCACTTTTCGCCGGTACTGTATATTATGTTACGGTTAAGGTCATATACATACATTATAAACATTTTTTATGAAGGTTTATATTTTATCTGAGATTATCAAGAATACATATTTTATAATAATAAACTAAATAATAATAATAAAGGATTTAACTTTTGAAAAAATTGTGTTGATGCAGACAGGGTACTATTATTAGAAGTTGAATTTTTAGATAGTACTTTTCAAAAGTTTACTTACTATTAACGCTTCTTCAACCAGTGGATATTCCAAGTTGACCAATCCGTGGTCTAGAGACATATTATTCCAGACAAAAACACCAACATCCATGGGATTTCTTATCTTGATTTCGGATATCTAATTTTTTTATAAAATTGGACATAAATTTTCATATTTCTTATTTCATAAAAATTGATACAAGTTCATATATATTTAAATGTATAATAAACATAGAAATAGAATATTTAATTGTTTAAAAAGTTTCAATATTGATGCGGGACTAAGAGAAATACAGGCCTATTTGCGTTTCAAAGTAGGCCCCAGTGACGTCACGATAATAGACCTAAATATTCAGCTATTTTAAATGTGATAAAATGGTGATATAGGATTAAATAAATGGCGGGATAAGTATTTCTGTGACTAATCACACTAATTCAGCCATTTTTTTACCCCGTTAAATTTTCTTTCTATAAATACCATAGGATCAAAAAAAAACGCCGTCAGACTTGACTTTGAAATGAACTCGCTGTCATTTAATATATAAATTTACATAGCGAATGTCAGTGACCGTTTTTTTTTTTATTTCAAAACCAACTAGATGTCATTTTTTCGATCAAAGTTTTCATACAAAAAACGTTATTAGTATTAGAAAAAAATAGCTTTCTATACCTGGGAATCATCGGGTAAAAATCTCTCATTCAAACACAACACTCTTATTTTAACCAAATCGCCAGGTTTGTACATTGCCCTGTCAGTTTCAAGAAATATTTTACAACTTTCCTTGGGGTACATCAGGATAGGATCCTGATTGTGAGCTGATTGTACCTGATTACCGTCAAGAACCTGGATTTTGATACTGACGTATTGTGGTTCAATTAAATCAAAGTCTGGAACGTGCATATTGAAACATGTGTGTTCTACAAAAAAGCGAAAAACAGTAAAAATGTGACAAAAGACAGAACCATTATCAGCAGATAAAAATCATATATTCTTATTTAAAATTGATCTACTTTTATATAGGCATACGATTGGCCCTTTTACCGAGCCTAACTATATACCGTATGATAAAAAAAACGGCGTCAGCTATGGTTATGAAATGAAGATTCCCAGCCAACTGGACGCCGTTTTTTTTTTCGACCATACGGAATATACATATATTCAGAATGTAGAGCAAAGTTAAGGTATTAGAAGTACGAGAACTATAAGTAATAACTATTATATATAAGAATGGACCGATTTTTTTATTTTTTTTAAAGATTAATGGAAAAAATATATACCTGTTCCTAAATTTCTTTCGGTCAGAAAATGATGTCCTTTCCATTTTAGATCAACTAAAACTCTGGATGGTGTATTTATATGATGCAAAGATAAACATACAGTTTCATTTTTGCCAGCTGAAAGAGTTTTTGGCATGCTAAAGAAGAATCCTCCATGTTTTCTTATCAAGTTGTCTCCATCGCTTCAAAAACAGATAATAATCAAAATACTAAAGAAATAAAAACAGCCTGGTAAAAATAAGGCACATACAATTAAAAAAAAAACACGTTATAGAGATTCAAACTTCAAACATTGAGGTGATAATATATCAAGTAGAATGCAAGAACGCTTGGTCACCCTGTATACGTCTTTTTTTGCGAAAATCTTACAACAAAATGGAACAATTTTACATTTTTTTTAAAACCATGCTCACTTTTCGTTAATTGCACTGACATTCGAATAAAACAAAATATACAACACAAAGGCACAGGCAACTTGATGCATTTCTATTTTATATGGACTATCATGAATGAATTCATGCCGAGATTAAAATAAAAGGGATCCGCACTGATATTTACTACGGATTCTCGTGCTTGAACTTTGACAAATGTTTTTTAACCGATAAAAACTCTTTGTTTTGCAACATTGCATTCAATAAATATTCTTTTATATCGATATTCCATACGATAATATTTTTCTTGCATTGAGCGCATTATCTTTAATAAATTTGTCCTGGAAAAAAATTCATATTCTTGAACTTTGTTTATAGGCAACTCAAAATACACCAGTTTTAAAGAGCTAACCTCAAAAATTAGTCACGTAAATATAAATATGAACATTTTTAAATAAGACTTTAAAACAATCTTTTTAAGATGAAAAAGAAATTAAAATATGTGATAACGTTCGTCTGGTTTTGTTACTTGGTTGTCTCGGCTATTTTGCTGTTTTCTCGTGGGTTTTTATTGACCAGGACAGTACAAGACAATAATGCTACTTGCAGTTCAAAACTTGAGCATTTCTGTGATTCAAACGATGAAGAAAGTTGTTTTATTAAAGGAAAGGAGGTATTTAGTGACTTTCGTAACGAGGCTTTGAATACTTGCTTGAAACCTACCTCCAAAGTGATTTTATTGATAGTAGATGCACTTAGATATGACTTTACTGTTTACAAAGACAGAGAGAATCCTTTACCTTACCAGAACAAGTTACCAATCATAAAAGATACCTTATTAAATCACCCAGAGTCTTCGAGATTGTATAAATTTATTGCAGACCCACCAACAACAACAATGCAAAGGCTTAAAGCACTGACCACAGGCAGTCTTCCGACATTTATTGATGCCGGTTCGAATTTTGCTACATCAGAAATAAACGAAGACAATATTATTGACCAGGTCAGCAAAAATAACTACACTGTGGTGTTCCTGGGAGATGATACTTGGGGATCTTTGTATCCTAATAGGTTTTTACGAAATTATCCATATCCATCGTTTGATGTGTGGGATCTGGATACAGTGGATAATGGAGTGAAAAAAAGCATATTTCCGGAGTTGAAGAAGGATGATTGGAATTTGCTGGTTGGGCATTTTCTTGGAGTGGATCATTGCGGTCATAGATATGGACCAAACCATCCGGAAATGTCCAGAAAGTTGTCAGAAATTAATAATGTACTTCAGTAAGTTATTTTGAAACATAAAGTGTAAATAAATAAATGATTTAGTCCATATTTAAACTCTCTAATTGAATATATATTTTTTTCAGACATGTGATAAATGAAATGAATAATGATACAATTCTTTTTGTTATTGGCGATCATGGTATGACAGTAACTGGTAATTGAAATTTATAATTTTTATTAAATAAAAATATTTATTTGTGACTTTTTAAGGGGATCATGGTGGAGAAAGCACTGAAGAAGTCACAGCAGCCATGTTTGTTTATTCCAAACAACCGTTACTATCATTTGGTTCAAATAAGGAATCAGTTAAACAAGTTGATCTTGTTCCAACATTGTCAGCTCTTCTGGGAGTACCAATTCCATTTCAAAATTTAGGAATCTTAATAAACACTGCTTTGCCTAGTACCAGTTCAAATTCTTGGAAACTTTCGTTGTTCTGGCTTTGGAACAATGTCCAACAAATTGTTCATTACATTAAAGTTTACTCTGAAAGCACTCAAATTTTTGATAAGGAATATCTTGAATTATACTACAAAGAATATGACTCATTACACCAAGAAATCATCTCAGTAAATTCAGAAGAGCAATTTGTACATTTCTACGAAAAAGCTGAAGGTTTTTTGAAAAAATTGAGGCTTTTATGTGAAGAGGTCTGGATACAGTTTGACCCATTCTCAATAAGCAATGGACTAACTTTTCTCTTCCTTGCTGTATTCTTCATGTATATTATTTGCGACGGGATACCTTTACAGCATCTGTCACATGTCATTGAAACGTCGTTTATTTCAGTGTTCTGTTTGGTGTTAGTTTTTTCATTTATTCTGATAGGGTTTTTGGAACTGTCAAGTTTTGCAGATAACTTTTCTTACTCTTTTGTTTTTGTGGCAAATATGATTTCTCCTCTGATGTTCTTGGTGCCGATATTTCAGAACTGGGAGTTTATCAGTACAAAGTGGTATAAGAGGAAAATAAACGTAATTAGTGTGATATGTAGGTTGGTTTTGGTTTTCAATGTTCTAGTCCCATTCTCTAATAGTTTCATCAATGAAGAAGCGAGTGTTTTATTATTTTCTTTTGTGACAGTTCTTTTAACTGCTTTACTTCACCTGGTTTGGTACAGAAGAAACTTTTACAAAAAACAGTTTTTAAAACCAGTTTTCTTTGTTTTGTTTGTCTTTTGTTCTTTGAGGATTACAGGCTATTTTTGGAGGTGCCGCGTTGAACAACAATGGTGCTTTTCATCTCCTCATGAAGTTGGAACATCCTCAAAAACTCAGCCTACTAAAATTGAGTGGAGTTTGGCAGTTGTGTCACTCTCTTTGACAGTAAATGCCGCAAAAATGTGGTTAAGACACTGTGGAAACTTAAGTGGTTACTCGGTAACGCAATTTTTAACCAAAATCATCCCTATGTGTATGGTAGTCCTTTCTGCCGGGTTTTGGGTCTTACAGAAATTCTCAAAAATATCAAACAAACGAAGAATAAGTTACCTCCCCTTATCAGTGTACATTCTTTCATTAATTTCTTTAGTTATTCTTGTTATAAAACCCTTATGCATAAGCTTAATACCACGGGACAAAGGTTTCTCAGAAAAAGAAGAGAATTTGATTCCAAGCATTTACAATAAGTTAAAATCGAATATGGAGAAAAATTCTAGGGATGTGCCTATAGTGTATGGTTTGGCAACAGCGTATAGTGCTGTGTATGTTATTTTGGCGTTGTATTTGATATTGGTGTTTGGTTTGTTGTTGGGGGAAGGTTTTGCTTCTTCAACTGGTATTATGGTGATAGCTGCTGTGTTTTTATTGGTCGTGACGTCAATGATGAGAATAAAACAGGCAGAAACGATAGGTAAAGTAAAGTCAAAATATAGTCGTTCTGACGTAGTTTTTAAGAGTCTATTACGCTGTACTGTTCGGGTTGCTCTCAGGGGCCGAAAGAAATATATATTATATTTCAGAAATCTGGCCGATCCTGTTGTGTTAAGCCACACCCAAAATTCCAAACACACGTGCTTTTATTAAGGCTTGATTAAGGCTGAGCTCAGAATTTGCCATAAAATAGCGAGCAATTTAACTCGTAAACGAACTAATCAAAAATATCTAAAGTTATTCTTTTGAATGTGGCTTTTAGTGCTCTTCAATAAACCTAAATAGAATTATTCTTTAAAATAATTAGGAAAGCCCATAATTGACCCCATTAAAATTTACATGGGATTTCCTGTCCCGTCCGACGATGCAACACCCGGTATGTTTTATTAAGAGTAAAAATAATACTTTTTGTGACGAAGCTGTACGTTTGGAATTACAGGCGAGGCACAAAAAGTCATTTTTACTCCAAATATAACATGCTATTTTTTTTCAAACGTCTCAAATAATTTTTTTAAACAATTTTAAACGTTCCAAATAATATAAAAAGATTTAAAAGTAATACCTTGTAAGTATTTATATATCGAGAAACTATGGTTACGCTCGTTGAATTTGACACTTTATTTCAGTTTAATAATATATTTTCCTACTTTTGTGCTCAGGCGTAAAAGTAATTAACTTATACCGGGTGTTGCATCGTCGAGCGGGATATAGGAAATCCCATGTAAATTTTAATGGGGTCAATTATTGGCTTCCCTAATTATTTTAGAGAATAATTCCTTTTAGGTTTATTGAAGAGCACTAAAACCCACATTCAAAAGAATAACTTTAGATATTTTTGATTAGCCCGTTTACGAGTTATCGCCGATTTCTTTTTAAATATTTCTCCTTTCTTATGGCCCTGTATTAACTTATGAGCACCAGTCAAGGTAAAATATAACTGTCAAATGAAGTTGTCATTTAATAGTACCTAAATTAATAAGTTACTGAATATTGTAATAATACTATAATTAACCTTGTAATTGATTACTTTATTTTACTTTAATTCATATTAATTTGTATTTATAAATACATCTTTAAGATTTCCGATGTAGGAATGAGTTTTCAATAATAATAAAGCACTAAATAGGTAAATTTCTGAAATAACAACTTCATTTGACGGTTATCTTTAATCTTGACTGGTGCTCATAAGTAAATACAGGGCCATAAGAAAGGAGAAATATTTCAAAAGAAATCGGCGATAACTCGTAAACGAGCTAATAAAAAATATCTAAAGTTATTCTTTTGAATGTCGGTTTTAGTGCTCTTCAATAAACCTAAATAGAATTATTCTCTAAAATAATTAGGGAAGTCAATAAATGACCCCATTAAAATTTACATGGGATTTCCTATATCCCGTCCGACGATGCAACACCCGGTATGCCTAGGCGTTAAAATGTTTTTTTATATTGTCAATCAGGTCGCAAAAATTAATACTTTTGTAACGTTTGAAAAAATAAGAATATTGTGTGCCATTTGTAATAAAATATGTAGTAGTTTTAATATATTTATTATTTCTTTAGAGGATTTGTTCAATGTGCCGACAGTAGCCATTATAGGATGGGCTTTAATAGCCCAATACTTCTTCTACGCTACTGGACATCAACCTGCCTTTCCCAATATCACCTGGGATGCCGCTTTTGTGGGAACCTCAGGAATCTTCAGCCACCGTTACATTCTAGGGGTGTTGATTATAATCAACACTTTCGGGTCATACATTATAATGGGAATGACGCTACCTTTGTTGGTTATAACCCCTTTTACTCTATTTATCATGATGCCCAGTGTACTTGGTAAAAATAAGGACTTTTTGCAACACGCACAAAAAGGGGAAATGATGTTGTATGAAAGAAGTAAAATAGTATCTGCATCCATGTTTTCGTTGTGTTGTAAATACATCTCTACATTTGGTATTAAGGTACGGACTAGTTTAAATGCTATACAAGGCGTCTCTTAGGCTACTATTACACTATTTTAATTTAAATTTCTTTGTCAAAGATTTTATTTAAAATATATTTTATGAAGAATTTGACAGTGTAATATGTGTGATTTTATAAAATATCCTATATTAACAATGTCAAATTTTTCATAATATATCTTTTATAAAAGATCTTTGACAAAGAAATTTTATAGTGTAATACCCACCTCTTAATATACGGGATGGTCCGAACTGTTTTCCGAAAACTTCGGCAGCATATTCTGCACATAAAAATAAGTAAAAAGGGTCGTACAAACTTATGTCCTAAAATGCTTTGTTTCGGAGATACAGGGTATAAAATTTTCATATGAAGTTTTTTTCTTAAAATAAGTCCAAGAATCACCCTCTTAAATATTATCATATCATTAAGAAACACCCTGTATATAATTCGACGAAAAAAAGGCGTCACAGTAGCCTGTGAAATAATAATACATGACAATTTCTATCGGGACGATCTCTATATTATTTTTGGTTTTAGGTATTTGCCAGTATGTTGGCAGCTACAATTCACTGTAGACATTTAATGGTTTGGAATATCTTTGCACCGAAGTTCATTTTTGAAGGAGTCGCCATGTTTGTCACGTTGGGTTCTGTTTTATTAGGATATTTGTTATTTATTCGCATTAACCATCAGGTTGAAAAATGTATTGATAAGCTGAATAAAATGATGTAGATATTTTATTATTGTTTAAGACTGTTTTAGTATTTTGTAGAACAAAATGTGTTTTGTAATTTATTGTCAAAATAAATATGTGTGTTTTAAATGTTTTTTTTTATATTAAAAATTATTTTTTTCTGTATTAAAAAGAATTCAAAACTTATGAATAACCGAAATAGACAGTTATCCAGAATAATCAAAGTTGTTTTGAACTGAAATTATTAAATATTCTATCATCCCATTTGCCATAAATAATAAATATTTAAAAAAATACTTACTGTAAGACTTGTTAAACTTACTGTTCTTATTTAGACGTTCACCATTTTGTCATGGATTATTTTTCTGGAAAAAAGTGTTATATTTTTCAAAGTCAACAATAATTATAATTGTTTATTATTAAACTCACACATATATTTCAACAATCTTACTCAAAATTTAACAGAAAAAAACTATTCTGCTAAAAACTTCTATAGGGAGAATACTGTATGACGGTGTCAGCGATGGTTATGAAATGAAGATCGCTGTCATTTTATATGAGGAATGTCATCGATGTTCATGTCCACGCCAATTGGACGCCGTTTTTTTTTCGATCATACGGTATAGTTATCTTTATAATAATAGATATGTATTTTGAATATGTTTTAAAAGAATATCTTTATAATTAATTATTGTGTATTTTGAAAGGGCATTTAATAAGAATACTTTTTGATTATTCACCATTTTGTCATAACGAATTATAACTTCAAATAGCGTAAAAATGACCAAAACACGTTATAACTATTAGCGTAACAAAGCAATTTATCCTGGGGTTGAGCCGAGGGGGGCCTAGGACTTTTGTTTTTTTAAAAATGAGAAATAATTTAACAAACAATTTTTGAATAAAACGTTTTCATGAATATCTCTATCAATAAATTTCATAGACTTGGTTATCAAACCGTGTTCCCGTAGATTACTTAAATACCTACAAATTTTGTAAAAAAATAAAAATTAACACATTTTTTGAATACAACAAAATAATATTAACTAAACAAAACTAGAAAACGTCATTTTTACTGCATCACAAGCAAATAAAAATTAATACGTAGCCAAGAGTCATAATTCAGGAATTTTCTGCGGGTGCCCAGCAGTACCCGGGGGGGGGGCACCCCCGGGCTCCCCTGTAGTTACGCCAATGGTTATAACCGATAGTAATCTATAAGGGTTAAAACCCAATAACAGACAAGAAGTGCCACTGTTATATGACTATAACTGGTGAGATTTTGATTGATATCGAATTTTAAAATCGTTTTTAATTGTGTTAAAAAATGAATACCCTGATTTTTCGATATTTCAGTATTTTTGAATTAATAACAAGAAAAGTAGATTTTTTTAAAAAAATACCATTAGGTCGAAAAAAAAACGGCGTCAAAGACGGCTGGGAATGACAATCGATGATAATTTTGGCGAGGTCAAGTCCTAGGTTTAGTTGACCCGTACTCTTCTTTATTACTACCAGTTGGCCTTAAGAAGGTTTTGTAATTTATTTTTATATTCAGTAAAAATGCTTTTTGCATGGTGTAATTTAAAATTTCAGAAAAAATAATTTTTCTGAAATAGATTTGCGATTTTTTCGATCATATGGTATTTTTGAACATTAAATCCCATTGAAGTAATGAATCAAGCATAAAATTAAAATTCTATAATAGGATTATTGAAATTTAAAAAAATCAAGTGCGAGTCGGACTCGTGCACGAAGGGTTCCGTACCATTCATTATCTATACAACATTAGATACTATATATATTATTATAAATCCTTTTTCCGATTTAGCTGAAATTTTGAATGCGCGTATAAGTAATTTAAAAAAAAATTAAGAAACACATTACTAAAAATTGTATTAATCCATAATAAATATGTAAAAAGTAAAATTAAAAAAAAACGATTAAAAAAAAGTCGCTTTGGCTAGGATTCGAACCTGCCTTACTACGGCTCCAACGTCATAGCAGCGTAAAGTCCTAATGCTTTAACCACGCGGACACCGAGGACTTGGAAGATTCTGTGTAAAATTCTTACTTAAAAGATAATGGTTAGTGAAAGTACTTTTTTATTTATAAACATTTATTTAATTCTGTTTTTAGTATTTGTTCTTATAGCGGCAACATAGATACATTATCTGTAAAAATTTCAACTGTCTAGCTATAACGGTTCATAAGATAGACCTTTGTGACAGACGAACAGACGGATAGCGAAGTTAGTAATAGGGTTCCCGTTTTTATCCTTTGGGTACGGAATGGAACCCTAAAAACTTCAACATTATTTTAAATATCTACTATTTTTTTCAAACAGGAACCCGCATCTTTATCGTAGTTTAACCAAGCTAGTTTTACAGCGAAATACTTAACATTAATCTGTCTGAATTTCAATGATACTCGTTGTTTTTTCTCACACCTTTTACCCAAACTCGACTGGGGCTACTTCTGCCACCCCCTGTATAGCCGAGATGAACGGTCCTTCTCTCCGCCTCGCCGATAAAACAATGCCACAATGGACTCTCGTCCTCATCATCGGCACAGCCGATATTCGACATTGTACGTGGACAAATAATAACGTGTCAAATCAAACCTGCATTCCTTGTCACGTGAATGGGGTCCCGCTATATAGCCGAGTTATCCATTATTCCATTTAAGGCAATGGAGACTCGCACTCCATTGAAAACGCTGTACTTGACACATATTATGGGCCGGCGATGATATGTTAAATCACTGGAGGACCGCTGTGGCGGGTGCTTTGGCGCTGCGAGAGGCAGATTGTTCTCTATATCGGACTTTTATCTTGGTCTATATCTGTGTGACGCATCAATATCAATCAATAGAGGCGTGGATTTATTACTTGGGATCAGGGGTGGCTCGTAGGGAGTCAAAAGTAGGTGAAGACATAATTTTTGGTGAATATTTACAGTAGAAAAGACTTTAGTTATTTACTTAATAGGTAATTAAAAACTATATAGAGTTCACGAACTCTTTCATAGGCAGAAAAAAATGAAACATAAATAGTAAACTCAGTGGCAGTACGTGATTCTATATTTTAGGGGTACACAACCTTAGAAGAGAAATTGAGTCTCATATGACTACCAGTTATGCTGAAGCAAATCCGTTTTAATATTATTTAGTTCATTGATACACCTTCTGCACTATGCGGAAAACAGTTCGTATCATTGTTTGTCTTGACCTACCTTCATTTGTATTGACCTATTTTATTTCTTAAAAGCGAATTTTCCGCTTGTCTTGACCTACTTTCATTTTTTAAAAACATCTCGAAACTACTTGTGAGATTGCGGAGAAAGGCGTGGGGGATTTTTTTTGGCGACTTTGGGATTTCCCGTTTTTTTCGGTGCTTTCGGTACTGACTAATTTTTGTTCAATGGTGGTGTAGTTCATCAATCAGAAAGCAAGGGATGGTTTTTCAAAGTAAAATGAATAAAAAATTGAGATTATTAATGAAAATAATATCAAATTATTAAGTAAACAGTCATGAGAAAATTAATATGAACACAAGTAAAGAAAACTAGTATAGGTAACTTAAATTTCACATCAAACAATATAAACCAACTTAAAAAAAATAACATTTTCAATTAAAGATGCAAATGCCTATAAAAACATAACACAAATAAATATAACTACCTAATACATTTAGTAATATTATACTAAATAATAAAATAACATATTCAAAGTTCAATAATTGCTAATAAACATTATAGAAACTTCAAAATAACTTCAGAAGTAAGAACAGTAAGAGATAGCATCACTACTCATTGGCGTAACTACAGGGGTGCCCGGGAGTGCCGGCCCCCCCTAGGTACCGCTGGGCACCCCCCAGAGAAATCCTGAATTATGACTCTTGGCTACGTATTAATTTTTATTTGCTTGCGATGCAGTAAAAATGACGTTTTCTAGTTTTGTTTGGTTAATATTATTTTGTTGTGTTCAAAAAAAGTGTTATTTTTTTTAGAGAATTTGTAGGTATTTAAGTAATCTACGGAAACACGGTTTAATAACCAAGTCTATGAAATTTATTGATAGGGAAATTAGTGTAAACGTTTTATTCCAAAAATGTGTTTTTTAAATTATTTTTCATTTAAAAAAAAAAAACAAAACAAAATAAGGTGCCCGGTGGCGTAGAGGTACAGGCTCTCGTCTACCAATCTTAAGGTGTGGGTTCAATTCCCACACCCGGCATTTCATCAGCCGACTATTTTTATTAAAATAAAAATAGTTTGGGTACCTAGGTCGACTCAGCCTTAAATGAAGTACTTGGGATTCACAATCCTGAGGTAATAATAGCCTATATTACCTTCCTTGTATACCGAACGGCTCTAGTATAGCAAGCTGTACATTGCTACTCCCAAGGCGCTAAACGCTATATACGGGAGCTATTATTATTATTATTATTAAAAAAACAAAAGTCCTAGGCCCCACCTGGGCTCAACCCCAGGCAAATAAAGGCAAATAACTCGCTTTGGAAAAAAATATTGTTTTACACACGACGATAAAATTGCATTATCGTCTTGTATAAAAAATAACTATTGTTACGTTTTTCGTCGGTTCCGTGTGGATAGAAAGTCACAATTTATTTAAACACTATTTATTTAACACTAATTAACAAAAACAATAACAATTAAAGACTTATAGAACTATTTACAAACGATTTATAACTAAGAATTTATTGTGAATTTTAGCGCGTCAACTACACTGGTATATTTATAACTGCCCCCTGTAGGCCACAGCCGCCGGCTTTTATACCGACAGGTAAAGAACTCTAGAATAGTCCATAGATCGTTAGGTGCGTAGAGAAGGTTTTCGAATGTTCTCGTATGTACTAGTCCATTCCAGTGGGACTCGATTCTTCTCGAACGAATGAATCATTACGGTGTCTATTCTTTAATGCGATGTTAAGGTCATCTGAGGGCGGGACACAGGTGGATGACACTTCTTATGGGAGAACTGGCAATGGTTGAAAACTTGACTACAAGCGATTTTCTAGGAATCTTCTTTACCGATAAATTATTGACAAGAGTGACAGATAAAACCTTGACGTTCTCTCAGTATTACAGTTCATCTCTTTTTCTTTC